GTAGTTATTATTACTCAATATGTACTATTACAAAAAATAACTCTATCTGCCGGAAATGGTATTTGGCGAGCGTTATTATCATCAGAACACCTCTCCACAGTGTTGATAAGGATTACTGGCGGCATCCATTTTTGCGTATAAAAATTTGAAGTTAACGTATCAAAGAAGTTAACGTATCTCATTTAAAGTCTAAAACACTAGACCCAGTCAAAAAAATGTTATGCGCATACTCCGCACCAAAGATACGACATTACTTAAAAACGAAATATAAACATCGAGATGAACAAGTCGGTACAAGGAAAAGTTGGAAAAATATCATTTATACTACTTCAGCACTACGGACAGTGGTTCATTCCTTTTATTTCTCTAAATTGTATAAATTAATTATTGTTTTCTGAACAGCATTTTGCTAAATATTTCAAGTTTCAAAAAATAGTAACAGTAAGCCAAAGCACCAAGCACTATATATGACCGAGTGAACCATGTACCGAGATTTCGCTGCTCCAGTTAACATAACATAAAATGACACAACTGTCATCTTGAAAATAAACATCAATAACTATTCTGGCTATTTATTTAACATTTTTCGAATTTAGCAAAATATTTCTTTCATGCATTTTATAATGTTTACATATGAGCCGTGCCATGACAAAACCAACATAATGGGTTTGCGACCAGCATGGATCCAGACCAGCCTGCGCATCCGCATCAGGATCCATTCTGTTCGCTTACCAACTCTATAACAAGTAGAGAAACTGATGCTTGTCGCAAACCCACAAGTAGAGAAACTGATGCTGGTCGCAAACCCATTATGTTGGTTTTGTCGTGACGCGGCTCATATTGGTTTTAGAGCGTGTCAGATGCTTGTTACCTGAAGAAATTAGTGCTAAATGTGAAATAATTGTAATAATTAAAGTGCAGCAAAACATTTAAAAAGTAGTATGTTAACTTTCATACAAAATGCTAAATCAATATAACTGAAATATAATTGCTAAAATGTAACAGAATGAAATGAATGTTCAGGAAAGTAGCTAATGAGTTACTTTTTTTTGGAACTTAAAAAATAAAAATCTTCTCAGAAATAAAATTAAAAGCATTTCTGGGACATAAAGAGCCTTTAACCTCTTACTTCCGTGTCAGGTGGCTGTTTTCCCGGGTTTCCGAAAAATGTTTTGATGTAATAAGTGATGCCGGGAAGAAGTGGAGAATCAACCGGAAATGACAAACATTAAAATCCATGAGCGCTTGCCATAACTGCATGTAGAATTAACGGGCTAAACCGATATGTTCATGTACCTTAATCAAGTCTAACCGACTTTATTTTGTTAAGGTCGTTTATTGCAGTTACTGGAATTTATATATTTTTTGTTGTTGTTTACAGTGATATTATTCCCATACATATGTATATGGTAGGTGTACGGGCCATAGTCCAATCTGATTTCTAATTAACGCTACATGCAAGAAATAACTTCAGTACATCTGAACTTTAGTCAGATTGAGATATAATCAAAATAACTTCAAATTTAGCCATTTTTTTTTAATTGTATAATTAATTAGTTCATTTGCATTTGCATAACTAAGGTCACAAATACCCTTTGTAAAGTATTCTTAAAGTTCAATTTATGAAAAGAGTGGGACAGTCTTTTTATATTTAGGCACTTGCTATAATTTGAGCCGCGTCATGACAAAACCAACATAATGGGTTTGCGACCAGCATGGATCCAGACCAGCCTGCGCATCCGCGCAGTCTGATCAGGATCCATGCTGTTCGCTTACAGACCCTATAGCTAGTAGAGAAACTGATAGTTGGTGGTCGCAAACCCATTATGTTGGTTTTGTCGTGACGCGGATCATTTATATTTTATCCTAAACGTTTTTCATTATCAAGTATAGGCCAATAACCATTATTTAAGTCAGTCTCTTTTTTTTTTAAATACATAGCCAATTCAGCTAAGCTCGACAACGAAAAATTGGGCATAATGTTACTTTAATTCTATCATTTTGTTATTTTGAAACCTAGAGTTAATCATGCTTGCATTCCTGTACATTTAATGATAAATGATGTAAACAGCATCTAAATAAATAAATAAATAAAATTCATTAACATCTGCAGAAGCACTAAGACTCATTTAAAGGTCAAGCTCGCAGGGCGAGGAATTTGATAGGTCCGAGAGTTTCTTCAGATGTAAATTCACGCAATAAGATGCATTACCGCTATTCTTACATAATGTAATTAATTAGTTAATTAATTATAATCAATTTAAAGAAAATGCCACTACTGGAAGAGTTGGATGAAACGAATTCATGTTCTATCAAAATTAGTCACCTTCGGGACGGGGACAATTTTTACACCAGTGGTAAAATTTGAACAATCTTGGCAAAGAAGTACTAACTATTCCACATCACGTATCAATCCTTTTGGTCTCATGATAACAAACATCCAAAGTCCTCTTAAAAAAATTGCGTGGGTGTCTTATAATAAACTCAAAGTGCATTCTATTGCAACATGAGTACTATTAAACCATTTAAAATAAAAACGTGTGTGTCCTGTTTTCAAGTTGTTTGAATCTTCATGTGACTTATTTATATTTTGTATAAACATAATGTAAACAATGGTGTGGAGGAGGATTTTATTTTGGCGTTTTTGTGGTCTATATATCGCTTTTGTATGTATGGGATTCACACACCAAAAATAATGTTAAAAAAGTATCTTTATAAAAGATATTCGGACGAAATAAAACTACCTTTATTTGCGTAGGTAATTCCGGAGTTTCGTCAAGAAAAAATTAATGCCTAAATGAAAGAAACATTGAAATGGAACTGTCATGTTTTCGTAAATTAACACCGGCATTTTAATGTACACATCAATATAATTCTGCATAAATATACAAAAATTTATATCAATGGAAAACATCAATAATCATTTCAGAACACGAACTCTGAGAGTACAAGAAAAGTTAGGCGTTTTTTATTAATAATTATTTTGATGCCTTTTGCTATTATTTTTTCCTACACATGCGTTTCCGTTTCTCGTTATTTTGGGCAAAACTTACAAAATGTCAGTTTAACTCGGTAAATTCATATCTTGAATGAGATTTTCATTAAAGAATTAATGAATTCTTAAAAGCTTTGTAAAAATGTAAAATCTTTGATTGGAGGAAGCCAGCACGATTCACAGTTCTCAGATATCCGAAAGTTTGTATCCGAAACTTGTTAGGATTAACTTAACATTTAGGCGTGTATATGTTTAGATTATTTTACTTATTTTACAATGGCCAATGAGAATCCCTGATTTCTGATTGTATAATTTTAAAATGACCAATGAAAAGTATACTTATATTCAGTTCTTCCTTGTATAGTTTACAGGAAGTCAAACCGTTCTCAGGCGGATTTAGTCCGAATAATCAATTTTTACCTTAATGTAAATTATAACTGATAAAATATAGAGTTTAAATACTAATAAATTTCATCTCAAAAACATAAATAACTTGCAGCTTTTTTCATACCTTGTGCTGTCAATTAAGTTTTGAACATTTTTTTCTCTCTTTCAGTTGATAATTCTATAAAAAAATTATTAAAATAAGAAACTCATTGCCTAACATATAACAAAGATCTGCAGTTGCGTTAAATTGTTCTGTTCTGTCCTGTTTAGACATATAAATTAATGTTCGTTTGGACATAATCTGTTGAGTAGAGACATCATTCTATTGTCTAAAAAGGGTTTTTTAATTACAAAGCAATAATGTTCTTGATGCAAATTATAGTTAACTTAACATTCCCATGGTAAATCTTTATTTTCTGAACCTTAATGTGAAGATAATAGAACATGGTCAAAACTAATTGAAAATGTCACAATGGAATAAAAGTGTCTAAATTTATACGAAAAATGCCGAGACCGAATAATATAGTCTAAATTTTGTCGAAAAAATGCAAAGATGAAAAACAAAATGGTCTAAAATTATTCGATAAATGCCAGACGGAATAAAATGGTCCTGGTTTTATTTGAAAATGCCAAGATTTAATATAAAAAAATCACGATTATTCGGGAAAAGCCAAGATGAAATAATAATAATAATAATAATAAATAATTCCTATAAAATGCCAAAATTAAACTTATAGTTATATATGGTTTATTTGGAAAATGTTCGCTAAGATTTAAGGACAAGGACAAAATTAAAAACTCAAAATCATCCATCTATTGTTTATCCTCATAGATTAATATTCAATATTAATTTGATAAAAGTGGCCAAAAGAAGCGTCTTTATGATAGTTTAGAATAATGTTATCAATACTTTACAAGATATGGGCATTTTACAGTAGATCAAAATATTGATCCGTTCCCAGAACCAAACAGTACCTTCGCAATAAGTGTAAACTTTCTTGCTCAAGGGAGCGACCGTTTGACCAATGACGAGGTTTGAACACACACGTCCAGCAATCCTTAAATTACTAGCCCAATGCCTTTCAACCATAGTGAGTGTTTTAATCATCCTATATCTAAACATACAATCTCCATAATTTAAATTCGTTGCATTTTTTGTGAAATTGAATTTTCGTTAGCGATGATTTACTGCGATAAATTTTACGCCCGCCGCAAAGTAGGCTATGTTTATGTTAATTTATAGCGTCTGTATCTATAAACTATCCTATCAAATTTACCACTTCTGATGATAACAGATATAACGGGTGATATATATTTTATTATCATGCATAAAGTGCACAGACGCAAAAAATGGCGGACCAATTAAAAAGTCATTATTGCGCCATTTCTTCCCGTCTGATATCAAAGGCGGGTGACATTCGATCCGGTGACATGATATGACTGTTTGCGCGGGAATGCTCTTAAAATGGAAACCGGGATACAGCGTGAGAATAGCACGCCTGACCTTTTCACTTTAAATGTTATCTCTGACATCAACGGGATATTTCATTGAATACTAATCTCCAAATGTTAAAAAACAAATTCATGAGTATTACGAAATAAAAACACAGGACGGGGAATTCCTGAAATTGTTTTATCAAAGAGTCACGAGTGTGATTCAGTGAACAATAGATAAAACTGTGGTACAAATAGCACTGAGTTTCAAATATAAAACTTAATGATCCGAGTGTAAGATAGCGCGACGAAGTTCACTAACATATAATTTAAACAATAATTTATAAAACGGAGAATTTGAAAATAAAATATAGTGCGTATAACTTCAAACAAAAAGAGATGAGGGCCATGATGTATTTGATGCTCGGCGTACTTTCAAAGGTAATTCATTATACAATTGCATTTTAAATTAACCACTGAAAATTGCCTTTACTTCTTTTTATCTATTTTAACAATTACGTTTGAATTGATTGAGCTTTGAATAAAAAGGAATTGGGTTTTCATTTACTTTTAAACTAGCCCAAATGATAAAGCAAATAGTTAAGGTTAACCAAATCTGTTATTACGTAAAGTTTTTGGGGAATATAAAAGAGATGCGAATGTCTATTGACTGGTACAGTTTTTGATTTTACATTGATATACAAATATCATCCGAATACCATTCTATTTTTTCACATAGCGTCTATGTAACAATGATTTGGGAACGGCGTATGAATACTATATTCTATATAATTCTTTTTATGACTTTTCAGACAGTGCGCATGGATAAATCCTTTCCAGGTATGTGTCTTAACTATTTTAAACGTCAATTTATAGAATTTGTGCAAAAGAAAATAAACAGTTTGCTATTTCTTATTATTAACATTGGTCGAAATTATAATTTTTTTTCAAGAACTCAGAAAGAAAGAACTAAATAAATAAAGTTTGTGTATTATAGGGGAATTATTTGATATTTTTACAGACTGATTGATGCATAAGATTTTACACGTTTTAAAGAAAAGCAATCTAAAACTATGACTTGTCTTTGTCTTGGTAATATCTTTCTCATAGAAACCAGATTCTGACACAGAACAAACAAAAAATACAAAAAATAAATAAATAAAAATAAATAAAGAATCAAAGTCTAGATAGATTCAGGCGTCAAAACTTGTTGATAGTTAGATTTGACTGGTGTCATATTTTAAGTTCCTGAAACTTTAAGTGACTCGTAGATTATTTAATTGAATCAGAAAAAACTTATTACAATAAATGTTAGAAAAAAAGTAATATCAGATTAATACCAGAACATGAATTCTCGGAGTTTAGTATTTCTACGTCTGTTTTAGTTTAAACGAGCGTTTTTTGTAAATCCATGTCTATGTTTAAAGTATGGTTTAAAACAAAATACAATTTTGTGCCACGTGAATATTAGTAAGTTATAACGGAAGAATTAACAATACAGAAAAAAAGAAGTAACAAAACTTCTTTTGCATTATATTTCTTGACCGACTTGTACGGAATGGATTTTTATACTGGTAACAAATTATCTCAAACTTTAGGGGGTGATTCATAAATATTTATTTCGTCAGTTTTTACACCATTAAAATCTTACGTTTCATCTTAACTGGTAATATAATATTTTTTCAGATCCCACGAATTCGGTGATTTATTTTTCTTAAATTACAGCTTACTCACATATTCAATGAATATTCGTAAATATTTTAACACAGCTATGTTTATTTCATAAGCACATCCAAATGTATGATGTCATATTTCCTGCCTCCATAAAACGAGGCAAAGATTATTGTTGTTAACTTATGCAAACAAATGAAACGTTATATTTAGCACGATTGTGTTTATTTTACAAACACATTCCATTTTGTTATGTAAAGCCCCCACTCAAAAAAATCCCTAGAGCAGACTTGCTCTTGTTTATAAATTTTATTCGGTACAAATCCGTTTTCAGTACATCCTTAACTTTGAGTGTTTCCTGGAAAAAAGCCAAATGTCAGTATAGGATGGTTTGACACGGTAGTTCTTGAAAATGCTTTAACATTATTATAACCAAGGTGTTTTTTTCTCCAAACATGTGTTCGCCTTATTGTGACATAAAAATTCTATATTTCTAATTTTCTAATTTTAAAATAATTTATCAGCTGGTAAACAAAAGGAAAAACAATTTTGTCAAACATTTAATAAAACGTGAAGGCCTATCAGTCTGACATATGGATAATTTCATTTTTAAAGTTTAAATAGTCAGCAAACAATAGAATTGAAAAGTTTATCTATGAAATTAAATTATTTAAAATGTATTTACAATTCAGTTCCCAAGCAGGTAATAACGGCCTTTTGTAGCCGGTTAATTATCATTTACTCCTTTTTTCGAAGATTTAATATCGATATTTCAGATCGCAAGCAGGGTACAACGGCCTTCCATACTTTTAAAGTATCATTACGCTCATTTGTAATATATAGTGACTGTTATAATAATTCTTGACCAATAATTGATCAAGATAATGCTTAATATAATGAACTAAATTATTTAAGGACTACCCCACTGTTTTTAAGAATTGAACGTTAATTACCAATACATTCTGAATGGTATTATTGATCACGTGGATTATTCATTATTTTTCGTAGTAAAATTTAAAAAAAATGAACTCAATTATGGCAAACATTCAAGAAATTTTTATTTCTATTTGTTCAGTGATCTTTTATTTTCGAATGACAAGATATTAAACGACAAAAAGACAATTTTATACGAGAAAGTCAAAGGTATCATGATAATCGGCGAGGTATTCCGATAACGGAATAATCGCAACTTTTCGGCTTTAGTATAATGGTAGAGGTGTTCCGATTGAAAAAGGCAGCGGTGCGTGAAATACCGAATGACACATTTATTAAAAACACACTTTAAATATGAACGAATTTTTTATCTGTTCATAGGCTTTGCCGACTTTCACATTATAATGATATGTATTTTCATACAAGCTGCGAAATGTTTAGTTTCTCAGTTTAGCAGGGACAATTGTCGCTAAATATTATAAAAAAAACTATTTCATTGATTTTGAAGCACTGAAATACAACTTCTTCTCTCTTTGTCTATTTCAGACTGGTCCTGCAAAAATAAAGTCGCTGATATCGTCTTTCTGTTAGACACTTCAGTGAGCATTTGGAAAGAAGATTTTGACAAGCAGCTAGTCTTTGTTGAACACATAGTTAACCAACTTCCGGTTGGAGAAAATGGCGTTCGTGTTGCTGCAGCTACTTTTGGTACCGATGTTAAGACTAGTTTTCATCTTGGAGACTACTTCGATAAGACTGACTTACTGGACGCCATTTACGGTATTCAATATCGTCAAGGGAGGACAAACACCGGAAGTGCGATTAAGCATGCGCGAAAGATAATGTTCGCAGAAAAACATGGCGGCAGGAAAAATGTCGAGAAAGTCCTGGTTGTTATCACGGACGGATTTTCGATAAATCCTCATGAAACTGCAAACGAAGCGTCGATATGTCGTAGTCACGGAATGAAACTAATTTCCGTGGGTGTTGGACATGGGGTTGAAGAGTACGAGCTAAAGCATATAGCGAGCGAGGTGAACGGCGAGAAGTTGGTCTATACAGTAAATGATTTTGATTCACTGAACAGCATAGAAGACGTCATAACAAGAACAACATGTGATGGTAATAAAAATTATTATCTTTTCTAAATCATCAATCCAGTTCTTTTTGTTGTCTTTTTTCATTTTGATTCTTCATTATTGCTGTTTTTTCTCCCATTTTTTTGTTCTCTTAAACTTGCGCCAATACTATGAATCATTAGTTTTTCTCATGAGATAAACCTTATTCTTAAAGCTATAAACCATTTCAATCATTAGACATCAAATGTGTATTTAAAAAAAAATCTTAAGTAAACAACATCAACGAAGGAGGACAATTACATTTATATTTTTTGAAAGCATGCATTCGAATGCAAACGGACACATATTTAGACCACTATATTTATCATTTTATCGTACAAACTTCCGGTTGCAATTTAATCCTATTTTTTCTGCGTTGTGAGCAAGTGGTGAAAGGCCACATTTAAAAGTTTATTTGAATGAATTCAGGAAATTAGACTTAAACCTGTTTCATTTCATATTTACATAATATATGTATTTATTTTTTCAAGCTATAAAAACAAAGGATGTTGAATTGGCAGACGAAACTGTTAAAAGTCAGCCTACCAAAGATGAAGCAAGAACATGTGAGTGCAAATTTATTTGAGCCGTGTCACGACAAAACCAACATAGTGCGTTTGCGACCAGCATGGATCCAGACCAGACTGCGCATCCGCGCAGTCTGATCAGGATCCATGCTGTTCGCTTACCAATCCTATTACAAGTAGAGAAACTGATAGCGAACAGCATGGATCCTGATCAGACTGCGCGGATGCGCAGGCTGGTCTGGATCCATGCTGGTCGCAAACCCATTATGTTGGTTTTGTCATGACACGGCTCAATTTTCTTTGCAATGTTATATATGATAAACTAGGACTTCTTTTTCAAACCACTTGTAATATCATGAGAAGATATTAATAATATTATCAGTGTTACTTTAGTATAGGCGTGGATATAAAATAATAGGGCTCATATTATATTCCAGGTATAGCTTTGTGGTATAATTTTGCACATAACAATTATAAAACTTGATCCCATGGTATATGTACGTTGGCCTATGTTAAGGAAATGTTTGCATCTTGAAATTTCCATATGAAGTTCCTTATAAATGGTTGTGAAGGAGTTGATATATTCATGTACATGTTTTTTGATTATGTATTTTACTTTTTATCTTTTTCAGATTGTAACGGGAAACCTGCGGATGTCTATTTCGTTGTGGACTCTTCGAGTAGTATACGTAAAACTGACTACAAGAAAATGTTGAATTTTATTACTGACGTCATAGATCTTTTTGACATTGCATCCCAGTCGACGCGCGTAGGCGTGGTTGCATACAGTGACACCGTACATCCGGTCATTGCACTTGATAATAACCTCTCCCCAAAACACTTGAAACAAAAAATAATGAATATCCCCCATTTCGAAGGTGGGACTCAGGCCGGAAGTGCTCTTAGATACTTACGAAGAGAAGGGCTAACACGAGGTTTAGCGCGGGAAAGTGTTGCTCACGTGGTCATTCTATTGACTGATGGAATGTCTTCTGATTCAAAACTAACACTGGAAGAGTCTAAGATACTTAAACAAAGAGGTACATATCTGTTTGCAATTGGAATCGGTGACCAGGTGGATACACAGGAACTAGAGGATTTGTCAAGCTACCCTCGGCAAGATTTTGTTTTTTTGATGGAAGATTTCCAGGTTTTGTCAGCCATTAAGAATCTGCTGGCGATAAAAACTTGCAAAGGTAATGAAGGTTATTCTTTTTCTCTCTCTTCATACTTGTGATATTTCTCCTTACGACATAAGTTTACCTTTTTTCTATAGCTACAACAGATGTAATACTAGCTTAAGGTCTTCAGCGTTCCCGTTTGTATACTATGACATGACGTGAACGCTGAAGACAACCCCGTAGGGAAAGTCCACCAATAATCGTGCCAGAGGAATCTGACACGCTCGTATTCATTCATCGAACATGCCATGAAGTAAAGTGAAGCATACCTTGATAAAACTATATATAATCTGTTGATAAGCCAGGGATGGACAAATAAAAATCTTATAACGAACATTAACTACCTAATAGTTACCGACAAGTAAAAAAATCAGCACTTGGCTGCCATATTGCCAAAATGTTTGACCACGTGATTACGAGATTGACCTTTACGAACCCATGTGTTTCCAATATTTTTATAAATTACTCTTTTTAAAGATATTGAAAAAGGTGATTTACTGACTTTTGTATTCAATATAATCATATTTAAGTACTAAAAAATTAATGAAAATAAATGAATGACGTCATACGAGGTCTCGCGTAGCACCTAAATGTCATGGCCGACTGTAGTTGGCGTAATTGATGTTTAGTTTAAACAATATTTTATTTCTATTTTACAACATAAATATATACAGTAAGCATATACAATCACACTGATATATTTCGTGGATTGGAAAACAAGTCAAATGTGACTTATGTAAATTCCTTTCCAAACATAATGTACTTGCAATAAAAAATATGCACATATTTGGGTAGAATAATACAGAAAAGGGAAATCAGATAAATAATTAAAATGAATAAATTTGTTAGGACATTATTATTTAGAGTAGTAGAATAAGACAATTTCTGTTTCAAGATTGTTTCATAATATTGGGAGATTACTCCAAACAATTTCTATCACAAGGTAAAATATTGTTTTTAACTAACATTCAATTTAAGTAAGTTTCTTCAAATGATTTTGTTTGGAGTGTTTCGAAAAAAAAGAGACTAAAGTATTTAAATGAAGTGTAATTGATGTTTAACAGTTAAATAGAAATTTTAATGACGGTATTATTATTTTGATACTTTAAATGGTATAGAACGATATTAAAATAATTGTTTTATTGTAAAATGCACAAGAATTGATTGGGACAAGTGTATTTGCAAGTGAAAAATAAGGTTAAATCAACTTATATGTTATGTTAGTCTGGTTAGGTTTCGTTACGGGTCTAATCCAAAACTTAAATGCCGCATCAGATGAAAAACAAAAATGTTAAATAGCGGCTTATAAAGTTTTGGGCTATAAAGGAAAAAACATGGTAAGGGCGATTATTCTGTAAGGCTTTATTTGATTTCTATTTTCACATGAGAGCAGTTTCCTCCCTTTATTACACCAAACTGCTCTTCCATCATTTAAAGGCTGAATTCACTTTTTTTCAAGGTTTACCTACACAAGCGTCTACAGATGCAGATAACGGTGGTTCAGAAGTATTACAGGCTGACGCAGGTATGACATGTAATTGTACATATTTATTTCCGGATAATTTTAGTTCAGCTAAATTATTGAATACCAAATCGGTAAAAAAAACACAACTTATTCTATGTTTACCTACATGTATGCAAGAATAAAACACAATGAGAATCAAGCAAAGAACTTACATTAATATATGATTCTTAAAATGTCGATGTTTTATGATTACAGATGAAGGACTATGTTCCACTCACAAACATGCCTTGGATGTCCTTTATGTGTATGACAGCCAATTTATTGAAAAGGATCACGCTGACGTCATCGAAAAATTGATATCCGAAATGCTTCTGGCAACAGCGGACAGTCACGTGAACACGGGTCTCGTGACACGAGCATCTGACAAACCGATACATGTTCCTTTATACAAGTACAAGGACATTGCGGAAATAAAACCTTTCCTTAAAAGGTCACAATCAGAAGGTGTCGCTGCTGTTTTAAGACATGCGCGCGTTGAAGGATTTTCGTTTGAAAATGGCGGCCGAAAGGAGGCCGCGAAGAAGGTTGTTTTATTTGTAGAGGGAGATATTGAGGATAGAAACTTGAAAGTTCGTCTGGCTGCTAAAAGACTCAAGTTCCGGTCTGATCTGGAATTGTTTGTAGTGACATTTGCAAAAGAGGCTAACGAAATTGTTACCTCCCTTGTTGACAGTCGCGAAAACTTGATACAAACCCTCTCTACAAGAACATTAAACACTGTGAGGAGATCGCTCCTCGAAAAAATATGCAAGAATAGAAGTAGGTCATAGTTGAAATATGAATGTAGGCTATTAAATTTACAGAAAGCAATTGTTGCTTGGATTTTAAAGGGAGTTTTTTTTCCATTACGAAATCGTGTAAGTTCGTAATAAGTAATCCCGTGGTGCTTCGTACTTTAGAGATGCAGTTAGCGCCGCAAGTATTTGCAAACGCATTAATTTAAAAAAAAAACTGTTTTGGTAATAAGAGTCTTTTTTACTAATTTACACTCAATGCGAAGAAAACCTTATATTTTCAAGATCTAATATTTAATCAATATTTTCCCGATCGACTACGAAAATCAATTCTTTTCCCTTTCGATTAAGAAAATCAATTTTTCAGATCGACTAAGAGACCGGCAGTCATTTGATTTCAACTTAAAAGCATTAAAAATGTAACATTTTTGTCTCTGTCTGTGGTGCAGTTATAATGCACATTTTATATGTTGTTTTATTTATTTTCCGTTTACTATTTATTACCAATATTAATTTTTGTACTTTTATATATGTTATTTATTACCTCTGGCTTGCCGTTATGTTTGATGTGGTAAATAAATCTATCAGTATTATTATTCATCAAATTTCATACATTTTTATAAAATATTTATTTCATGAGATGCAATAAAAATGCACTTGTTACTTGGATAATAAATAACTGTGTGTTCTGTAATTAAACATATATTAAATACACTAAATTCATTGCCGTTTTTGTGATTTTCTTTGATATAACAATGTCAATATTTAATGTACTTCAAATGTAAATATTATCTTTGTACTTTTTGTATTATCTTATATATTTATCATATTTTTACCTCAACTTTTTTGAAATTGAAATTATACAGGATTTATTTTCATCTTGCGGTATGAAAGTTATCATATTTCACTCGCGGCTACCGCCACTCATGAAATAAATACTGATTTATAGAAAAAAACTAGAATATCCCCTATGTTTCGTTTTTATATCTATGTAATTCTCTACTACAAAATAATTCACGTTTTGTACTCCTCTTTTCATACTTATATATCAGCCTTGTTTTTTCTTTGTTATAATATAAGTCATGTTTTTTACTCGTCTCTTTATGATAAAAACCGCCCTATGATATTTATGAACATACGTGTACTTACAAGATAAAACTAAGGGAGGTAATTATGACACCAATATCGCTCATTTTCAATAAGAGTTACCGTTATCTACAATTATTTACAGTAAAATGTGATTTTAGTATAGGAAAACATTTTGCAAAATTAATTTAGTCAAGAACGGCTGCACCGTTTGACCCATTGACTTAAGTAAATACTTACTAATAAACATTAATAAATTTAGTGTTTGAAATTATTTAAAAGAAACTGTCGATTTTCTAGATTGATTAAAATTTAGTCGATTTACCAAAGTTAATGTTCCATGATTCATTTGAAACACTACAATTCTATTGGGCGAAAAATAATTTTCAAACACATAACATAATACATGTACTACGATCTGATATAGAGGTTGTAATACTAGTAGATGCAAATGAAAAATTTTGTTAAATAATAAGAAAGACAAATGGTGGTACACCTGGTAGAATGTTTAGAATTGTTTGTGATCTAGTCATGTTAAATAAATTATATATTTTTGTATGTTTTTTTGTTTGTTTCTTATTTATTGAAGTTCTAGTTCTTTTAACTTTCAGTTATGCATTAAAGAGACAAGCATATTCATTCATAAATTTAACTTTAATTTTCGTGTCTATAACCCTTAGACAAATACAGGCAACTGGTTCTATCCATGCGACCAGGGCAATTTTCGTGTCTATAACCCTTAGACAAATACAGGCAACTGGTTCTATCCATGCGACCAGGGCAATTTTCGTGTCTATAACCCTTAGACAAATACAGGCAACCGGTTCTATCCATGCGACCAGGGCAGCTCAAGATCAGTCTTGTCATTATAAATAATACGTTACGGTATTGAGGTCAAATGACGAGATTCTCTGGAAGAAAAAAATGAGCCTTTTCTCAGATACCAACGTTTGTTAGCATATAGCCTATAATAAAAGGCTATATAATAGCATTAAATAAATACTTTTAGAGAATCCCCCACCCACCCATCCCCCACAACAACAACAACAACAAAACAAACATTCGAATGTAATCTGTTAAGATATATATAACTTTTTCTCACTCTTATTCAAAACGCAAGTTTTCTTTTTCTCTTTTTTTAAGACAATTAATTGGATTTTTTATTAAATTTTCTAACATATTTACTGTACTTCAAACTTAGCACTGTATTTATTACCAGTCAAGATAATGTCAAAGATATTTTTAATTTGGTCTTCTTATCTTACAGATATCTGAACAATATGCGGTATTGTTTTATAAAACAAGAATAGGCATTTGTGAGAAAAGTATTATATCTGTATTGGTAAATAATTTTATCATTATATTTAGCAAGTCGCATTAACATAGGGTTGTATCAGTTGCAAAACGTTGCATTATTCATTTTTAAAAGCACACACGAAGTCACCCCCTCGTCAAAGATTGACAACTGTTTAAAAGTAGAGCGCTATACACGTTTAAATGCACACTTTGAGATAAAATTTCAATGCTAACTTATTAATAATTTTTCTAAAATATCTAAATTTATCATTTCATAACAATTTTCTTTTATGATAGTGTGGGAAGGGGAAAGGACACTCTTTATAACATTAAAAATGCATAATGGAAGGGAAGGGTGATCTCGCGGTTTGATCGAGAGGTCCATAGACCGAGTGCTTCTAGGGCCTCGTATAATGTCCTTGTGCAAGAAAAAATACTCTACACAAATAAGAAGGTGATATAATTAAAATGTACGTGGCGCTGCCATATGCGGGATAATTTAAGACTCCGGAAGTAGCTTGATTAATGGATTCAAATAGCATAATGCCCAAGAGTAACTGCTTTAAAGGTCGATGAACGTGCCATGTGCATATAAACTCAGACTATTAAATGAAAAGAATACTCCATTTTTTGTGTGTTTTCGTGACAACCAAACGATTTAATAAACATGTCTTATCGATTTTCAAGAACACAGACGACCAAATTATTTCAAACTCAATGCATGTCCTGAATTACCCTAAAGTCCTGAAACGACACCCAATAACCCGTATGTACTGATATCAGCAAGTGCAAAATATGTTTACGTATATTACCCGCTACCCAGTTTCCAGCAGAACTCAATAACCCCGGCTCTGCAGTGCTACTATCAAAAATAGGTCTTAAATATTTAGGGGAAGAGTTCTTTGTTATTTTCATTTAACAGGTTCCAGGTTCTATGTGATAAGATAACCATGGGCTCTTTGTGAACTTAATAATAATATAGTATATCGATGATCATGTATTAAAATCATGACAAGATATTGGTTACGCCCACTTTTTTGACCCAGTGTTCGATTTCGAAATAACGAGTTTGTAACCTATTTTAGTGGTGTCTGACCTGATAAAACTGCTCACAAAGCGTTCCCGACTGTGCCCCGACCAGACGACATATAAGAGCGATGATACGTAAGTAAACAAATAAATAACTCCCAAAATTTAATTGAAATCGAGTAAATCGGCACTTCAAGTGGTGCATAGTTACCGAAAACAATATGACATCTTATCAAATAAAAAAAGTTCGACATAGAAAAATTGAAAACTGAGCAGTTGTGTACTTTTCCTCAGTCGGGCCTTCTGTTTTTACTCTTGTAGTTTGTCTTGCTTTGCGAACTTGAATTTGATTTTTTTTCTTCGGAAATTATTTCGGTGAGTGTCTTTTCTTTTATATGGTTTTAAGAAAATCTATGAGTTCGAACATCATTTTTTGAAATTGTAAATACAATATCTAATGCATTTATTTAATCATATATTAGTTATTATAAATAAATATAATATTTAAATCTTTATCTATTTCTTTTTCTTCTTGCTTGGCTTTCTATTTTTTTTTTACAAAATTTGTAACAAGAAACGCCTGATTTTGCAAGTTTTCTGTATTTATTCTATTTTGTTATCTTATTAAATGTTTCAACATTGTCACTTTTTGTGGTAATAAAACAAACTTGCCCCTATATCTCTTTATTTTGTACAGTTTAATCTTAAGTATAGCATTAGTTATTAACATAACAGGTGACCAATTATCAAACACTTTCAAAAAGTAAAACATTTTCGAAGTAATTCATAGTGAGTTGTACATATGTCAACTTGAACCTTTTACGTAACGTACAAAAAAGACAATTAACTTTAAAGCTGCATGCCTTCAGATGAACCACATTACTCAAAGAAAATCAAACTTGAGAAAAAAAGAAGTGAAATTTTAAGAAAAGTAAAAAGATTCAAGATAAAAGTAATAATTTCCATATTATTTGCGATTGGTGACTGATTTTGAAGTAAGTTTCACCATATTGCTACTGCATGCGTACAAACGCACTAAGGGCAATTTTTGCATAATTTGACATTTTTGGGGGTTAATTTACTTCGTTCGTAAGTTTTATTTGCAATGTGAAAATTATTTTCTTCCTTCATTTCCCAATATTTTACTTTTTAACACATTTTCAAAATTTCATGAAAATTAGCATGACTCTGGAGGCCTGCTGCTTTAAATATAATTCTTATGTAATGTTGGATTAACAAAAACTTCAAAAATTACTTTACACCAATGAAATTTATTTTATTTCAGTTCAAGGTTCGAGCATATAATGCAAGTGTTCTTGCGAACCGCAGCGCTGGTACTACTGGCGAATGCCTTCACTTCAGGTAACTCTTCTTTCTAATTGGCACCATTTGCTATTGTTATTTACAGGCTACCGAATTATGACGGACATTGCCGAAATATGACGGAAATGCCGAATGTAGCCAAATTATTCTTAATAAATGATTATTTTTCAAGTTTTAGTTTGAATATCAACACATTAATATTTTACTTTTAAAACTTATTTCTTTACTATGCTCTTATTTATTTGCAATATATTGTATCAATTCTTTCCAAATAAATCTTCATTAAAGATTTAAATTCTCAACAAAACAACCAAGACATCTGTCCCCCGAAAGGATGTTTTGCAGAGGTTTTACTATATTTATGATATATTTTTGTAACGATGCTCAGCATGATGGTGAAGAGCTGGTACTATACCCCTTCAATCTTTTCTTTTTTAAGTATTCGGACAGGATTGCCCACCTGATGACCCGGTTTGTAGACAGATAGGTCAGAGCGTGTGTGTGCCGCCGTTGTCGGATACTTTCGGCAGATCACAATGCGGAATTTATTGTGAGTTTTGTTACTATAACGACACTACCGATGCGCCAACCGGAGTAACGGGAGTGACAGGAATATCTACGTTACCAACAACGGAGACTACAAGTAACGTTTCATTTTTTTTCCTTTTATTTCATCTTTTATCTGATCTTAATACCGAATTTAGGCATTATTGAGTTACAATATTCAAAAAAAATTATTTCATAAAAAAAAATAATAAAAGCAATAATTGTGATGGTATGTTACTGCTATCGTTACGATGATTATGACGGTGATGATGATTATGACAGCGATGGTGATTACGATGATGATGATGACTGCGATTATGTTAATAATGGTACTGATGATGACTGTGATTATGTTGATAATGGTAATGATGATGACGATTATCATCAAGCATCACCATCATTAATAAAAAATTACAATAATTACGATTATAAAGCATGTTGTACTTTTCGTTCCCTCTCCTAAACAAACTCAATCAAGCACTGTACATTTACCCTGACTATTGCAAGAAATAAAATTTTCTTACAACATATTTTATTGTGGATATGTAATAACTTAACCTTTCAGTACCAATCCAGGAATGTCCCGATGACGATCCAATATGTCGTCAGGTCGGAATTGATATCTGCGGACCGGAGTATTTCGATTTCGCCAAAAGAAAATGCGGTCAATATTGCGAATATTGTTTTCTAAACGAGACATTACCAAGCCAGGGAACGCCAGCTTCAGAAACGCCACCTAACATTACTGTAACAATGCCACCACAAACTACAACAACAACAACGGAAATGACTACAACAGTGACTGAAATACCGGCAACAGAGCCTTCGACTACACTGGGAACTGAGATACCACAAACTGTCACTGTCACGTTACCGGAAGTGACCGAAAAACCACAAACTGTGACTGTTACGTTACCGGAAGTGACCGAAAAACCACAAACAGTGATTGTTACACAAACAAATGCGACCGAAATACCACAGAATGTCACAGCAATAGTAACAAAAGCTACTGAAACACCGCAAACAATGATAGTTTCACAAACGGCTGCAACCGAAACCCCACAAACAGTGAAAGTTCCACAAACAATAGCGACTGAATCGCCTCAGCCCATGACAACCGAAAAACCAAAAGCAACAGAAAAACCGATCACGATGGAAACAACAAAAGCGACTGAACCGCAAAATGCTTCACTTGCGACCACAAAGGCGACTGAGAACCCACCGAAACAAACTTCAAAATTAGCAACGTTGCTAGTACCGGAGACGACAACTGCTCGTCCAGTACCAACAACACAGGGTATACCTTAACAATCATTTGATAAACTAGTCTTATGCCTTTTATATAAAACTTTATTGCGTGATTTAGCAAATGCTTTTATAATTACAAAATTATTTTATCGATCAAATGCAATACTAGTACTTCTTGTAGAAATGGACAAAGGTACCGATACATTTATTTACATGTATTTGTATTTCAAAATAAGGTATTCATAAACTAGAGAAAGATTCCGATAAAGATAAAACTTTGCTAGGATTTGTTGGATAGTTTGATACAGCGATACTAGAATTCTCAAATGAGGTGAATGAAGCTATTCCTTCCTTAACTGGATAATAGAACATATTCTCATCTTTCTTTTTCAATGCTTAGAGCATGCTTGATTAAATATCGAGCGTTTGTGCACCTTTATGACATACAGTAGGATTATCAAGCCCTAATGTGTTCGCTAACACACTCTTTCCAATTTCCAGGACATTGGCTTTTCCAAGATTGTAACCGGACCGCAGAAGTCGTGTTTGTTTTAGACTCATCAAGCAGTGTGGGTGCAGACAATTTTAAAATGATGCTTGAATTCACACAGAATATCACAGAACGCTTGGAATCCGAATACGAACGCTTGAACCTTACTGTTATTACGTACAGCAACGAAGCAAAGGTACAGTTCTATGATTTATACTATAGTAGTAGGAAAATCAAGGATCACGTGATTCGTGGGTTTGGAAAGTTAAATACGAACTTATTCAAGTAACTTTTATTTACTATTTACATATTACAGCGTGTATGTATCGATGACAAATTTTAAACAAATACGGTTAGTGAATTTTATTCTGGTGTTATAATATGATGCTAAACATTTTTTCTTTCTTTGACAGGTTGCTTTACAGTTGAACGATTCTGTTAATGTATACACAGCAGTTACCGCCGAGGGAAAAATCCCGTACTCGCATGGCGGCACCCAAACACACAAAGCTTTAGAATTAATGATAAAATCATTCAGCCGTGACGTCATTAATCCAAAGATTGCTGTGGTAATCACAGACGGTGCTTCGTTTGAACCAGATCAGACACGCAAAGCAGCCCAGTATGCAAAAGACAATGGTGTAGCTATTTTTGTCATTGGTGTTGGCGATGACGTCAATACTCACGAGACAAAGGATATCAGTAGTGACCCGGATGGAAGGTTTCTGTTCCAACTGAACAACTTTGGGGCTCTTTCTTCTATCTCTGAGCTATTCCATTCCAAAACGTGTCTAGGTATTGATTTTTTGAATTAGACATACAAGATAAAGATTTACTTTCGTCATGTGCATTAAATATGAAATTCGTTATTTTATTTTAATCAAGTAGAGCATGATGTTAATTCTTGCCCATAAAAACTTTATATACTATTATTAATATTGCAGTGTCAACACAGCCAACGACAGAAACTACACAGAAAATAACTGAACAGACTGTGACTGAAGCTCCACAAACTGTTCAAACAGTTACAGAAACACCACAAACTATAACAGTGACAGCTAAAATAACGGGATCCCCACCTATGCCAGTATCTGGAGAATCACCAACTCCAAAACCAGCCGTTGTTAGTACTGATAAACCGTCTGCCATTCCACCCGTCCAGACACAAACACCAATTATTGTTCCTGTGGAAACTGGACCGACAGCAGGACCTGTAAGTGCACAAACACCAATTGTTGTTCCCGTGGAAACTGGACCGACCGCTGGACCTGTAAGTGCACAAACACCAATAATTTTTCCCGTGGAAACAGGACCGACAGCAGGACCTGTAAGTGCACAAACACCAATTGTTGTTCCCGTAGAAACTGGACCGACAGCAGGACCCGTAAGTGTACAAACACCAATAATTGTTCCCGTTCAAACGGGATCAACAGCAACGCAAGTAAGCAAACAAACCCCCATTGTCGTCCCAGTCGAAACTGTCTCAACAAAGAAACCAGTATCTATTACATCTGTAATTGTACCAGAAACCCAGAAACCTCAGAAAACTACAGTGACAGAAGAACCAAAAACACAACCACCTCAACAAACAACAACAAAGGCACCAGAAACCCAGAAACCTCAACAAACAACAATAACAGAAGAACCAAAAACACCGGTACCTCAGCAAACAACAGTGACAGAAGAACCAAAAACACAACCACCTCAACAAACAACAACAAAGGCACCAGAAACCCAGAAACCTCAACAAACAACAATAACAGAAGGACCAAAAACACCGGTACCTCAGCAAACAACAGTGACAGAAGAACCAAAAACACAACCACCTCAACAAACATCAACAAAAGCATCAGAAACCCCAAAACCCCAGCCGATTACAACAACAGAAGAACCAAAAACGCCAGAACCTCAGCAAACAACAACAAAGGCACCCGAAACGCAAAAACCTCAAATAACAACTACAACAGAAGAACCAAAAACACCCAAACCCCAACTAACAACAACAAAAGCACAAGAAACCCCGGAACCCCAACCAACTTCAACAACAGAAGAACCAAAAACACCAGAACCTCAGCAAACAACAACAAAGGCACCCGAAACACAGAAACCCCAAATAACAACTACAACAGAAGAACCAAAAACACCCAAACCCCAAATAACAACATCAAAAGCACAAGAAACCCCGGAACCCCAACCAACTTCAACAACAGAAGAACCAAAAACACCAGAACCTCAGCAAACAACAACAAAGGCACCCGAAACACAGAAACCCCAAATAACAACTACAACAGAAGAACCAAAAACACCCAAGCCCCAACTAACAACAACAAAAACACAAGAAACCCCGGAACCCCAACCAACTTCAACAACAGAAGAACCAAAAACACCAGAACCTCAGCAAACAACAACAAAGGCACCCGAAACACAGAAACCCCAAATAACAACTACAACAGAAGAACCAAAAACTCCAGAACCTCAGCAAACAACAACAAAGGTTCCAGAAACCCCGAAACCTGTACCAAGTCCAACAACAGAAGAAGTGCCAAAAACACCAGAACCTCAGCAAACAACGACAAACGCTCCAGAAACCCAGAAACCTCAAGAAACAACAACAAAGGTACCAGAGACTCAAAAACCTCAACCAATTACAACAACAACCGAGAAACCTATAACTCAAGAGCCAAATCCAACATCCACGGTGAAACAAACGACTGCAAAACCTCCGCCTAAGCTTACCACGGTGAAACAAACGACTGCCAAACCTCCACCTTCACTTACCACGGAGAAGCAAACGACTGCCAAACCTCCACCTACACTAACCACGGAGAAACAAACGACTGCAAAACCTCCACCTACACTTACCACGGAGAAACAAACGACTGCCAAACCTCCACCTTCACTTACCACGGAGAAACAAACGACTGCCAAACCTCCACCTACACTTACCACGGAGAAACAAACGACTGCCAAACCTCCACCTTCACTAACCACGGAGAAACAAACGACTGCCAAACCTCCACCTACACTTACCACGGAGAAACAAACGACTGCCAAACCTCCACCTACACTTACCACGGTGAAACAAACGACTGCCAAACCCCCACCTTCACTTACCACGGAGAAACAAACGACTGCCAAACCTCCACCTTCACTTACCACGGAGAAACAAACGACTGCCAAACCTCCACCTTCACTAACAACGGAGAATCAAACGACTGCCAAACCTCCACCTACACTAACCACGGAGAAACAAACGACTGCCAAACCCCCACCTACACTTACCACGGAGAAACAAACAACTGCCAAACCACCTACTTCACTGACTACGGAGAATCAAACGACTGCCAAACCTCCACCTACACTAACCACGGAGAAAACAAACGACTGCCAAACCTCCACCTACACTTACCACGGAGAAGCAAACAACTGCCAAACCTCCACCTTCACTTACCACGGAGAAACAAACGACTGCCAAACCTCCACCTACACTTACCACGGAGAAACAAACGACTGCCAAACCTCCACCTACACTTACCACGGAGAAACAAACGACTGCCAAACCTCCACCTTCACTAACCACTGTGAAACAAACGGCAACCAAAACCCAAACTGCTACAGCAGGGCCGATAACTACAACACACAAGTTACCGACAACAACTGCATGTATGTAAAAATATTTTGAAAATTTGATTTTTCTGCATGCAGTTTATGCAATCATGTACCGATAAGATAATTAACTTCATCTGCTGAATTTTAATGGACCTGTCCAGCTTCTAGTTTTTGAATTGATTATTAAAGATATTAGAGATATTAAGATGAAAATTGAAATTATTATAGAGCTGTCAAAGACTATCGCCCATTTGTATAAGAATCTTATCAACTTATAGAATGTTTTTAATCGTGTACAAACGTTTACGAGTTCTTTATTTTTTTTCAGCTTGTATCAAGAAAGTCGCCGACATTGTCTTTGTTGTCGATTCATCTGGCAGTATTGGCGCAGACAACTTTCAGAAGGTCCGGCAATTTATCAGAGACGTGGTAATGACCTTTGACGTTGGTCCAAACAGCACCCGAGTAGGACTTGTCGAGTACAGCACGTCGGCTCATATAGAGTTCAAACTGAACGAGAAAACGAATCGCACAGATCTTTTGTCAGCTGTAGACGCCATTGCATACTCTGGTGGAGGAACATCGACATCAGACGCTCTCGAGCTTATGAGGTTGCAAGGCTTTGACGGGTACGTTGCCTTGTGCGGTCCCCCATCCCCTTCCCAACCCTGGGATCGACTAGTATGTCTATCCCACTGATATTTAGATCTCAACTTACGTTACGTGTGAAATTTACGCTAAAATTTGATTGCTCCTGGCCCCCTTTGAAAAACTAAGTAATATACTAGTACTTATAATGTCAAACCCATTTGCATAGATAAGAATGTATGCACCATAAACCGGTAGTCCATTGATGTGTTTGTCACGTGTTACATTCGTTAACATTGTTCGACTACAATCATTTGCCTTTTTATTGTTTTAACATCGAACCTCAAGAAAGACATTAAACCTTGGCCTTCTGAATGTCTTAAATAAACTTGTCCAGCTTCTGTTTATGGAACTGTCCATAATCAATTTTGGGAATATCAAGATGAGAACTTACAGTTGGTCCGTCAACAGTATAGAGCCTGGTCTGACGGCGCAGAAGTGATGGTGGTCTAGCTTTATACTGATGACATATATCACTTTTAGTCTCATCAGGGTAAAGGTTCAATTCTTACAAGAGAGAAGGATAAACAGAATGTCTTAGATTGTACTCAAGCGCCAGTCTGATCATGTTTATAATAAACAATGCATAAAGAGGCATTTGAGAGTTTTATTCATAAGTCAAATTGTAAAATGATAAGAGAACATAGATGAACAAGACAGGGCGACGTTCACAGAATGAAGTGTCGATAAATTTTGTCACAAAAGAGCACCGGAAAGCATCAAATAGTTTACCGGACAAAAGGCAGCGGTTGGATAACTCACCATTTATGCATTAATTCAATTTTTCCTTTTTGTTATAAAATGTTATTTCTTTAATTCAGCGAACGTCCGGGCGCCCCAGACATCGCAATCGTAATAACTGACGGACTTTCGAAATACCCACAAATCACTCGGAAACAGGCGGACCTTGCCAAGGGTGAAGGCATAACAATGTTCTCCATTGGCATAGGTAACCTTACAGACCAGAGCGAGCTTGTTTCCATATCCAGTGACAGGAAGTTTTTGTTCCAGGTCGGTGATTTCGAGACACTGCTGACCCTGGACAGTGTAGTGGCGCATATGGCATGTGGAGGTACTGGTTATCCTTTCATTTACCTTAAACTCCAATTATAACAATACTTAGGAGACCGTCGAATTTATATCGCTATATCCGGATATGTTATATCCGAGGGGCAACCAATTTGAACGTAAATGTCGGATCTGCGGCAACAGCATCGTTATAAGCGGTATATCGTTATAAGCGATATTGTTTATAAGTGGAGTTTACTGTACATTCTAAGTTACAAAGTGACGCAATGTTCTCATTCGATATCTTTTAAGAATTGTCCTTTTAACTTTACTCAATAGGTATTACATATGTTCACCAAATTTGAAGATTTCATTTTCATTGGATATACATGCTAACTTGTCTAATAAATTTCGTGTAAAGCATAAGAAATGTTTTTGTTGTAGATCTTTTTTTGTTTTTATTTGTAATTTCTTGTAACTTTTCTTACAGTGACGAGTGTTGTAGACATGCTTCGTTTAGTATAAACATGTTCCTGCCTGTTTAAAATATGATAAATCACGAGACTTAAAAATGAATTCATTATAAACTTAATATTATAAACTTATAATTATATGTGCAAGAATAGAATTTTCATACAAAAAGCTGGTATTCCAGATACACGATTGTTGTCGAAGAACTTGTATATAGCGCAGATTGCGTGAACTATAAATGACGTAGCTTTTATTTCTTTCTTGATGAACAACAATAATAATGTATGTTTGAAAACATTTACAGTTGTCCTACCTGAACAACATTATACTAGAATAGCAACTACCGCGTCAACCACGCCGTCGGGCTGTGTGGATTTAAGCCCCGACTGTGCCTCGTACCCACGGGACTCGTGTACGGACTACGCCCCATACGCCAAGAAAAACTGCGCAAAAACTTGCGGTTATTGCCCAGGTAAGTAAAGATCTAAATTATTATACCTAGTTCAAAAGAAACTTTGACACAGACCATATATAAACTAGTCTAATACAAATCAGGATTACCTGTTATTTAAGTATGTCTAGTTTTCAAAGTTAAGTGAAATTAGTTACATCGTAATCATTGAATCGCAACCAATTGTTGTCATTGTTGCTGAGATTTCAAAGATTTGCTATATATTCTTAACTTTAGCATTCAATATTTCTACAATCAAATCGTGTGAGAAATAGAGGTTTGGAGTTTGGATAAATAAGAAACGGGATCTAATTCCATACACCATGAACAACTCGCTTTTCGAAAAAAAAAAACAAAAAAAAAAAACAATTGACTGTATAGCTCATCCAATTTAGTCATTAGTTATTCTAATTCGTTACAAAGCAAAGTAATGTGTCAACAAGTTCCTCAACAGTGTCACTTTTTTGATGTTTCGAACGCGTAAAAATGATTTTTACCCGGAATTTTCTTGGTATAGCATGCGTTGCTTTACATATACTAGTATGCAGTCGCATTCAAATTTGGTTCCAATCATCGTTATATTGGATGACTATATATTTATTTGCTTACATTTATTTTCGTGATATTTAAATTACTATTTCGTCCTTTTAACAGGTTTCCCCCTGGTGGAACCAGCCTGTGAAGATAAGCTGGGTAACTGTGAACAATACGGCACAGATATGTGTTACAATCCAGCCCAGTTTAGCTGGGTCGATACAAACTGTAGAAAATTCTGTGGATTTTGCGGTAGGTCCATTTTACGTCACAAGCTACGTAACGTTCAACGTCACCAACCATGGAAGGCCTGTATCACAGTGATCGATCTAAAATTCCATTACAATACTGCCATTTAGTTAATGTTAAGAAGACATAAGCAATAATTATGAAATCTGACTTTGACGTTTGCAATTATCCCATTTCCTGTGCATATCACGATTATTTTTTCCAAATATGGGTCTCTAATATTGTCTGTTTGAACAGATTTTATGTAAAACATTTTATTTGCTTGAGTCGCTTTCATAAAAAGAGTCGGCATCATTCGCAAGTGATTGTTATTCATTATATAAATTTATACCGAAGGCGGAAAATACCGGAATGTTACGATTGTGTACAGTTCAAGTGATTTGTTTCATTGTATTTTAGGTAACAAGACTGAATTATACATTACCACAACTCAACCAACAACAGTTGTTACAGGTATGTCAGTATTATTATTATTTTTTATTATTATTATTATTATTATTATTATTATTATTATTACTGTCATTATTATTATTATTATTATTACCGTCATTGTTATTATTATTATTATTTTCATAATTTCAAATAAACTTTTATAAAATTTTCTGAATAAAATGCATTTCATTATTGAGAGTCATAAAGTCGCGAAAATGTTGATGGGGTTAACAGGCTGTCGTTGTTTTCGCGAATAAATATTGATTTATTTTTATGGTTTTACGCCTATTTTAACATATTTTATGGTCATATCTGGGCGGTTGATAGATCCAACAGTTTTTTGGTTTTTTTTGGATAACTAACCACTTATTACCAATTTTAACTACATGTGACTGATTACTAATCCTACATGTTTTATGCATCAGTGGTGAGAGACTCCACCCCCCCCCCCCCCGAAAAATCTCCAACCAGCACCACCACCCCCCCCCACCCCCACGTCAGAGGATCAAACCAGCGGCCCCAGGGTTACTCATACGATACTCGCCCTATTGATCAAAGCAGTGGACCTCGCAAATAAAGCCAGATGCAAAAGTTGGTTTTAATATACCGACAATGTATGGTTACAAACTGAATGGTTACAAAGTAATTGCTGTTTTCAAGAACATTGATTTTTTTTTCTAATAAACATTCAAATATTGAGAGAAAAGATATGATATTTGCAGTGAGAAATATTTGATATCTTTTGTAAAACCTCAAAAGCTTACCAAATTCCGCTCGTCTTTGATAAGTAGGTGTTACTTAATATAAAATTCCTATCAGTTTATAATAGAAAATCTAAATCCCGTGTGTCTTAACTGAACAATAGATGATACAAGATACAAGTATATGTACTTTAATTTCAAAACGATCGGATTTTAGCTTTACAATCTTAAAGTGATATACTGTAAAAGTAGTTAAGTTAGCGGCGCGGAAATATTGGCGAATTTCGTGAACTGAAGAAAAATCTATCAGCCAACCAGTCTTTAAATTTTACCTTAGCACGATCTCACGCGAAATGTTTGGAATTTTAAATTCGCTTACTGTTCGACACAAAGAAATATCTATCTATACAGTATTACAAGGCAATAATGCAAGAATCCTTGCACGTAAAATCCGTGCAATATTTATTTGTATTTCAAACACGAGATCTTTTATTTTCAGATGCTAAATGCGAGGATAAATTTTCAAGTTGTGCAAGCTACAATGCGGACCTGTGTACGAACCCCACATATGACTCCTGGGCACGGACAAATTGTCCGAAATATTGTGGCATTTGCTTTAATTACCACCACGTTACCAGCGTGGTAGTTAATAAAATTCAGTAAGTAGCACGGTTCTGTGCATACCTAACATTTTGGTTTATACATAATTCATTTTAGTTCGATTGTGTAGGAAGCTATAGGCTTATAGAAACACTTTCGAATCCGTTTCTGGAACCAACCAGTACTGAACAATGAGTGTAAAGTTTCTTGCTCAAGGAAACCACGAATTGTCCCTTACGGGATTTGACCCCGTGCGGCAAGCGATTGTTAGATTACTAGTCCGACGCGTTAACCACTCGGGATGCCGCCACTTAAATATAATAACTATATAGCAACATGTCTCTAGATGGTAGAATGAAATAGAATTAAGTACATAGTAAACACTGGTCTCGATAAATATAAAGTGGATTGGTCTCTAATTGGCACATTTTCTGTATGTGCTTCAAATTTTAGATAAAACAACATAAATGTATCGTTTGGATATTCTTATAAAGTATTTCTCGCAAAAAACATTATAGATAGGGTCCTAAGTGATTTAGTATGGACATTTATATGATGAAAAATAATATTCAACGATAAAATGTTGGTCTTTTTACACTAGATTTGATCGACATGGAAACTGGAATGATATTCCAAAATGTAAAGTCTGGTTATAATTGGCAGGTATCCTTTAAATCAGGTTTGATTGTAATATGTAACATAATTGTCTTGCTCTTGAGAAAAAAATCAAGGGCAGGTAATGCAGACCAAAATATATCAGAATGTATCCCAGACCAAGAGTTTGGGCAGGTGACTCATACTTGACATTTGTTAATTAACATATAAATTACTTCATAAACTACGATTTAAATTTACGATTTTCTGTATTTCAGATGCCCAGCTTGGAAACTTCCGGAGCAATGCACATTAGAATACAAGGACGGGCAATGTTGTCCTTTCCCGAAATGTACCGACGGTCTCCGACTATCTATAAAACGCCTCTTGTGATAGGCAAATTTTGTGTACTATTATTGTATATTCATCAGCATTGTAGTTTGTTAAAACGATACATTTAAATTTCGTATATCTAAGACTAATGTATTTTGAGTTCCCCCGTTTGTTAACCAGTACATATGTATGATGGACAAGTAGGAGCATATTATTCCGTCCAAAATGAACTTTACAGATATAAAAACGCTACAATTTATATTTCAAAAAAGTCATGGCCAAAATATCTTCTTACGATGTAATAATTTATATTCATAAAAGGCTAGCTAAGAGTGTCCTTGTTTGTTTGTTTGTGAGCTGGAAAATGTACTAAGGGCTTATTTTCACTTCTCATACATATGATTTGTCAGACAAAATTAAGTGCATTTATTTTTCTTCCTCAAAAGTTTTTTAAATATTGTGTTGACCTGTTAAAATTTTCAAAAAGTTTCTCACTGGCCTTGTACCTGGGCCATCCTTTGCTTGTACCAGGATTTCGTATTTTGTATGGAAGACAAAATACAACATCGTTTACATTTCGCGTCCTTTATGACGCATAATGTCGCATTCAGTTTATTATGTTTTAAGCATCTCACAGACTCTAAATAAATTATTACAACAATATAATCACACTTGTTTGCCATTTCTAGAGAACGAAAAATGTTTTCATTTTTTAGGCTTAATGTGTCTTTAAATTAAGCTCGTAAATGAAATCAATTAACCACTATGTCTCCGTCTTTTCTGTTGTTTTCAATTTGTTATGTAGCATTTATCTGTAGTTTTTTTTTCTTACACTTGGAAGGTTTTGATAGAAACAACTTGAAGAGTTGTTAGGGATAGATGGTCAGTCAAACTAAATTTGACATGGATACAGTCGCATAGAAATGGAAAAAAATCACAGTATATTTTGTGTGAATACATATACAAATACTATAATGGTGTGAAAATGTATCTGTATTTATAAAAAAAACAACCTGCGCTCCTCCTTTTTTTTCGTTAATATGTATCGTAATATAAAATGTGACCGAAAAAAAATTTTGATTGAGAATATATTGTTATAAATGTATAATATGAGTGAATAAATGTGATATTAAAACATTGATAGTGTGTTATGATTTGCGATTCATACATAACCAGTTGATAAATATACGTTTAAAGTTTGCTCTATTTTTTGTTTCAATATTAACATTGGTCATACTAAATATCTGAAATGGATTCGTCCGTCTTTAAACCTTGTCACAACCAGAAAATTCAAAATCTGCAACGTTACAGACTAAATAGCGAACTTGCAAGACCATGTCCACACGGCAAAGACTTACCACACCGGCTAATTTTGGTCTCCACTGATGGTTTTGCTAGATTATGTAGCCATCAGAGTTAAGAAACTTCAAATAATGAAATGCTTTATAGACTGAAATTATCAACATGGGCCCGAAAGAATTAAATTAGAAGCCATTTTTGATAAACTTTGACCTTTTTTTACTATGGCACATCTTTTTGCACAATAGGAAACAATGAGCCAGTTAAATGCCGCTTTAGTCACCTGCCCTTTTTCATCGGATTATTTTCCCCTGCACTGGTGTTCAGAGCACGAAATTCTATGACAGTCATGCGGAAATTAAAGATAAATCCTCTCGGTTGATTTAAAAAAAAACAACATTTGGATTAAAGTAAAACATGTCAAATGAAGCTCTTGTGAAGTTCCTCGTAAGAATGATAATTTTCGTTAATTTATCTTTTTACTCCAAGCCTGCTCGTAGCTACAGAAACTACCCAGTGGAGACAAAGATTCCGTACCACCTGACCATTGTCTGTACCCTTCCTTTTTTCGGTCAATAGGATCTAATATAAAAAAAAACAGAACCTAAAAAATTAAGAAAATACTAAAAAATATAATAAAACACATACAACAAGACAATAACGCCCCAAAGAAATCTAAAAATACTGCATTTGTTCCGTGTCTGGAAAATAATATAAATTAACTTACCCCTGATATGTGACTTCTCTGAACTTTATTACTCTGACTTGAGTTTCGGAAACAGCCGAAAACCGTTGGGTGTGCAAGGTCTGGACTGTATAGCGGATGTTGCAGTATCACAAATGAGTCAAATCCAAGCAGTGGCATGTCCAACACAGTATTGTGTGCACTGATAAGGATGAAGTTTTTCAATGTTCCGCTATAAATGCATTCAACGTAGCGCCAGCATGAAATCCCATCGGAGAACCTGAAACTCATAAGAAGTGATAATTCCATTATTTTTGTAAGTCTTAGAAAAATAAAATGTTAAGGGGCCTATCTACGTTATAAAAAATCTTCTCAAATTTAGTTGATGGTTGATATAATAACATCATTACTTTAATTCATTTCCATCGCCTCCGAATAAAAGTATGCATTTACAGTGCAAGCATCGCGGACACGATGATGTATGATTATATCCCGTTGATTATTTATCATTTATTTAAAATGAACATTTTCTTTTGCAAATTAATGTTCTGCTACTGCGCTTCCTTCAGCCGTAAGTAGCGGGGATGTGAAGGGGTATTTAGAGTCTTCCTAATGGAAGATTGGCGCTTCGACTCCGGGTCGTGACAATGAAGCTAAGTTGCATCTGTGGTAATGATGTTTATGTCTAAAACTAGAACTCCGCGAGTCGGATGTGTCGCCTTGTGAACAATATAGTTTAGGAGAAATGGCCAGGACAAAAATGAAATATGAAAATTAACAAAGGGCAATAACTAAAAAATAAGAAGTGCAGAGCAGCAGTTTCTGTGCACTGCATTTCTTATCATTAAGATCTATCATCCTACAAAGTTTCAAGACAATAGCTTTTATAATTTATGAGAAATGGCCTGGACAAAAATAAAGTATAAAAACTAATAAAGGGTAATAACTCGAAAAACAAGAAGTGCAGAGTACCGGTTTTTTTAGGCTGCACTTATTCTTAATGGGATCTGTCATCCTCTGAAGTTTATAGACAATAGCTTTTATACTTTAGGAGAAATGGCCTGGACAAAAATAAAGTATGAAAATTAACAAAGGGCAATAACTCAAAAAATAAAAAATGCAGAGTACCGGTTCTTGTGCACTGCACTTTTTCTAAATGAGATCTATCATCCATGATGATCCTATGAAGTTTCATGTCCATATCTTTTATACTTTAGGAGAAATGGCCCGAACAAAAATAAAGTATGAAAATTAACAATGGGTAATAACTCAAAAATTAAGAAGTGCATAGTACCGGTTCTTGTGCACTGCACTTCTGGTCATTATAAGAAGCATGCATACCAAGTTTGAAGTCAATCCGACTTATAATGACTGACTTATGCTCCGGACAAGCTTAAGGGGACGCCGACAACGACGCCGCCGACAAATCGTTATCCTTAGTATAGTATAGATGAAGAAATACGCTGGACCATTACATCACATCACTATCGCATCATACAATCTGACTAAAGATCTTCTTATGTTTACTTTCAAACGTAATCTTTTAAGAGCTGATTTTAAAGAGATTATCCCGTCATATATTACCCACAAGCTAAAAGAAAAATGTATGTGTTGTTTTGTCTCAAAATCAGACAAATATATATCTTTCTATGTGTTACTCTTTGCATTGGGCATCGGACCTATACGAATAAAAATTATAGATATACGTGTACATGTATGGAAGCAGGGTAATATAACGATACATGGTTGAGTGCTTGAAATAAAATGTTGATAAGTTCTCAGTGATATAGTATGAACATTTATAATAATAATAATAATAATAATAATAATAATAATAATAATAATAAATATTGTTATTATAAAATGTTCTAGAACATTTTATTATCTGCTATATATAAATATATGTTATATCGGATCCTGTATCTTACAGTTGCCAACAAGATCTACAGATAATCCTTTCGTAGTTTGTTATTTTAACTTATACTAAATACTTTCAACATAATTATTTATAGTATTGCAAACCTTCCATTTTTGACAAATTCACTTTAATGTATCAATTCAAAAAGTTATAATAACGAATTCTTTAACTTGATACCCCTTGACAGTTATCATAAAGACACAGATTTTTTAAATTAAATTGTATTTATTTTTATGCACATTGTGGTTGTGATACTCCGGATCACGGCAGTAAGCCACATTGAATTTACCAGAGCACAGTTCAGCCACCTACCCGGTATGTCTATTGTCTTGCAAGCGCTTCTAGATATTATAAAAGAGGGCCTAGCTGCGGCGCAAGTCATACATGTACATGTATCTTCAAAATAGAGAAAAGCAGAATCTCTAAATAAAGCCCAACACGGCAAAATTGAAATGTTGAAGGCTCGGTTTGATTGAGCCTGTTCATGGACGGTACTGGAAAGTGCAAGTTCCCGTCCATGCCCTCTAGCACCGGCCTTATACTCACTCGATTCTAAAAAAAATGTTGAAATTTTCATAAAATTAACCCTGACACAAACGTTTTTGCACAAAAAACCGTCCCAGCTAACTTTTAGATGATAAATCGCCGTTGTTACAAATGTAGATCTTTAGACAAATCACGTTTAACTGTCTGTTGAAAAAGATTACTTCATTTCATTTTGCAGACATTGCTGACGAAGTATTTTACAATTTAAAATGACATCATTTTTGGTGCAAAATTGTAAGTGATTTGTCAAACATCCAGGGCATTCATTTTTAATAAAATTTAAAAAAAGGCCTTACAAATATAAATCTTTTTTATGATTTCTTTTCCCTGTCTATTAAAGTACAAAGATAAAAAAAATCGGTGGAAAGTTTAGATCGAATTAGGTAACGTCTGTGTATGTCTCAACATGCACAGGTGACCTAATATTTGATCATGACACTAACGTACCCGTTATCTTCAACTATAAGACGGGGTACTTGAGTTCGCACTCCGTTTCTAGGGTAGATTTTCTCATAAATATATAATATTGAGACGATTAAGTGCCACCAAATCTTTTTATCAACAATCAAAGTACAAAATTACATTTAATAAATGTATGGAGGGGTTGAAATTTGTTCTCAAAGACGACCTTATTTTTCATTGCCGATGTTTTTCTGCCACCCCCTTTTTTCGATCTTTGTGATAGACAATTTACGCAGTGTTCAGTGTCTGTTCGTAGATGATAAAGTGTTCGTCTGCCGGCACTTATGAGTTTTAAGAAGTCCTGAGGCAGTTCAGATTTAGAAGTTATTACATACCGGCGGTAGCCTTTCTTTTAAAAAACTGAAATCTGTCAGTGACTTTAAAAAAAAGTCAGGAATATTTCACGTTTGTAAGAAAGGACTCGATTTAAAAAATTAAAAAGAATGAAGAATTTACTTCTATTAACAGTTGTGATAGTTTTATTTAAGACAATCGTTAGCGAGGAGGTAAAATGTTCTCAGGGTCTGAAACGCTGCGACTGGGAGAATTGGAGCACGTGGTCCTCGTGCAGTAAGACATGTGGTGACGGACAACAGACTAGGTCACGTGGTTTATGCTGCTTTGAAAGTGAAGGATTTGATGACTGCCTGAACAATTGTGGTATAAAGGATGAGGCTCTTGATACGAAGGATTGCAGCTCGATCTGCCCAGCAGGTATGTAAAAATCATTGTTTTCCGTGGGGCAATAATTCTCGTAGTGAAAAAAAAACAAAACAATAAAATAATCATAAAATAAAACAATAAAAAATTAAACAAACAAACAAAACAGAGAAACAACAACAACAAAAAAACACTCCACGAATTTAAAAAGCACGAAATTTCTTACCCAAGAAATAGAGTTAATTCACAGTATTTAATTGACGTGTCAGTTTAGAACTGCGTGCGTGTAGTTCTTACACGTGCTGAAATAAAAAAAAAGGTTTTACACAATCTTATTTTTTATCAGACCTTAATTTATCATTTTAATAAGATATGCAAGCGTTAAAATTTCGAAATAAAGTATCAATCTAATATATAGTGCACACATGAAAAAAGATAAAAGCTATTGTTGCTTCACAGTGGGTAAACAGAATCGCTGACTGTATCATTTATTGCGAGTCTATATAATTTAATATGTATGGAATATTGCGAACACTAGCATCTGTTCCTTCCGATCACTCTGAGCTTATTTGAATAAATTCGTATCATTTCTTGCGAGCACATGAAGAAGATGCGCTTACCCACTGTGTCACGCGTTTTGTTCCACTTTCATATTAGTAAATTTACGTAATGAATGTATCATAGATTGTCCTAATAATTACAGTGTTTTATTAATATTAAACAAAAGGCCGCCGCCCGCATAGCTCTATTTATAGAGCGATAAGAACGTCGACCTCGGTGACGCTAGTTCGAGACCTTAGAAAGAAAAATATATTTTATTGCGATTGGCAGCAATATGCAATATGCTTAATACCAACCGTTTTTTGTTGTTTTTTTTCCATCGCTATGCCTATCGATTTATTTTATGATTTACGCATAGAAACAGCGCAGATTTTGTTATGCAAAAGTGGTTTAAAAAACTCTAAAAATAACTTTGTTAATAATAAAATGTAATAATGATTTAAAAGATAGGAAAAGAAAAGATATGATGCCCCTACTTTTTGGCGTATCGTATTGAAAAATCAGTTATAGATACACCTACATAAGTATCATTACATTAATTTCATCTGTTCAAAGATATATTACATTTACAGGTAACTGTACGTTTGAAAAGTTGACTGACACGGGTATAGAGGCAACTGACTACCAACAATTATATGGAAACAAACCAGGACTTATTATCAATCCCCCGTTACATCTTCTCAGTCCAGAATCGTAAGTCAATTAACTACAAGGCCCCAATCAAGTGTAACTCTTTTAACTGCCCTGCCTGTCCCCGCACTACAAGGTAGGTCCCGTTTCACAAAGAAAAGACCAGAATCAGGATCAGCATCAAATGATCCTTATTTTGATCCTGATCCTTAAATCTTAATCACGGAGCTAGGGCAATGCGGTAGTTTTTTGTTACATTTAGCGAGGGTTTTTGTTATCAGAATGTCCCAGCAAGGTGACATTTTGAGGTTTGAAAAACCAGAAAGTCAAAAAAAAAAATCTGAAAACAAATACTAGTATATGCTCCCCCACCCTCCCCCGAGGTGATTTTTGTTGTAGTGGAAGGAAATGGTGGTAATTGGCTGGCACATTAAGCATTATTATATTTCTGCTGATATTTAGCTATATCTTATGCTTAAATCACATGGACATTAAAGATTCGACGGAACATGCGGAAGGGAATGCTAGTATATTTATAATATGTACTAGTAGCATAAAAATAAATTTTCTGCCGGTCGTCTGTGTGAGTCGCACGTTTTGATTCTTGATGGCGACTTCATGAATCAGTGAACGCACATCATACAAATATGACGTTGATAAACAGATAAACAAAGATTTTACGTCAACAATATTTTTCTATCAATTTCTTTTCTTTCTTTTTTTCTTTTTAAATCAAATGTATGTGTTTGAAGATCCACTTTTTCTGCACATAAAGAAACGAATGTCCACGAAATGCCGATCGAAATTTAATACATACTTAACATTTATCATTGCAAACATGGAAAATTAGTATAAAAACAATGTTTTTTTTTTATTTTATACCATTGTATACATGGATCATAAGTAAAAAAATAATCTCTAAACAAATGGAAACTTTTATTTCAGATTTTGCGAACTGTCGTGTCGTGAAGCAAATCTTCAGAATGGATTGTTTTGTTGGACATATTCTTACAGTGAAAAGGACAGATGTTTTCTTCATTTCTACTCGAAACCTTTGTCCCTAATCCATCCAGAGCTCCAGGGTCAGTCCAAGGGAGAGTCAATCTATATTAGACACTGTACGGAAAGTAAGTACACTATTTTATTACAAGTTTATTCATCTAATAGGAAAAACAACAAGTAACTCCATCGAAACTAATATAAAAACGACAAAAATCGTTTTGCGCAACATCCCATTCCAACTTTTAATTTCATCAAAAACGATAAGAAACATGCGTAAGTATAGGAATAAAGTTACAGGAACAATGTTTAACTAAAGGAATAATATGTAACTCTACGAATCATGCGTACCTTCAGGTATCATGGGTGACTCTACGAGTCGTGCATAACTATAGGTTTCCTGCGTGACTCCACGAATCATGCGTAACTACAGGTTTCATGCGTGACTTATAAGTACACGAATCATGCGTAAATATATAGGTATCATGCGTTACTCCACGAATCATATGGTAAAAATTTTAGAATTGTTTTGGCATGTGTCTGCGAATGTAGCAAATGAATGTCACAATATAATATTTCAGCCGTGGAATGTCAGTCAACAAACGCCGACATTGTGTTTGTTGTGGACTCGTCTGGCAGTATTGGAGGAGAAAATTTTCTGAAAATGAAAGTATTTCTACAGAATCTTGTAAACAAGCTCGACATTGACATAGATCTGACTAGAGTCGGGTTGCTCGTATTCAACGACAAAATGAGATGGGAGTTCAAGATTGGAGAGCTCAACAACAAAATGGACGTTCTTAAGGTAAGTTCACGTTGCCTATATTATGTCAATATAAATGGGCCATTTTATAGTAAATTCACGTGGACCTGTACATGGGCTTTCTTAACGTAAATTCACGTGGACCAGTACTCTATCAATACATATGGGCTTTCTTGCGTTAAATTCACGTGGACCTATATTATGTCAATACAAGGTCATATGGTGACTTTCCAGCTTTACTGGTTGAGAAAGACCTCAGGTGCCCCTCTGTGCATTATTTCAGGCACGAGCGGGAACTTGAGTAGACGTCTCGTAAGCTAACTTAGTCAATATGTACATACATTATATATACAATTTGCTTTTGAACCGAAATATTAGAAACGAAGTAAATATTTTGCAGGCTATTCAGCGTATACAGTACATAGTGGGTGGAACACTCACATCAGATGCTCTGGAGAAGGTCCGGCTTGAGGGGTTTACTTCCAACAGGACAGGGGTACCGATGATTGCAGTGGTCGTCACAGACGGAATGTCTCGTTTCCCACCACTGACCAGATTCCAGGCCAGTCTACTTAGGAAGGAAAACGTCCTTGTTTATTCAATAGGTGAAATAATAGTACTTGTTTACCATTATTTTTATTGATTGATTAACTTTACGTAATTAAGTTTTTTGGCTTAACTAATGTGAGATTTACTGATATTTTTTATCTTGATATCTCAAAAATTAAAACTAGACAGTTTCAAAAATAGAATTTGGACAAGTCCATTCAGAAATTCGCGGGTTAAGGGTATATAACAGATTTATAGCCAAGGTTGAAAGTATAATTCGTCGTTGTAATTTCTAAGCAGCGTTTTAAAAATGTAAATCATCACTCTATGAACGCTTGATTTCAGGTGTCGGCAACAGCACTAACAAGGATGAGTTATTTCACATTGCCAGCGTGCCGGAAGACAAGTTCATGTACGAGTTTGACACATTTGAAAGCCTTGATGCCACTAACGTATCTCTTGCTGTGAACTACGTGAAATGCAAAGGTGACAATTTTAACTATTTTTTTATAAGGAAATGTGGTTTCTGCCATTAAAATGAAATATGTTTTCAGACATTAATATAAGATATGGTCTCAAACGTTGAATAAGAAATGCGGTAAATACGGTTTCAGATAGTTATATGAAACGTGGTTTATAACACTCATATTAAATATGGATTCAGACGATAATATGAAATGTGATTTCAGACAGAAAAGTGACACGTTATTTCATACAATTTTTTAGAAATTTTTTCGTTTATTGATATGATATTTGGTTTCATATCTTAATTTAAATGAAATTGTGTTTTTTTAGACATACAAACGAAATTTGTATTTAAAAAAAGAAGAAGAAAAAAGGGTTTTGAAATGTGCTTTCAGACATTTGTTACATTTGTATGCAATCTGTGTTCAGAGACAAGTATGAAAACGCTTTTAGATATAAACTATTCCTATATTTTCAGACAAGACCATCACAACACCACCAGTAACGGAAGTTACAACCGAGTTTAACAATTGTACCGATACAGAACCAAATTGTGCAGGTTACGGAAAAGACGCGTGCACGGATTATAAACCATGGGCGTCTGCACATTGTGCATTATACTGCGGCTTCTGCCAGGGTACTTGATTATTTAATTTAATTATTCATAATTATGATAGATTAGTGTAACATTTATGAATAGCTTCTATCCAAGTCTCTTAATTAAGTATAAAAGAATTTGTGGTTAATTCGACGTCTAAATATCATATTAAAATATGCAAGAGCAGGAACTCTATCCCAAAATTTCTAATGCATCAAATTCAAACTGGAAACAAAATCTATGGCATGCGTTTTATCCTTTTTTCTCCGAGCACTAAAGGAAATTAAGGAATTTCATTTCTTCGTAGTGATTTAAGGTTTTCTGTCCGATGTACATAGTCTGTCTGTCCGATGTAGTCTGTAATAATATATTTCAAGTCTTTGTCTTTTGGAATTGTTTATATTAGGGAATGCCTTGAAGTGTCAACCCTTTTGTGATACAATACATGTAAACGTTGAATGGATTTTGTAAATAGCATATGCTTTTAATTTAAGATATACCTTTTGTTACAGGTCGCGCTACCACGCCAGTACCGTGCGTTGACGCCATTCCAAACTGCGACTCTTACGGCCAGTTCTATTGTGAAAATAAGGAATTTGTCGGCTGGGTAGCCAAAAACTGTCGAAAATTCTGCGGACTCTGCAGTGAGTTTTTCTTTTTGATAATTATGTACAAGCGAATGAAAAGAATCAAATCATATACTGTATACAACAATTTCGCTGTCTTTGAATTGCCTTGATTATGTGAATCATCCTCAAATTTATTCATTTGTTTATTAAACATGTTATTTTACATATTTCAGCGGCACCGGAAGTTTCCACTGTAACTACTCCATCAACTATCGCCACGACAACCGGTAATGTAGAGCTCTGTTATCGTATAATACTATTGATATCCAATTTTATGCGCCCTTTTTTTCCTTTTTTGCGTAGATCTAATAAAAATTATATTTTCTTTATTTTTAACTCAGAGTGAGACTTATATGAAATGGACTCGTCCTGCTTTAATATAAAAACTGTCCATTGTAAAATTCAGGGGGAATACAAATGACCGGCTTAATAACCGTCCGGTTAGCCTAATATGTAAATCGTTGACTGTGAATCGAGCAATCCGGGTTCGATTCCCAGACGGTGCATGTCACTGTCGGTGAGATTGATAATGAAATCCTTTCTACAATCATTCGAACTGTACCTCTGCTCTGACATGAACAGAAGTTATCAGTTCCTTGCCAAAGTGAAGGCAACTAGTAGTACTGGTACGCTATGCTTGACATCCTGCCCAGGAACGATGCGATGGCGGAACTGTGCTCTGGTAAATTCAATGTGGCTTACTACCGTGATCCAGAGTGAAAATTACCAACACCACCTTGACTGGCTTATAACATGACATTTACATTCATGTTTTCAGTGAAAATATGCCAAGACACGATCGACAACTGTGCCGGGTACTTGAACTCTTGCCAGGATGATCAATACCGCGGATTCTTGAATGAACGGTGCCCGGCATCGTGCGGATACTGTCAGTCTCATAAAACCATCAACGAAACGACAGTCAACGGGGCAAAGTAAGTCGCCATGTTCCATGTTCTGAATATATTAAATAGACAGGTCCGTCATAACCATTTATCATTTTAGGGAAATTTCTACAATAGAATCTATAATAATGTACTAAATCACAGGCGCTAGTCACATAATCAAATATTTTACATAATCGGTCTATATATGTATATAAATCTTTATATACATATATAGACCGATTATGTGAAATATTTGATTATGTGACTAGCGCCTGTGTACTAAATAGCGAACAGTGCATACCATAATCAGAAGGCATAGATGTGCCGGCTGATCTTGGTCTGCACCGGCAGGCTAACGGTCATACAGCGATAGGAGTGCATGCATATGGGTTATCGAGTGCATGCATATGTGCATGTACATTGCTTATTAAATTTCAATAGCCACGGGTTGAATCGGGTAGTGCACCATGAAGCTATAACGGTAAAAGTTTGTTTTTACCTAGGGGTGGGAAAAGCCCACATTTGCCAAGTTCCTGATGATCAGTAATGCAGACGACATTTCTTTTAATAGCTTGGATAAATTCTGCAGATTTCGTCAATTCCGTAGTTGACGGAGAATCGATAAAAGCCGTGTTCCAGAGCGTTTTATCGTATATGAACTACAAGTAAGCTCATCATATCACTAGAATTTAAAGTACATTTTCATTCATTTCAGATGTCCCGAGTGGTATATACCAACGGAATGTTACATGGTGAACTTGTCTCCAGGGTGCTGCCCAATCCCACAATGCCCTGGCTCCGCCTACATATTTACAGCCGAAAAAGACAAATAACCCCAAAAGATAGAAAATAGACAAAATTGAACTTTATTTGTGGTAGCATTTTTTGACGCAAAAGCTTTTTCAATCAGAACTATTTACTTGACAAATACTAAGTTTTAGAATTAATCTAGTAACAAATCAAAGGTGTATCATTTTTCCTCATACTTTCATGTACCAATCAATGTATTTTGACTATTTGACACTTTACTGCCTAACTAAATATTTGTTTTCTGTTTTCGTACACTTGATTTTCTTTATCATTAAAACATATTTTTTCTTCTTTTTTCCTCTATAAGCAACCATGAACTTCATAGTTAGACTTCTTTTCTTCTGATATTTGTGTGAATATACTTTATCAAATTGTAAGAAAAAATAAATCCAGATCATGTATCAATAAAAGAAATAAATCTAAAAACTTATTTACGTTCTACTTTGTTTATTTTATCATTTACAATCTGTTTGAAATACAAAGTACAAACATAAACTTGCAATTATATAGCACAAAATATTTCATATTCACAAAAACAATGAGTTGAGACTAGTGAAATTCTATATAAATTTGGTCGGTGATCCAAACGTGAAAATGAAAATGTGAATGCAAACATGCAATGAATATGCTGATGTATAAATGGCAGAATGAAATGAGCCGCGTCACGACAAAACCAACATGGTGCGTTTGCCACCAGCATGGATCCAGACCAGCCTGCGCAAACGTGCAGTCTAATCAGGATCCATGCTGTTCGCATACCAACTCTATTACAAGTAGAGAAACTGATAGCGAACAGCATGGATCCTGATCAGACTGCGCGGATACGCAGGCTGGTCTGGATCCATGCTGGTCGCAAACGCATTACGTTTGTTTTGTCGTGACGCGGCTCAATAGTTTTAATGCGATGGATTCAAAGCTGGATACCAAAACAGGTAAAATTATTCTTTCTTCCAGTTTACATACAACCACAACTTGAATGAAATAGTTTTGTAAATGAAAATGTCCATGGTCAAACAATGTTTAGGATTAAAAAAATTGAGGATAATAAAATTTGACTCAGTCAAACAAATACTGTTAAGAACATTGGGTACCTTTTTCTCAAGTTTTACTGGCGTGGAAATATCTCAAAATCCATCTCTGTGCATACGAGAACACAAGGGCTATTGGAGTAGACCAACTAACCTGGAGTAAGCTAGCTGGACCTTGAATCATGTGAGACTCTAAACTCTCTGGCAGGGATCAAACCCACAGCATTCAGGGTTGACAAACTTAATGATGTTAAAAAAATCCCACATCAACTGAAAGCCATGCCCAATCTCAAATGAATGTCAAATAACGCAGTAAAAATGGTCAGATTTCAATACCAAAAAATTTCTTACGGAACAAAAAATGATCTTTAAATTGTTATTTAAATTTTGCTACAGAACTTTACATATGAAATTCTGTACAATGAATTATACAATGATAAAAAGAGATCTTTATATTAATGGATATACAAAAAATAATGTTTGTATTACATCAATGAATGATTTATGAATAATGTGAATATTCGATGAATAATTGAAATAACGGTGTAACCCACATAGAACAAAACGGAATTTGTCCTCTAACTTTTGTACTTCATCTTAATCAATGCATAGTACATTTTAGCTAAAATAACTCAATAAAACATTAAAACTATTTTGCTTAGTTTCAACAATGAAACATCTCTAATATTTGTTCCAACTAAAATATTGTCATTATTTCAAACTTGATAAAATAAATGTAACTTCCTAACTTCTAGTTCATAACTTTTTATGCCAATGTACAAAATAAAACAACAACTTTCCGAATAACTATGTCGAAGATGTCATTTTCAACAGCTTGTCATTTTCAACAGCTTATCTTATAAAACAAGTCAATCTGATCTGAAACCAACAACTTTTTATACTTTTGTTTGTTTGCTTAGCTCGAGTTTTTTTACAACTTTCCATATCATTAGGAAATAAAACTCCCTAACTGTATCTTAAACCACAATTAAAAATGCATTAACCATAGAATAAATGACAATTAAAGCATTAACCATACAGTAAATAGCAATTAATGCATTAACCATACAGTAAATGGCAATTAATGCATTAACCATACAGTAAATGGCAATTAATGCATTAACCATACAATAAATGACAATTAAAGCATTAACCATACAGTAAATGACAATTAATGATTTAACCATAAAATAAATGGCAATAAATGCATTGACCATACAATAAATGGCAATAAATACATAAACCATAGATTAAATGGCAATAAATGCATTAGCCATAACGGTAAATGGCCATACATTCATATTAACAATACATTAATGGCAATAAATGCATTAGCCATTCAGTAAATGGCAATGCATTTAAATCAACAATACAGTAAATGGCAATAAATGCATGAACTATACAGTTGTTAATTACTAAAGTCTATGTACAGGTGCTTACTGCGCTGTGTTCATTCACTACCTCCGCGCATAAGGATGGAACTGTTGGCCAGAGCTCTGTCTCTGGAATGTGGGTGATGGAGCAGGGGCTCCTCCATACGCCACAGCTTGAGGCACTTCTTGAGGAGCGTAAGGTGCTTGCGCAGGTGCGGGGGCTTGTGCTGGAGTCGGCTGAGCGCCATATGCTGCTGTAACTGCTGTAGGGCTGGCCTCAACAGCATAACCTGAAAGTGCAACAAACATCAGAATTGTGTTTTATAATAACTTATATTTAAATAAATTTAAACAGTGTTATGTGCCTATTATTCTCAATATATTAACAGAAGGGATAGATAGCATCTTCCATAACCTTTGAAATCTGACAAATTTACCTAAACCTTCATCCCTCTTTGTCTAATACATCTTGATTATTATATTTAATATATACTTATAATTGATATTTCAAGAAATGTTGATGAAATAAAATGCGTATTTTCATTTTCACTGTAAAAATTTATTTTTCACTGCCGTAAAGCAATTTTTCCGTATTTTCACTGGTGTCTTGCCGGACTTCTTTCTTCTAAATTCAGCTAATACACAAAAATACAAGTGAATTTTCTTTAATCATCAGATTGAAAAAGAGAAAAAGTATATAACAAACAGAAAATTCAAGTTTTTTCTATCAATACAGGATTTTATTTTGTGGTATGAAAACTATCATATTTATATAGTTGAATAAAAAGTTACTGTGGCCACTGGGTTGAAAAAAAATGTAACCACAAACATATTCCCATCCAATTATGTAAGAAACTTTCTTTGGAAAAAGAAAAAATAGGTGGCAAATACACAGATACTTTACCATATGCACTGTAGTAACTAGAGTAATCAACAGTTTTGGGTGCTGCGGGATCTCCAGAACCTGCTGCTACAGGTGACTGTGCCAGTGGACTACCATACCCTGCTGGAGAACAGAAATAAAACATGTATTTTCCCTGCATTTGTTACTATTCTTAAGGCTTACAAACACTAATGAATTGGTAAATAATAACTAGTTTCAGATAAAATCATAATATACTTAAAAGCATTCTCACCTCCTTTCCACAGTTTTCTCTTTTTTTTTTTTTTTTTTTTTTCTTTTTTTTTCTCTTTTCTTTTTTAAATAACTTGAGTTTAAAAGATAACCGCATGGCAGAACTGTTAATCTTATATTTCAGAAGATATCAACAAGTAACAATAATTTGCAATATAAGCAAATATAAAAATAGAATAAATTGAACTAACTTGGGATGGTCTATAGTTAATCATAGACCACAAACAGCTTCTTGGTGTTACTTGTGTGGAAGTTGTTTTTTGTTTTTTTTTATGATAAAAACTTAGAAATTCTTACCTGGAACACCACCTGGCTGCCCAGTTGGGGGTGCTACTGCTGGGGCCGCCACCTGTACTGCTCCCTGTGGATGTGCGAGGGCGGTCTGAGCATAAGGGTCTGAGGCGGCCACTGTAGGGGCTGCCCCAGCAGGGACTGGAGCACCGTAAGGACTAGGATAGGCAGAATAAGATACTGCTGTAGAAGTAGGGGCTGGTGTACCTTGTAATGGAGCCATTGTTGTAGCTATCTGAACCTGTGGTGAACCTACTTTATCAAATGAAGTAAAAAGGTAATATAGAATAAAGAATAAAATATATAAAAGTACTTTTACATAAATACAGCAATTGAAAAAAATGTACCAGATTTTTTTTTTTGTTCATACAAAATTTATTATATCATCATCATCATTATTATTAATATGATGATATAAATTCCATCTTGTACAAAAGAGTATAATACAGTTGACTTTTTACAGATAAATTGGATAAGAACCAACAAATTTATGATAAATTGAATCAACCAATATAGCTGTTATAAAAGGTGTGTAAAGGAATGAGGTAAAACATTTCTATGTATATAAACACCAGTAAAACACCGATTTCTCTTGTAAATACATGTATATCCGATCAATATAATACATCCTGAAGACCATTTTTGCAAAAAAAATTACCTGCAAAATCCTGATATTGTCTGGCATTTTGTGGGAGGGCTACATTTGGCGCTGCATACGTCGTTGTAGTATAACCATAGCTGCTGGGAGCAGGTTGACCCACTGCTGCAACCTGGGGCAGCCCTTGACCGTTGGGCTGGGGTGGTTGCTGACCTGAAGGGGCTGTAGCATACTGATACACTGGAGCGCCTGGAGTGCCAGGTGCACTGGCAAAACTCTGAGACGCTGTCTGCTGTTGGGGTAAGAATTGTGCAGATCCAGGTGCGACTCCTGGTTGCTGTGGTGGTGGTGCACCAGGGGGCCATCCTCCTTGAATAAAATATTTCACCATTAAAATCAATGTGCATGTTTTTTTTATTGTTTTTTATAAAAGCCTAAAAAATGGTCAATTAAACCTTTCAGGACAAAATAAATTGATAAAAATGAATTTATCCTAAAAGAATTAAACTTCTATCATCACAGTTTACTTCAACTGCTTTAAATATATGTCTGTGTTATGAGTGAAGTTAAGATTACATACCTGCACCTTGTGGGGGTGGTTGTTGTGGCCAGCCTGGGGGTGCACCTGCAGGCACCTCACCCTGGTAACCTGGCTGAAACTGTACAGCTCCAGGCTGGAACTGAGGTGGAACACCTACTTGCGGTGGTGGTGGAGGAGACTGCTGTACATGTGGGTTCCAACCTTCGGGCGATGTCCACTGGGGTTCAGGTCCTGGCATGGGACCGGGTCCATGTTGCTGGGGCTGCATGCCCATTTCCAGATGAGGCATGCCCCCAGGGTGGGGCATATGAAGTGGATGGGGTGGTGGCTCTTCATTACCTTGGTTGCCTTGGTTACGTGGTGTAGCCCTTTTACATTCCACCTAATTCAAACAAAAATAAACACTTGCATTTAACAAGTAGATCATATAAAAGACTTCCCTGCATATGAATATTTCTCTATATAACATACAGTATAAACACTAAATTTACCAATTAAATAATATGCTATACATCATGTCTTAAATCAAAGAAGACTAAAAATGATTCTTAATAACTAATAATACACTTAAACACAAGTATATAATATTTTTACTTAAAAATAAGACACTGTAAAACTAAGAGACCTAAAATCTTTACTAAATACATATTTTAAAGTAATAAGCCATCTTAACATAGCTTAGCATTACATGGTTAGTACGAAAATCTTACCAAATTTCTAACGCAAATGTATAAATAAACAATTTATCACAAACACTATGTTTATATATCAATGATAAAGTATACAAAACCTGTTTTATCTGCTGAGCGGAAAGCAACTTAAACATCCATCATGTTTCATATTTTTTACTAACATAAACAAGAACACTTATAATTCTAAAACCGGTTTAAAACTGGTTTAAAACACTGTGTAACAAAGACAAAACATTGGCCCTAAGTTCTTATTGTTAGTCCTTCAAACTCCAATAAAGTCCTGAATGTAATCAAGCAATTCTTTGTCTCCAATTAACAAATTATTCAGGGGCTTTTCCTGCTATTTTGGGGAAAAAAACCCTGGCTTAAATTGGGAAAAACAGGGTTTTTTCTGTGAAATCATAAACAGTTGAAAAACTAGCATCTACTAGCTTTCCTGGAAATTCGGAAAACTTTTTCTGCTTTTGGGAACAATTTTTCTGGTAATTGGGAAAAGGGAGGTTATTTTGGATTAAGAATCAGGCTTTATATCAGTCACTGATTGCAAGGCAAAAATGCTGTTCCTCAAAAAAATGAATAAATGCTTAATATTTTCCTCTAAAAAAAAGAAGCTTTTTCCTTAACAAAAAAATAAGTTAATAATTGCTGTACAAAATTATGGTTGAGCATTTTCATAATTTTTCGTTTATTTTCAGTCCATGTATAACCAATTAAAAATGTCTTCTCTAAATTTTTATGTGAGTTTTACAAATACAGCGAACAATTTCAATCATTTTTAAAAAAATAATTGCAGGGCAGTTTTGAAATATCTGTTTATATTTTTTCAGTAGCATAAAAACAAACCAAAACTTATAAAGAAAACTAATTTAACTTATAAAATTTAACTTATTAAGAAAAAAAATTTAACTTAAAAAAATAATCTTATCTTATGATATCAAATTCTAATATCAAAATCTAAATAATATTTTACCAACAGGGCACATATGATCAATCAACTAAGACCATATGTAAATCACTCATCTTTTAACCTTTACCACACTAAATTTTTTAAATGGACTTGTCCGTAGTTCAATCTGGACAAAACCATTGATTATTTTTTGGGAAAATTTCAGAATATGTACTGATTGAATAGCAAACAGTGCAGACCATGATTAGACAGTATGGATGTGCCAGCTGATCTTCGTGTGCACTGGTTGCATTGGTAAAATCTGTTACCATAAGTAAGCTAAGGGTTAAAAAAACCTTGGCAAACAACACTTACGCTATAGAAAAGTTATATCGATAAATTTTGTACTCTGTAACTATTCCAAAATTACCCGTTACACTATTGAATTACCCGTTACACTATAAATTATCACACAATACATTGTACTATGTAAAATATACAATATTTATAAAGCCTGAAAAGTTATTTTTTAGTGTGAACTGCTAATGTGTATCATTTCTGAAAACTTGCAAAAACGCTATGGTACATTTGTAAATGAATGAACACACTTTCTTTCAAAAAATGAATGAACATACTTTTTTTCAAGTTAATTTAACTTAATACAGTTTTGTTAAATACTAAAGAAATATTTTGGGAATTAAAATTCAAGCAAATTTGTGACAATGTAAGCATGCATTACCGTCATAAATTTAGTGACGTACTGTAAATAAGAACTATGAGAGTTGCCCAATGCAATTTATTGTCGATCTTACCCTCGGATTAAAAAACATCAAATTTTACAAGTCTAAAAGCCGAAAACCCAGAATACAGTCATATTGGTATCATATTGGTATCAGATGTGTTAATGAAGTACAAGTAATGGCAAACACACTCTTTTATCAAACAATTTGAAATAAAAAAAATATGAAAATGCATAAAATCTAAAACAAAATAATAAGACACATCTACCGGTACATACAACTTTTTTAAAAACAAAAATTTTTTTTCGAAGAAATAAAATTCATCTCTAAAAATTAATTCCATTGCTTCAAAAGTCAATAAAAATAAAACAACATGATTTTGGCAATTAATTGACAAGACACCAAAAGAGAAAATGTGGTAAAAACTACTAATTAAGAGCTGTTCTAACTGTGACTTACGTTAACTTTAGATGAGACCATTTGCAAATCTTTTTTTATATATTAACCTTTAACCTGCTGAATTTGTGAAATGGATTTGCCGAGCTTTGGAACAGTCCATTCTAAGTTTAATAGATGTCCGTATCAAAACATAAAATTTGATCTGTTAACCCATTACCTCATATAGACATGCTGCCCTAAAATATTTTGGACTTGTCAACAATGAGGGTCTTAAAATTGGTCTCATGTCAACCTTAAGCAGTGTAAGAAATTAGGATTTGAATCCACTAGACTGGTCGGACTACCAGATGGAAATATTCACTAGCCCAACAGACATTTCACTAGCACGATTCATTTGTTCAAAAAAGTTGTTTATATTGCCTCTGAAAATACAGTAGCCTGCATGGTCGGGCTTGTTACTGTGAAAAGTTGGTAGCCAGAGGAGAAATTTAGTAGTCAGGGGCTATAGGACTACTGCTAATTTCGAACACTGCTTAAGGTAACGTGTAACCAACACTGAAAAGCCTTTGACTCTGTATCAGTCCATTGAGAAGTTGCTGCACTTTGAAATCAGTTTTGATGGAAAAGGTCACAGCAATATAGTGATTTTTGGCAATTTTGAGATGTCCCTTAATTGCCATGGTAATAGGAAATTTAAGATTGAGTATGCAGTTACAAAGGCTATCGTCCAGTCAACATTTTTGCCAAGATTGAACAGTATTGAACAACTTTTTATAGTTTTATAGCAATTTGAACTTGTAACAGGAGGCTTTTCAATGAACACAGTCATTTTTCACAATATGCTCATGCGGTAATGGGTTAACAGTATAGAGCCTGGTCAGACTGCATGGAAGTTCAGGCTGGCCTGGCTCTGTACTGGTGGCAAAGGCTAATCACTTGGTTCCAGCAGATCAAAGGTTAAATACAATATCTAAAGTTACTAAATTAATATATTGAAAAGAAAAACTGAAAAAAAAAATTCTTTTAAGGACATCGTCTAAACAGTACATGTATTTCACAAACTTTTCACTCTTAAATTTTCTATCATGGTACTGTACGTGTAAATGTATGACAAAATGAATTATAAACAAGGTTTTCTTATCTGCTAACTATTCTAAGTGATTTGTAGTGCCAAATGCATGAACAATGTAATTTGTACTTTCACATACTGTATATTACACAATATATGTCACTCTAATAAAATTTACTTAGTACTTACTTATAGCTTTGATTCTTATCTCATTATTTCTTATAAATTTAGGGATTTGTAAAGTTTTTTGGATGAGGCTTAACACTCACATAGCTTAATTTTCTGTATTTCCTAACTTTATACTAAAATATATTAAACGATTAACTAAGCAAAGTTCCATAACCATCATTTATCTTCAATTTTGTTAATCAAATTTACTTGTTTGCTACATTTTTCACATGCATAATAATGATAATGAATTGATTCGTTTATATGGTTTCAATAAACCATATTCTAGCCAACCTATCGTTGAATGAATTCTATTCTTTTGCTACAAAGTATAAAACTAATGGTGAAAAAGATCAGTTGAACTGTAATAAGCAGAAAAACTTCGATTATTTGATAATCAGCGAAAGACCGAACTAATTGTGTTATACTTACGAAAAAATATAACTGATCAAGAGAAGTGGTAAGGAGGTCCAATATAGTCCTTTACTAGATAATGGTGTATCATCGTTTTTTGCAATTTTTATTTATTTTAGATATGACTATACCTGTGAATACAATGATACTACACTCCTGCACTTCAATTTTAAAAGCTGCGTCTTCTCAATACATTTTTTGTAGTTTATTTTGTTGCTTTTTTTGTGATTGTACTGGGTGCAAATAAGACCACTTTTGTCTTCTCTCTCAGAATTTTTAACTAAGAATATAGTACATTGTTTCCACTTACCTTCTATCCAATCCTTACATGTAACGCACAAGAACTGCTCAGCTAAGCAAGGTTTGTGATATTGTTTTGTGTAACTAAATTTTTGTGTTTTTAGAAACTAAAATTTAAGTATCTATTGTTTTTGCCTTGTATAAGAGTACCAATAAAATTATAATCTAATTTGAACTACCAAAAATAACAACTAATCTGTAAAGATCTTTCTAACACATCAAATACATGCTGTTTTGAAAGTACTGTTTTCTTTTTTTCACTGACTCGAGTATATTTTTTCACAAATTTCTAAAAACACGTCAACACGTAAACAACTAACATCTAACTTTTTGTTTAAATACCAAAATACACAGTAACATAATGTTTAGGTGAACAGGTTGGCTGTAAAAATATGTTGGGTAATTCATATATAACCTTTTTGCCATTGAAGTTTACAAAATGTTCTCGGCAAACTTGGTTGACAGCGTCGTCTGATTCAAACGTGAGGAAGCCAAAGCCTAGAGTAAGGTACAAGGTGTAAACTATAGAATAGTTATACAATATCTAACTGTGCCACACACATATCATGCGTAAAATGGTCCCGAAACTTTCCAACATTTTCCCCAACCCCTGTTTCATCATAGCATGGGATGGACATATTACATGGACTTTAAAATCTAAATTTTTAAATTGCTTTATTCACGGGGGAGAAAGTGTTACATGAGGGATGGAGTTCTTCTGATAACTTGTCAGGAGTTCTTCTGATAACTGTCATGGAGTTCATCGGAAAACTTTGTATATACCGAAGAAACACTCGTCAAAAAATGGTAATTTTCATCTTGACACGTTAGCAGAAGAACTCCATCCTCCATGTAAAAGTTCCTCCCCCTTGTTTTTGCATTGGCTTATTTTCAATGTCAGTTTCTGATGCCTCTTTTTTATTTTGTGTCTACTGTAAATCTTCATTATCATGTTCTGTATGCATGGCGTTAACCCTTACCCAAAATTGTCTCGATGGCATCCAAAACTCATACTAAAAGCAGGGCAAACAAAATCTGATTTTGTCTTACTTTTCCATTTTTATCTAAGGCATTTCTTGTCAGTACGATTATTTATTTAATATAGTAAATTTTTGAAAATCTTCACTTCTCTGTACAGGCTGGTGGACAACCTTGGCAAAATGGACAATTGATTCTGCTGCCCCTGCTTGAAGTTATATAAAAATTTCGCAAATTAGGAATGTCCACACACATAATTTATGTAAAAGTTTAGCTCCAGTCCATTTTTTATCAATATCCATAGTAAACCTTTATCATTATCGCAACTCACAAGTATACCAGTAACCTATTTATCAACATCAGTCAAAATTTATAACTTAGCATGTTGGAAAGCTTGTTGGGACCATTTCTCCAACATTAAAGTCAGTCTCCGCGAGTGTTTTTTCCCACCTGCTTCAAAATAAAAGGTCAACATCATTATATAACATTTAGATTAACAAACAACAATAATATAATTGAAAGAAACATTATCAATATTAAGAGAATCTAACAGTGTATTTGTAATTCTTATTCGATTAAATATATAGACAACACGGTCAAATACTTATAAATTTAAGTTATTACGTATAATGAGTGTTCATAACGAGACAAAACGATCAATTCCTGTCCTGCAAAAAAAAACCCATTTTTTAATGGACTCATCCTGCTTACAGTTTCAGCAGAGTCCATTATCAAATTTGGGGATATCCAGATGGAACTTTTAACCCTCCGGCCCCACTATACACTGGTGTCAAAGCTTTGCAGTTAAGGTTCCACTACGGTATCCTACATGTAAGTTAGTACATGTGTATAACATGTACATAAAATTCATATCTTGAGGGTTTTTTCTTAACACTACATTAAAAACTGTACTAGGAATGAAAAATTTTACACTAGTTTCAAGTAAGTTACACTTTTTTTGTTAAAAATATTTCTGTGAAATATGGATAATTATGTCTTTTATTTTTTATATCAAAGTTATGGCAATAGCATAATTCACTATTAACAACTGTTAGCTATTAAGAGTGTTAACTTTTACAAGAGTATAGAACATCTTTATGCTGAAAATCTTACAGATCAAATAATCATTATCACTGAAAATCTTTACCATATATTTACCATATATTAATCGTTATCGCTGAAAACCTTAACCATATTATTTATCAATCATTATAGCTGAAAAACTTTTACCACAAAGTTATCATGATCACTAGAAAACATTTACCATATATTAATAATCATTAATGCTGAAAATGTAATTCATACATGTATATTAATCAATATGAACTTATCACTGAAAATCTTTACCATTTACTTATCATTACTGCTGAAAAAACTTTTACCTTGATTAATCATTATCACTAAAAAAAACTTAACCATGATAATGCTGAAAATGTTATCCATAAATTAATCATTATATTGCTGAAAATATATCATTCATTAATAAATATCACAAAAAAACTTTACCATATATTAATCATTATCACTAAAAACCTTTACCATATATTGATCATTAATGCTGAAAATCTTATAAATAAATTAACCAATATTGCTGTAAATATTAACCATAAATTAATCATTATCACTATAATAACTTGACCATACATTAATCATTAATGATGTAAATCTTATTCATATATTAATCATTATCAACCATTTAATTTTTTCACACACATGATTATCATTTGCCTTTATATTATCTATAACTAAGAATTAGTTGAAAGTAGCATGCATAATTCTATTTCCTGGAATCTAATTAGGTCAAGTAAACTCTAATTGGTTAATTTTCTACCCAATGGAAATTCTTTATATATATATTTTTTCAACACCAGCACAGTATAAAGTACTAAATATAGATAGAAAATCAAAACACAAAATCTATCTAACAATATAGTAAATACATCTATCTATCTATATATCAAAATATATGTAGCCAAGCTTTTAAATATAAGCAAACTTCGTTTTACAAATAGAGTTAGTAGAAATTCAATTTTGCAAAATGAAATCCCACACCTTTTTTTCATATTTATTTTGAATATTTTTAGTTTTAAAGCTTTCAGGTGAAATGTATATACAATTATACAACGGTGATTACATGCACATAGAAGCACTTATTATCTTCACACAAATTTTACTCTTGCGCTTATAATCTTAAATACAGGTATATATTTTTTATATCATGTTTTGTTGTTTATTGTCTAAAGTAACATATTAAGGACAATATGGAAATTCAGCGTACTTCAACAGAAAGAAGCCTGATAAAACTAAAGGCAAGTAATTCGTTAATTTTTTTAATTTTTCCCATGGAGTACTAGCATGGATAACAATTTGTGTGTACCACTTGTTTATAGCCTGGGGGTGGGGGAGGGAGGGGGTGTTTGAAATCACATTGACACTGTTATGGTCATATGGTGACTTTCTAAAATTACTGGTGTGGAAGAAGACATCAGGTGCCCCTCTATTATTTCAGGCATGAGCAGGCACCTGATTAGAACCAATTATACTGTATTGACTCGCCTACAAGACGGATCACTTATCACTTATTTTGCCTAAAAAATGGCACTTTTTGCTAAGACCCTCTTATAAGACGGGTAGAATTTTTTACTTCTTCACCTCAATTTCTTATGAAAAATTGTCCTAAATCATGACAATGATTTGACTGTCCATAATTTTATCACTTTGATATATCTGTAAACACTGGTGGTATGAACAAGTCACTATCTACACTGGAGCTCTCTAAGGGTTATATAATTATGAAATTGTTAGTTCAAAACTATGGTGATTTCATATATACTAAAAGTTTAAAAAAGTGTTTTCCATTATCCCTTACCACAGTAATTTTCTTTAACAGATTTGTCTATCTTTCAATTTGGATGAAATCATTTATCATTCAGTTTTAAGACGGTCTTTAATATATGTATTGTCTGAAAAGTGAACAGTGCAGATCATAATCAGAGCCTGATAATGGCCTGCACTTGACAGTTGACGCATCAAATCTGTTGTTGTCAGTTAGCTTCAGGTTTAAGGATTGTAAGTTTTAATGATTATTATATATATGTGAGTGACCACAACATTGTCTTTTATGTAAAGTAAGTTTTGAATTAGCATAGTAATGTGACTCTATATACTGGTCACTTTGCAGTTCTTGTTTCAGCATTGTACAGGTTAAATACAGGAAACATGCAGCATGGTTAACAAAAACACAAGGTGTACCAATAACTGAATAATCTTTTAAAACACAGACACAGGTTAATATTTACAACTTAATATACATATTGCAAATACTGACTTTTATGGCTTAAACATTTATGTATCTTAAAGTGAACTTTAATGGTGCAAATACATACCAAAATAGTGAAAATAAAATATCTGGCCAAACAACAACAACAAAAAGGCTACCCACAAAACTAACAGCTCTTCCCCCGAGAAACATAAAAATGCCAACAAAATATATTCATATGGTCAAATAGTAAACTACTTAAAAAGTGACAGAGCATTATTCTATTGTATACATACTAAAAGCAACATAACTTAGCACCTCTAATATTGATACTAAAAGTTTAAAGATTAATACATTAAAAAGTTAAGAGATTATAAATAAAGAGACAAAAATATGTTCTCATATCCAAAGAAATATATAGCAGTCTAAAATCATGCAAAGGACTTGGACACTGACTGTCACACCCAATATGCTTATATAATATTTGTACAAAAATCTGAACAATGAAAATTGACTGTCCTAGGACAAAACCCCTGCATCATAGATGCAGAACATCTAATCCAAAACTCTGGTACATGGTAAATGTGGTACAGTGTATGCAATATGGTGAGAGATCTTGGTACGAAATGATAGAAAGTAAGCAGCAAAAAAATGATTGATTGCACGAGTCTAAAAGTCAAGAATGATTGTGAAATTTACAGAGATGTTCAAAAGGTTGTTATAACTATTAATTATGGAACAAGCAAATACTAATTATTATAACGACCAAAGTCTGTATATAAACACCCAACTGTGGCAAAATCGCCCCATCTAGTGCCCTGGCTGCTTAGAAAACTTGAAATTGAAGAAAAAGTGTATGTCGGGGAAAAAGGTTGCTAAAAAGAAACTATCTACATAAAGCCAGTAGACTCATCAGTAAATACTTCATAAAACAAGATTGGAAATTTTATATTTTGGTAGTAAATTTGTACCAGTCAGAGTGAAAATGAGTATAAATGCAATTAAGTGTGGTTTATATGGGCATGTGCACTAGATGGGATGAATACGGTAATAAAACCCAACTACGGTAATATAAAGTAACCACACTGCAAAACATTATATATAAAATACACTGAGTTTTTTACAGAAACATAAAACACATTCTTATAAGTGAATAAAGCATGAGGATTTTCGTAATTCTTCCATATTTCACAGAAATATTTATATCATTATTTTTTTGCTTTATGAAACTTTTTTTTTAATAAGTCAAATTTTGTTTTAAAAATAAGTTAACTTCATCTATACAGACATTGTATGCCCATAGCTACAATATGTATTATAAAATATAAAAAAAATAATAAAATTAAAAAACAAAAACAAAAAAACCCCTAAAAACTGAGCTTTGTATTAAAAAGAAAGGTGTAACAAACTTGAAACTGAGAAAAAAAATAATCTTTTCACAAACTGACTGTAAAGAAAGGTAACTGATTAAAATCTTTGCACTAACAATCTTAACAAATTTAAATCAAATACTATCCATTATATGACATGTATATACCCATCTAAAATTAATTTAGTTGAATTCTATTGATTTATGATAAATAACTTTTAAATTTTGATGACAAAATTTCATACTAATTTACTTCTATATCAATACTATGCAACAATTTTGAAATGTCATTACCTCTGTAAAAACAAACAAACAAAAACATATTGCAGGGTTTTCATTTTCATCTGAGGCAACTGATGTGTGAAGGAAAACAACCGATCTGGCCAAAGGTCAAGGGTATATTTAAATCTACAGGCTGAAAATACAACAGATTTAACTGCTTTTCAACCAATAATATAGATCCCCAATCTGATAGTAATGAAAACCCTGAAATTGTCACATTTGTAAGTTTTTAAACTTTTAAAATAAAGAAACAAAATCTCAAACAGTGAAATACATAAGATACAATAAGGTGGTTATTTTTTTTTATTATTTAATATTATCTTTTTCTTTACACAAGACCTCCAGAGTGACCTTTCCAGCTGTAATTGACAGTATTTTCAAATACCAGAATCTTAGCTTTCTATGCAAAATATTAACAACATATATAAAATGTCTGATGAAACTCATTCCAATGTACAGACGGACAGACAGACAGACAAAGATGGAAAATCAAAGATACAGCCAGTTCTACCAGCTAACTTAAGTTGGACATCTAAATAATGAAATAACAGCAGTCCTTCAAAAGCTAAATTTATAGACTGGACTTGTAACAACTTGAATTTGGAATGGTACACTGGTATTATTTTGAATATCACTATCCTAAAAGCTAAAATGGTGTAGCAAACTGTATACAGTCTGGCGATACTGCACCAATAACTCTTGCATGTAACCTATCTGATTCACTGAAATTATTAGGTCACACCTAGTCAGAATATCTATGTATATTTGTTGCTCGCAATGGCTCTCCCTTCATCCAAAGTCTAACTTGAATAGATCATACGAGTTATGTCACTTCTTTAATAACCCCTTACATTACAGAAATTGTTTTTTTTTTAAATATTTTTCACTGCAGCCATAATAACCAGCCTATGCCACCTGTACAAACATGACTAAAGCTAGGTCACCATGAATATTCCTGCAGTCTGGCCCAACTTTGTACTGGTGACAGAGGCTAGTCATTATGTGTTTGCCTCCATTGGGTAAAGCTTGCCCTTATTGGGTTAACATTCAAGAACCCAGTAACATAATTCTGCCAAGTATAATTCTTTCTTTCAATAATTCCACAAATCTAAATCTGCTGAATATTTTCATTATTTCATGTAAGCTACTTATCCATTTCAACCCAGAGTACGTGTTTTCTCCATATTTTGTTGATAATTTAACCTCTTAACCAAACCCCCACAACACTAAGGTTGATTTAAACAAGTTCTTCTGTCAGTCAGGATGGTTATTCTCAGATTTAAATGATGAAAAGGCGAGATTTTAGCATTTAATCATTCAAGCGCTTTTCCAGTATATACCGGAACACAGTATTCAGTGTGGTGCTATATCACCTTTTTTACTCTCACTCGTTATTTTCATGGTATAATTGTTGTAATCTATATCCTAACAATAAGAACTCATAAAGCTTACCTCTAGATCTCTGCTTCTGTGCATCATACATAACAGTCACATCTAGAACCTGTTGATTAAGATGAAAAAAAAAACCATTAAAACATGAATATTCTGTTGAAAGCTGCATGCCTCCAGATGATCAAAATTTTTTTTTCAAGAAAATCAAACTTGAGAAAATGTACTGAGACTTTAAGAAATGTAAAAAGATTCAAGCAATGTTGTGTGTGATTAATGATTGATTAAGCAGTATTTATCATCATATTTCTACTATGTGACTATGGCAGTAAGGGCTATTTTGACCTTATTTTGGTAACATACATGGAAGTGTCGTTTAAGTATATAAAGTAAATTACTTTCTTTATTCTCTTCACCATATTTTTCTTTCAAAATACATTTTTAAAATGTCCATGAAAATTAGCATAAACTAGCATCAGCAAAATTGGTATAAAAATCTTGTCACATATTTATTTTCATCATTTATCTTGTAACATATTATCGTCATCATTTAAAATAAATACTGAAGTATTATTTTTATGTTAAGTTAGCAAAAATATGAAGTAATGGTAACAACTTTAAATGAGCCAAAGTAAACCCAAGAATAAGGAATTAAATTTTTATTACTGAGATAAACAGAATTTAAATTAGCCTCTTTTCTATTTGGACTATGGTTTGCTGCATAATGCAGCTATTTTTTCCCCCTTTTTTTGTTATATAAATCATTAAAATTGTTAAAAAATGTAGATAGCTTATTCTAATTAATCTGTTTTTTGTCAAATACTAGTAGTATTTTTTTTTCAAATATTAGTATTACACTCTCAGATATATTTCTAACCATAGTTCAATCTCATCCAATATTTCAAACTACATGTATATATAAGCTATATACGAGTTTAAGGAACTCCACTGTGGATTTCTGACATGATGTGACAGGAAATAACGTTTCGAGATTAATGTTACATTTGATGTAGGTCTATAGCAAAAATTTCAGATCATTCGCTCATTCTGTTTTTCCAGAATAAAAATTCCAATTGCGAAAAATATGCCAAAATTGAAAACTGTTGAAACCCTTTTTTACTCAAATCAGCTTATAATAACGCAAGAGTACGATTTTCTATATATTTTTGAGTATATTTCTTAATAATCTTTTGCATATCACTCTGTTTTAAGTGCCCCAGTTGATCTATGTTAGAAATTCAAATTTCATTTTTTAAGCATTTGGACCTCAGTGGAGTTCCTTTAAATGTAACTTTATTATTTAGGCTTTTGGACCTCAGTGAGTTCCTTTAAACATAACTTAATCATTTTAACTTTATGTATCATTTACTTCACCTACCTTGCCATATTGACCGAAGAAGTTTCTAATGGCTTCCTCATCAACACCATTAGGTAATCCACCTAGAAATATCTTCCTATCTCCCTGTGGACCTCCTCCCCCGCCTCTAGGTCCCTACAATATGGTATAATGATTATTACAAGCATTTTAAACTGCACACACCTCTTGCTGAGTAAATAAATTTCCAAAACATCAAATTTAAGAAAACAAAAAAACAGGGCTTCTGTAACAGTTAGTAGAAGTTTGGGAGTTGTTTACTCCTTGATTTTGGTTTGTGACATCCAAAATTTAATGCTTTTCCTTTGTAAACAGAAAAATTAACAATTTATGCTAGATAAAAAGTTTATAATTACAAAGATGGTTTTAATCATACCCTGTTCATTCTATGTTCTCCACCCATCTGTCCACCACCTGCACCTCCTCCACCACCTCGGTTTGTACCTTTTGGGTTACATGCTTTTGGGTCCACCTGAAACATTTGTACACTTTTTGTAATGTAATTTATAATCTGTAGTTAAAAACTTATACAACTAAAGATATAAGCTACAATACATTTGTATCAACTGGAACCAGTCTTAATAATTATGACAAATCTTAGGGGCAAGTAAAAATAGTACTATTTTATTCCAATTTTTTAAATTTTTAAATGTTTTAAATAAAAGCGAATCCTCTGCAGAAGACCTTTAACAACAACAACAACAAGAACAGTATCATTTGATAATTATTTATAATTCAAGTTAAATGCTATCTCTCTACAGCCACAACGCTAAGCAATGACTAAAATATTAGTCTCCAAAAGGGTATTTCTTGGAAGAGGTTGTACTGTCAGTCTGTAACTTTAAAACTTTTAAGTTTTTTATCAAGAACAAAACAGAATACAAATTTTACAAATGTCAGTTACAACTTTTGTAATATTGATGCCAATTCATGTAAATTTGTTGCAACTTCTTTTATATAATATTCTTTGTCAGCCGATTAAAACTATCATGGGCAATTGAAATGTAAAAACCTTTCATACCACATAAAACATGTGAATGTATCCATTACATTGGCTTAAAACTTTCTGAACAACATTAACATAACTTAGTCATAAAGAAAAGATTAAATAAGTCATAAAGAAAATATAATGTGCAGAACACACAAATCTAAGTACATTCATAATTGTTTATCATACACAAATTGTTTCACATAATCACAATAAAAGAATGCTTTAAAGTATCATCCGAGCGGCTCCCTCATCCGAGCCCTTCATTTGATTTCATCATGCATTTTGTTTCATTTTTTATCAACTTTCTTCTTAATAAAAAAAATTCAATGTTTTTTTCTTCACATACCTGTCTTCCGTCTACAATATGTGCTGGTACTGATAACACTGTATCCACACATGATGTGTCTCTGTAGGTCACAAAACCGAACCCTCGTGACTTTCCGGTCTCTGGATTCTTCATAACAACACAGTCAATGACCTCCCCATACTGACTAAAGTATTCTAACAGACTGTCTGTAATCATAGTCAGTAATAAAGACATGTTATACATACATACATACATACATGCATTACATACATACATGCATTACATACATACAAAAGAAATCATGTCAGACTTATACTGGCTATTTCTGTATATAAATGAATATATTGTATATTTATACTCATTATATCTGCATTTTTCTCTTCCATGAAGTTCAAGAATTAGACTATATTATAACATAATAATAAGCATCCAATAGTTTTGTTCATCTTTAGACCTTGTAAAAAGTGATATATATAGACAATTATCTTCGGTCTCAATTTCAAAAGAAATTATCATCTTTATGATCTTCCTTATAATCAGACTGTAAATGATAACTTTAGTGATAACATTCTCAATAAATGCAATATAAGATTGCTAGACTAGAGATATCAATTGCAGATAAAAATAGTGTAATACTTTCAAATTACAAATATATCGTTCTTCATATATATAAAAATCTAAATTAATTAACCGTTCAATGTGTGACATGGATTGATTTAAAACTTTTTCTTTCAGTGTTATAACACAAAATAATTATCATGCAAACCTTTAGAAGTATCCCAGCTAAGGCCCCCAACAAACAGTTTTCTGCAAATAAATAGAGAAAAGTGTTTATTATAAGATAACGAAAAGATAATCTCACAAACAAATCATAATGAACTACTTTGACCTGTTATACACTAAAATAAAATTATAGAGAATGCACCCAATATTTTCAATGCACCACAGCCCGTCTATATCCTGGAAATTAAAAAGACGGAATAGACCCAGGGTCTAAACCAGGATGATATGTAAGGTTTCCCTAGCAAAGAATTTCATGTTCATAATTTTAGTTATAAAATATCAGACATTACTTGCTACATAATAATAATAAATATATGTTGGACTAACGGTGCATAACATAACGGTTGGACTTACTATAGGCATATATTTCGTTAAAAAAAAATTATTCATGCTGAAACTGTCATAGATTGGAATCAATTAGTACTTGTACACTGACTTATGTGTTTTATGAAAATCTTGGGAATGTGCTGAGTTTATGAGTATTTACGATATGATGTTGCTTTGCCAAGAAGTAAATATATCTAAATTTTTAAATTTCTTTAAAGCAACAATCATTTATAAGACTAAACTTCAGTTTGCTTATTAGATACTTTCCATGACCTCAAGATTTAAGATTGATATTTTAATGGTAATAACAAGCTTGAAAAGCTTGTTCCAAAGGACCTGCATGCAAATCCAGCTTTAAAAGCACCTGCTAGAAAGTTATTAATGGCTTTGAAACCTTTCACTGGAAGTACTACAAAATTATGGGTAATTGATTAATGGCAACTTTTCGAATTACAAAATAAGGGTTAAAGTCAAGGAATTCTAATTCAAAACGGATGCGTAGACTGGACTCCCGCGAACTTCTATGGGAAACATAATAGGACAGGAAACTAGAATAAAAGGAAGCAGTGTATAATTTACCAAATGGCACTTTTAAAACAGACATCATATAAAACATGAAATGGTCGCACGTGTGTGGTTGGTGGAGTGAACTATTGGCCTCACAAGTTTTGTAAACTATTTCAATTGGTGTTTTTAAACTGCGACCAAACACTATTTTTTCTTGACGTCTTAAGATGACAAAGATCGATATTCATACTTTTTTACTGTAGCCAACAAGGCAATTAATCTATAATAAAGTTTCCTTTTAAAAGGAAAGGCTTGCACAGTTGTGCCTTCATCCTAACCCTTTAAAATTGTTGTTTTATTTATTATCACAATTTTTTTGAATTACGGTATTTGTATATCATAAAGGGTTTATTTAGTTGTTTTTTGTTGGTTTTTTTTTGTAAAAACGAATATTTTTTGTCAAAACGATATGAAATCTATTCTCTATTGTATAAAACTAATAAAGAAAATAATCAATCGTAAAAATACTAACGTGGAGATCTATCTATCATACTGAAGGAAACAAGTGTGCACATTTCATTTCCACTTTTTTCGCAGAGAAATCATTCGTTTTGGCAGTTGCTAATTTCATTTATTTAGCATCTTTATGGACAAGTAAATGCACTAAAATACTTCGTTACGTGGTACCAATTAATAAGCATGTATCAACTATGTTACACGACCACAGATACGATGCGCTATTTGTAGATCAGCACATGGTAAGGTTAATGATATGCATGGGCTATTTTTAGATTACCTCACTGCGTTCATTAGATCTAAATATAACTCGATCATGCACTAATATTCTGTGCAGGACCACCCTTAAATTTGGAGACGGAATATACTACTACAGTAACCATTCTCTATTGTATAAAACTAATACAGACAAAAACAATTATAAAAGAAACTAACTTTTGCGTCTTGAAAAAGAATTGAAACAGAACAATTTCGTTTATAATTTATTACGGTTTAAACTGATAAATCAAGTAAAAATAGAAATCCTATTTATATTTACCGAAGTAACTAAAATAGCTTAGATTTCCGTAATATAACTTCGTCTGATTCCGCAGTATGACGGAATCGCCCGATTAGTCACGATTGCAATCGGAACTACATCGGCTATTATCATTAAACCGAAGAGTGACGGAAAGGGCCGAAAAGTTGCGATTGGCACGATTGCAGCTGGTTTCCTGTTCAATCATGCACTAACAAATGTAAGCAGGAAACCACCTAACCGGAACAGCTTTTCCAAAACAGATGGCTTGCAGCCGTGCCTGCAAGCCAAAAAGTAAACATACAAAGACAATTGCTGTTTCTTGGTTAAAACCCTCGCTTAAAGTCATAAAATAACATATGCATTTTCGACTTCCATATAATTTTGAAAATGCCGTACGGCTAGCCAATACAGTGAGTCCTTGCTAGTCATACTTGACTCAATTACGGCTAGAATTTTTGGCTAGCCGTACGGCTAGCCATTTCCTTTTTTTTAATCTTTACCCCACCCACACCTCGTGACACTGGAGATATTCTGTGCATATTTCAATGTATCATAGTTAACTGTTGGTCTTATCACATGATTTAACATTTGAAATAAAAGTCAGTATTTGCAAATATATTTTACCCAGCTTCATTTCTTTCAAATCCGTGCATTATTTTAGATTTTCTTTCCTTTCTTTTACTTTTTTGAGACGACTAAAATGTTTACTTCCGGAAGAGCGCCCTCTATCTTTGGAGCATATTAAAATCGCCGGGCTCCGGTATTCGGTAGAAAGTATTTTCCTTCACCCGGGCAATAACTCTTGCGGAGCACATCGACAATCGATTACGGATTGAAAGTAGTTGTATATAATCCCAAAACGATTCACACCTAGACATTCCAGGCCGGGCCTCTGTGTCAATTTTAAAGACGTTTCACCACAATTATTTTATTTGAGATGTTTGACAGAAAAGTAAACACATTTACTTTAATATCTAATGATAAATTGATTTTATGTTGCATTTTTTTTATTTTCAGGGTATTGTTATTATAATTTTGGATTATTATGGGAAAATGTTAATTTCAATAAATTTTACAGAACCTGCATTATATTATCAATATAAGTTTATGAGTTCTGTGTTTTTGTATTGTAACAAGTAATTTATTATCATCTTTGTCCATCTTTTTTAGGAATATATTATACTTTAATTTAATAACTTATTGGTAAAAAAATGGTCAATGAGTAAGAGAAAATTGCTTTAAGTATATTCAAATAATCTTTACATAACATAGAAGATAAAAAAGATCGTATTAAGATAAAATGATCTTACATAAAGGCCTTAACAGACGGTAGGATTCAGAAGTACAACACCAATTACAACTTAATTAAATGTACAAGCAATTCTTATTGCGTGAAGGCTACTATTTCATGAATTCATAAACCATAATACTAGATTTACAGGATAGGACATGTTCTATATTTTGTAATTCTTGTTGTACAGAACAGCTTAACATTGCAGGTGACACATTTCCCTACACAGTCCCCTAATAATGTGTTTAATGAATGAAATTCCAGGACAATTTGGTCTAAAATGTGAACATAGTAGTACGATGGAGTAGAAATGATGTTGAAAACTCTTGGGGAGCCCTGAAGTTTTGGCATGTTCGAATACAAAATTACTCAGATAATGATTATAGACTAAAAGGTTTAAAAAATGGAAGAATTTCCATTATTAATCATGAAAGAAATATAATTCGTCACCATGAGACCAAAATACAGAACAGGCTTTAATGTACTCAGTCATTCCATTCATTCCAGGATATGGCAATTTCCTAAATGCTCTCTTCATGCTATCCATAGCCGAACTTTTTGGTCTACCTTTAAAACATTCTCCTTAATTGGCAAATACCAACAATTGTAATATTTACATATATTCTAGTAATATTAGAGTGTAAATTATGCAAAGAATCTATTTGGAGGGAAGTGTTCTGGGGGGGGGGGGGGGGGGGTCTGGGACCTCAGAATTCATACAATTTTGAATTACGGTCTGAATGCAAGTATTGTGTTGATTTGAAAAGTGTACACCAGATCTTTATTAAGTGAACATACAACAGAATCCTACCGTCTGTTGAGGCCTTAAGTTGAATTAAAGCCGCAGATAAGCTTTTAAATTACATTTTATTAAACTTGTTTTAACAAAATGTTGTTTTATATTACAATATCGATGTTATATGTTATATTAAAAATGTGTAATAAAATAAATACTTAATAAATAATTACTGCCTTGTCTGTCTAAAAATAATAAAATGCAATAGATATGTGTAAATTAAATGTTGTTTTTTATTATTTGATTAAACGATAAATGTAGGTCCGTCAATAAATAAATTTAACAATTATATATCGCACTTACAGTAAATCTTATCACCTAATCAACTGGGAAAAATACGATGATTGATAATTCAATAGGTTGTATAAACAAGAATCAACTAATCAGTTGTTTATTGGTCCATTTAATGCACACCATTCCTCGGAAATAAATAATGTTTCACTTCATAAAAATTGCAAATATAAATTTTATAATGTTTAAGTAATGGTTTAAGAGAATGTTAAATGCTTAATTGTTACCTGAAGAAAGTAGCGATAGATGTTGAATAATTTGTCAATTTGTCCTAAAGGTAGCAAAATGTAAACACAGTAGTATTTTGACTTCCATACGAAATACTTATATTCACTACAATTGTACTTATTGCCAAAATTCAAAGTTTAATAAGATTGTTTAGTTTAGTTTAATAATATTTTATTGTATAAATATACACACAATATACAGTTTCATTATTTTACAGACATAATCAAGTGTACATACAAAAGGGTATGCCTAAAATACGAAAGTAAGATTTTTGACGAAAGTGAGCGAAAGTGACCTTTAGAATTTAAATTGTACCGTTTTAATAGAATTTTACAGTAACATTGCTGTTTGTAGACGAATATTATTAGCAACTTATAATATATATTATAATAAATAACCATAATCATGCCATTTATTTGCCTAATTTCTATATACAAGTTCAGCGATCTTCTTTTCTCTTGCATAGAAGAATACGAAAGTGACTTGTAAAGTATTAAATATAGAGTTTAAATTGAAAATGTACTAAATTTGCAGTTTGTGTATTATAAGAAATTAATATGATTTATTTTCTAATTTAATCATTATGATGATTTATAGTTTTATACCCCTTTTTTGCATAATTTCTATATACAATATCAGCGATCTTCTTTTCGTTTACATTGAAAAATATGAAAGTGACTTGTAAAATATTAAATATAGAGTTTGAATTGAAAATGTACTTAAATTGCAGTTTGTAAACGTATATTTTCAGAAATTAATAATTTGATATTTAACACTATATTTCAATTAAACTCTTTATTTGATATTTTAGAGGTCACTTTCGTATTTTCTATGTGAGCGAAAGGAAGATTGCTGAACTTGTATATATTAAAATTATGTAGAAAAAAATGGGGTAAAAATCATAATAATGATTTTTTGAAAATAAATAATATCAATTTTTGATATTATACGCCTGAAAATTGCAATATATGTATGACTTTCAATTCAATGCTTTATTTCATATTTTACAAGTCACTTTCGTATTCTTCAATGTGAGTGGAAGGAAGATCTCAGAACTTGTGTATAGAAATTATTCAAACAAATGGTGATTAAATCATCATAATGATTATTTTTGAAAATAAATATTATATATTTCTGATAATATACGTTTGCAAACTGCAATTTTAGTATTAATTTCAATTTAAACATATATTTAATATTTTACATGTCACTTTCGTATTTTCCAAAGTGAGCGAAAGGAAGATCTCAGAACTTATGTATAGAAATTAGGCAAATAAATGGCGATTAAATTATCATAGGGATTATTTTTGATGAGAAATATTATAAGTTGCTAATAATATACGTCTACAAACAGAAAATTCACCGTAAAATTCTATTAAAACGGACAATTCAAATTTTAAAAGTCACTTTCGCTCACTTTCGCTCACTTTCGTCAAAAATCTCACTTTCGTATTTTAGGCATACCGCATACAAAAGGGTTGGGCCAAAAGTTCTAATAACATTATCGTGGGCCCATTAAGTAATTGGCTAATGGGTAGCTTTTTGGACACTATAAACTTAAAACCAAAATTAAAAAACTTTTGAGAAATATATAAAAAAGAGGCATAATGGGCCTTTAAAAACAAAACACCTATAACAGTAATTGTATATAAAAAACATACCTACAACAACAACAACAACAACAACATCACCACCAACTACAGTGAAAGAGTGAAGCGTCTATATCTACCATCTTTAATTGTAACGAATATACATAATTGACAAAGTCTATTTGGGAAAAGTTATGATAGAAAAATACGTGTGACAATCATAATCAATTTAAAAACACCAATAAACATATGTAGTGTATAACCAAACTATATAACCAAAATTAATGTCTAATGATTACAGATATAATTGTGATACATGTTTAAATTTCAGACTGAAGTGTGTACATTTTCTAGTTTATCATAGAGTCAGACTTAATTTATTTTTGCATTTCCTAATATTATACTTAGTTTTGTTTCACCCCTGCCTGCTTGTCATGTAATGTTTTGACAATAATAAGGCAAAAACAGCATGCTTTTTTCTTCTTCACAAAATACACTGCAAATATCACAGCTTTAGAAATAGAAATATTACAAGCAATTATAAAGATTATTCGGTACATCTTATCCAACAAAGACATAATATTATATAGTGTATGTTTATTGTCTATATATAGTTCATCCTTTGATAATGATAAATTAATTAACAAATAGAATCCTCATTATTTTAAAGCATTACCATACAATTGTTTTCATCAGAAAAAACACACAACCAAAACAACAGAAAAAACAACAAACAAAACAAAACATAAAAACGACACAAGACAAAAGAACAAACTAACAAAAACAACATTTTGGCCTATTTGTTAGGCATCCCATGCTATACCGTAGGTACCGTTAATTTTCCGTACCGTTATACACGGAAGAAAGACACGTCTAGTTGCAGCTACAACAACAACAACTACTACAACAACATGAACTTTTGCTTTCTGTTTTGCAGTTTTTGAAAAATAAAGGAACATTATTCATTTGATTGAGGATTGAAAAGTCAGCCTTTTTATTATTTCTTCATACATATTTGAATTTATTTCATATCTTAAGACGTCGTGAAAAAAACTTGAGCAGACGAATTGGAACATTTTTATCTCGATACAGTTTTATCAATAGATCTTTAGATCCATATTACAGTGTATTAATCTATTATGCATACTTTGTATTTTTTCAAAAAAATGTTTGGTTGATGATCCAAAACCAGTGCAGGCCGGTAATAATAAATTGCAAATGAGTCTAGTTGGTGGGAGAAACATAAGGTAACATAATGCTTGCAGTAAACTTCAGTTAATTGAAGATGGCCAGTATTTTGGAAGAAGAAGGTGAAATGAGGTGTAACAATCATTTGCAATTATTTTACTTGATACACTTTTCATTTTTTAAGCATTAAGTACACTAGTTATTAATAGTACTCCATGCAAGTACCACATCCAAGGTTCATTTTAAGCACACTACTAATAGTTCTCCATCATCCATGCTCATCCAAGGTGATATTGCGGTAATCTGTATATATCGTGGGGTGCCCTAAATACATCCCTGTCCTAGAGTCAACACCTATCCTGTGTATGTCATAAAGTCTTAACAAATTGTTGTTAAGAGATAAAGCAGTTGGATATTTTTAAACATCAAAGTAAATTTAATGTATCTGCCAAATTTCTTCAACATAGAATGCTTGGATCATTAGAAAATAGAAATAGAAAAAGTTGCACTGTAAAATGCTTAGGGTGAAGAATCATGGCCACCTGAGGATATGTATTTATTTGCATATGAAAATGCCAGCATAAATATTGCAGATGGAATTAATTATTTCTTTTTTCATCATGGACATTTTTTAAGGCCCCAACTGGTTAATCACGTTAATTTCACATTTATAAATATAGTACACAACTACTACATTTCTATATATAATTCAGAACCTGTGAAGAGGAAGCAGATTCATCTTTAATTTAAATAAACGTATATTTAATATTAATTCAGAGTATACACTTCAGTAGAGTCCACAGAAACGCAAATGCTGGTGTCCAAAACATCAGCTGAAATCATTAATTTCTAACATCCCTTTAGTCCAATGCTTTTACAGTAGCTGTAAAATCAAACTGAATTACACACACTTGTTAATAACATGTTTTGAGTCATGATTTGATAGAAGAAATATACCCAGATAGTTTTAATGAAAAGATCTTGCCAACAATTGTGCAATGTTATCTTTGACTTTAGAACATGCTATAACTTACCAGACTATCAGTGGATTGATTTAAAAGTTTTTGCTGAATTTCTGGCACCAGACTAATTAAGATCAGTAGGCATAGTACATGTATTGCTAAATGATGGTATGAATAATTTTAATAAAAAATGTTTGCAGTGAAGCCATAAAAAAGTAGATCATTATTTAACTTGCTTCTACAGGAAGATGCCTAAGAAAGGAAAGAAGCCAGCATGGGGTGCAAGACCTGATGTTGGACCAAAACCTAATCAAGATGTATGCATCTCAGAAGAAGTAAAGATAGGGATAAACCTAGCTATTGAAAGATTCAGGATGGATGATACACAAAAAGGCATGTGATAGATTTTGTAGAGTTTGATTTTTTTTGCAACTGTATAAAGGATTGTTTTATTTTGAAATTGGGGAAAAAAGAGGTTACATATGTACTTTGAATGAGAATGAGTTCATAAAGCAGCCCCTGGTGATACATGCAGGGTGAATATGCCCTGTTATAGATTCAGGCTCTCCTGCTTAATACCTTTGCAGCGTGCATGGCTAAACTTCTGTTTACCAACTTAAGTTTGATGTTTTGAGATTCAAATTCATTAACAGTTGATCTCTTAGTCTACTGGCAGCCACAGGTCTTACCCATGTGATCAGAGCAGACGAGCAGACCTACAACATGGTCTGCACTGTTTGCTTTTCAGTCACTGTCAGTACAAACCATGTATTTCACCCCCCCACCCCCCCCCCCAAAAAAAAATAAATAAGTAAATAAAAAATAAATAAATAGATAAAAAGAATTAATCCATTTTAGCAGTGTAATAATAATGATTAATAAGTAAAAATTGTGTATGTCAGAATGTTGAGCCAATATTTTTATCATTAACATGATTATAAAGTCATTATTTAATTTTACCCATGAAATATGGTGCTATATCAGTCAAATATATTTCATATTTTTTAAAAATAAATATGAGTTATAAATATGAAAGTGGGCGGAGTCAAAACTCATATTTATTTCAAGGGACTTCTTTCGCCATTTTCATACATGTGAACTTTTTTCAATGATCAAGTGGGAGATTTTTCTTTAAAAAGAGGGAGATTTTAGAATTTGCAATAAACAAAGAAGGAAGTTCTGAAATCAAAAATAGGTAGATTTCTTTAATTTGTGAAAATACCCCTTATTTTAAGAAAAATCTTTGAAAATATGGCTGCAGAAAGTGGTAGTCTCCCGCTAAAAGTGGGAGAGTTCACATGTATGCATTTTGTTTGAAAAATCTGATAAATACAAAACAACTTTTTCTTGAATTTTGTTTTGAAAACTATCTAGAATGATAGAAAATGGTCTAACTAAGAAAATTAATCCGAACACCAATATCTTTAATTCAGTAATTAACGCTGTACAGACGTTTAAAGAATTGTTTACATGACGTCACAATGTAGCGCCAAACAGCGCGTGCTTACGCATAAATTACTGCGCGCTGTACAATTGCAGTTGGTAGCAAGCAAGGGGTTTCGTTACCATTTTCTTTGATAATGAAATTAAATAAAAAGGTTATTTTTTAGTTTTTCGTGAAATATGGTATATATTTTCACTCAACATGATAAAATGCTACATATTTTCACTCGCCGTACCGGCTCGTGAAAATATGTGGCATTTTATCATGTTTCGTGAAAATATATTTCATATTTCACTCAAACGAAAAAATATCCTCTTAGTATTAAGCTTGAAAGTGCATGTACAATTGTACATGAATATGTAACAATTAAAAAGGTTTGAGATTAAAGAAATATGGGTTGTAAAAAATGATAAGAATAGAGAAATGAATGAAAAATCAGTTTTTTGTACTTAAATATGTACATGTAGTAGGAAATACTAAACCTGTCAATTTGTTTCAGAACTGGAGTTCCCTACATCTTTAACAGCAACTGAGCGTGCATATATACACAGAGTGGCTGATGAATTGCATTTGAAACACAAAAGTAAAGGGTAAGTATAGAAAATATTTATTCGTGATTTAATGTGCATGTAAGCTTATAACAAAATATGACCAGGCTACCAGCCAAATATAAACAGTGCAACCTCTTCAGAACATCAATCTGTAAAAATACAGCAAAATACAGTAAAACCCCTCAATTAAGACCACCATTATACTACTAATGTTTGGTTAACAAACATTCTAAGCATTCTACAATTGGTTAAGAAGCATCGTATGGTATATTTTGAAGCATGACATATTCAAATTTCAGGATCAAAAAACCCATCTTTCAATAGCATTTATACATTTTTAAATTCAGGCAAAAAGCGTCTCGGTATCTTGTCCTCGCAAAGAAAGATGTAGGCTCTATGACTAGTAGAAGTGCGACATTTCAGTTGGTTCGTAACTCCCTATACCAGGTTAGCAATATGCTACACAGGTTTCCAGTCAGCAGTAAGGAACGTCTTGAATTGCTACCTAGCACAGATAAAAGTCAAGTAAATGAAGGTACTGGCATTTTGCTTGTTCTGTTTGTTTCACAAAGTCTTATCAAATATTCATTAAGACAGAAAGCAGATAATTTTAAACGTCAAAGTAAATTTTATGTATCTCTCAAAGTTTTTCAGCATAGAAAGCTTGAATTATTAATAGGTAGAGTGTATTAAACTAGCATTGTGAAAATTCTTAGGGTATCGAATCGTGACCACCCGTGTGTATATTTTAAAAATATATGTTATATATTCTATTAATTTACATTTGTAATCTAAACAATCAAGGGAGCAATTGTATTTAGCAAAAAAATACATGTACTTCCATTTTCAGTGTCAAAGGAGCTGGCCTGCACGGCTACGGGGCGTCTAAATAATGGTATACCACAGGTCCCTCCCATGAAAGGACCTTCAGACCTACAACAGTTCACAAAAACCCTTCCCATTAATCAGTATAAAGATGAAATAATGAAAATGATAAGAGAGAATCAAGTTTGCTTAATCTCTGGTGAAACTGGATCTGGAAAGACAACTCAGGTTTTGTTTGTTTGTTTGTTTTGGGTTTTACGTCACATCGACACAGTATAGGTCATATCGCGACGTTCCAGCTTTTACTGGTGGAGGAAGACCTCAGGTGTCCTTCCGTGCATTATTTCAGGCACGAACGGGCACCTGAGTAGAACCACCGACGTTCCGTAAGCTAGCTGGATAGCTTCCTCACATGAAAGAATCCAAAGTCCCTGTCGGGATTCGTACCCACAGCGATGAGGGGCAAGTGGTTTGAAGACGACTCGGGTACATACTTGTAACTTGTACAGCTTTATCATAGTTGATGATGTTTGTTGAAGGGACTCCACTTTCGTGTTTTGACATTAAAGGAATGGAAATATATTTTCAAGATTTATGTACCATTATTTTGATTATGTCTGGACCCAAAACGTGTGTGCAAAAACTTCCCCTGTTGATCTGTATGTAAGATAATCAATTTTTATGTGTTATTTTTTGGCATATCAACCTCCTTTGATTAATGCTTGAATTCATTTCCTTGAGTAATCTTCTCCATAATTCTCCCATATGATTATATTATTTAAAAAAAGAATTGCTTGTTCTGATAAAAAATTTGAACTGAATTAAATTATGCATATATTAGTTGTAAGCAGAAGAGTAGTTTATCACATAAATCACATTGTAGATGAATTATAAAGCCATTAGATTAAAACAGTTATACATTTGTGTAATAACTTTGCATTATGATGTCATTTGCGTTTAAAACATAGTGTAAAAAACACAAATTTTGATGTTTCACTACAGCCACCTCCCATTGTAGATTAATTCTTTTTTTACTGTAAACTGTTCTTACTTTGGGAATGTGATAAAAGGAATATTACACTCTTTTGGGTATGTGATAAAAAGAAAATTACACTCTAATGTGATGAAAAGAAAGATACATTCTTCAGGTTAAATACTAAATTTATTTAACTTGATCAAAACCACCAGAGGAGAGCTTAATATATTTTCATTCAACCCATTCAATAAATTTAATATCGAACCTTCTTCCATAAAATATCCTCTATATATTAATTTATTTTCTGATTCAGGTTCCACAAATGATTCTAGATGAATGTCATCAGAAGAAACAAGCGTGTAGGATATTTTGTACGCAGCCGAGACGTTTAGCTGCTCTCAGTATCTCAGACCGTGTGGCGGCTGAGAGAAAGGAAGATGTCGGGCAAACCGTAGGATTTCAAATAAGACTTGAAAGCCGGTAGTGGTTGTGTTAATATTTAATTGGAGTTATAATTCATAATAACTTGCATTGTACAATTTATACTATTACATGCAGTTATAAAGGTTTAACAGCTTTTATGTCCCTTTATAATACTGCATGTTTGTAACATCGCTTTTCATTGGATAATTGTGACATTTATATGGTTTTATATATACGGCTGCTGTCAAGTTATGAAGAAATCTCACTTTTTTCTCTTAAAAAGGAAGCTTGCTGTATTATAAATTTGTTATGAATACTTTTGACAAGTTATATGGCCATATTGATATATTAAGGTTTGTTTGTAATATTTCCAAAGAACTGTTTATATAGGGCCATATATACTGTCAAAAAAATCTTTAAAACCAGTTTTCTGGTTGTTTGCATATAGTGGCAAGGGTGATATTGCAAACAACCCTTTATATACAGCCATATAACCTATCAAGAATATAATAAATTTATTGTATAACAATATCCTTTATTTGAGAACAAAAATTAAGTTACTTCATAAATTGACAGCAGCTATGTATTTAGTTAATAAAAATATAACAATTATACAATAAAGGTTGATGTCATGAAACATGCAGTATTATAAATTTTTATTTACAAAATGTTTATATATTTCATCATGCTTTATCTGCTTATAAAGAATTTTAATTTGTTTGTATAGGAAGCTTTAAGCTTATAGACACAATTAACTGATTGCACAATTTCTGATTTGTTCCTGGAACACTTGGTGTAAAGTTTCTTGTTCAAATATGAAACAATGATTTTCCACTGACGGGTTTGAACCTATGGGGCAAGCAATCCTTAGACTGCTAGTCAGACACATTAACCACTAGGCCATGCAGCCGCTTTTATTGATAGATGTTGCTAGATGAATGTATTGATTCAGGTCCCTTTCTTTGATGCTTGTCTGAGAAAAGGAACTAACACATCAAATATTAAATGAAATTTCTTTGTTAACATATGCTTGCTTGTGCTTCCGTGTAAATATAACCCTTTTAGGCTGTACCTTAGTATGTATGATTTTTATTTTAATTTCAGGGTATCTCCTAAGACTCTGTTGACATTTTGTACAAATGGCGTGCTGTTACGTACACTGATGGGCAGTTCAGATGCTTTAAGTACGGTGACCCATGTCATTGTTGTAAGTTATTGATTGCTATATTGAACTTCCATTTAAACTTTATTAGTATTTGAAAAACTTAAAATGTTTTATATTTATAGCGTTTGTATGGATATTTAGTCACATTTAGCAACTATCAGATTTACAAGATGTATTCTGACACTGCCATTTGGGAATTTAAAATCAAATTTAGAATCCAAATGTTTTTAAGAAGGTCAACTAACAGAATTTTCCTACAGCTAGAAATTAATTTTGTGCAATTAGTTCTCTTCTTATAGGTTTATAAAATTGTTCAAATGATAATATATAAAAAAAAAGATTAAATTGCAAAGATTTTATCAATTTAATTCAAAGATACTTTTATAAAGTGACATTATGCTCATTTTTTTCATTGCCAAGTTGAGCTGAATTGTCTATATATATATATAGATAAAATTATAATGTTTAAGAAATAACAAACTCTATGTAAAATCGGTAGCGCTTTCAATGCTTTCTTCGCATATCTTCAGCCGAAACTTTAATAAACAATAAACATATAAACAAATGACGTAACGTCATGAAAAAAAGCGGGAACGTTAAATGATAACGTATTTCCCGGCAAACACAATATGGTTATTTATACTGAAAAATTATAATATTACGGACATTGAGCATAATCCGTACAATCTGGCAGTGAATTAATGATATTTATTAAAGGGAGGTAATTAAATTCACAAGTTAATGATTTTATGGCCACAAATTGTATGGTAATTAACAATTTTTACTCAATAAATATTGGTAAATAAACGAACAATTGGACTGAATAAAATCGCAAGCGTTTCTTTCATAATTAAAAATGAAGAGATTGTAATAAATATGAAGTACTTGTATATATATACCTTGTTAAACGACTGCACAAGGAACATTTATCACATTTTAATATATATATATATTATATATGGTGATTGACCAACAGTTGATATTGGACAATGTTTAGCATAAAATATAAATCTGCCTTTGATATAAAAAGACTGCCCCACTTATTTTATAAAGTGAACTTTTCAGGTAAATTCTTATGGATATTTACAGAAATTTCCCTGGGCCACAAAGATTATTTATCATTCATGCGAATAATTTAACTTTCAACTTTCACCTGTTTACTCACTATATACCCTTGGATGGGCATAGTGTCATTTAAATGAGGTAGAAATTCATTACATTTGTGTATTTACAATTAGTTTTTTTTTTATGAAAGGTCACTAAGGTTATTTAGATCATTAAGTTATAATATAAAGATGTGTTGAGTTTCAAAGATTGGATGAATTTAAAATTCCAAAGTTAATTAATGAGCCGCGTCACAACAAAACCAACATAGTGGGTTTGTGACCAGCATGGATCAAGACCAGCCTGCGCATCCACGCAGTCTGATCAGGATCCATGCTGTTCGCTTACAAACACTATTACAAGTAGAGAAACTGATAGCAAACAGCATGGATCCTGATCAGACTGCGCGGATGCGCAGGCTGGTCTGGATCCATGCTGGTCGCAAACCCATTATGTTGGTTTTGTCATGACACAGCTCAATTTCATTCTATACAGGATGAAGTACACGAGAGAGACAAGTTTTGTGACTTTCTGATGATATCTCTAAGAGACAAAGTCCGCAAGAGGCCAGATCTTAAGGTCATACTGATGAGTGCAACATTAAACACGGAATTATTTGTCAAGTACTTCGACAATTGTCCTTCCATATGTGGTAATTGTTTTCCTTTAGATAAATGTTTTCTTTGAAACCATTTTTTGAATTAATGCTAAATTATAACATTTCTTTCAGTAGTTCATCGATTGTGGTAGGTCTGATTTAAGTGTCTTGCTGTCAGTGGTGAGATGTGTGTTTGTTTTGTTGCAATTAACACCACTTGATTTTCTTAAATGGACTTAACCAGCTTCTAGTTTTGGAACAGTCCATTATCAGTAATAAAGGAGATAATCAAGATGAAAAGAAAAGAGACAACAGTCGGAATTTTGACTTTCTATGCACATAGATACTTTTTGGACAGCTTTAAAGAAAAACAGGCATTTTTTCACTTGGGAATAACTTTGGAATGATTCTTTGTTCTACGCCTATTTAAAGAAAGAGATAAAACAGCGAATTATATATATTTTGTATATTCTTTTAGTTCCTGGCAACTTATTTCCAGTGGAAGAATTCTTTCTTGAGGATGTGCTGAAATGGTATGGTTTAAATTTGATATTTTTCTGAGTGTTAAAGAGATAAAAAGCTGTATTTGATGTTGTTTTTTAAATATATAAAATTTATGAATGGTAAATGCTGTTTCAATAATCTTCTGGTTGATTCTGCTTTTATTCAATAATTATTATTTGATGACTTTTGAGACATCCTGTACATTGTAAATGCTTATTGGTTTAGTACCCATGTAGTGAGTAATAATAATTAAAAAAAATGCATTTTTCAGGACAGCTTACACTAATAGAAAGATGGAAAACTACCGCAGAGAACTAGATCAAAGTATGTTTTTGGTAGATTCCTTATCTGTCTTTGATAGATACAGTATCAGCCTTGTTGAGCATTTTCAGCTATTTTATTCTTTGACTGACATCTTTTAGTTGTTCCTCACAAATAAAATAAATTAGCCACATTGAATTTACCAGAGCACAGTTCAGCCACCGCTACATTCCTGGGCAGGCTGTCTAGCCGTTTACCAGTACTTACTAGTTGCCTTCACTTTCGCAAGGAACTGATTACTTTTGTACATGCCAGAGCAGAGGTACAGTGTGAATGACGTTAGTGAGGATTTCATGATCAATCACAACGAAAATGAACTGCGCCATCCGGGAATCGAACCCGGTTGCAGGATTCACAGTCCAATGCTCTACCTATTGAGCTAACCGGACGACTATCTCGCTAATGTAAAGATTTTAGCTGTTAATATCACATCATGGGGCATCCTCATTCATAGCATATTTCTCATTGCATTATCTTTATATACTCTACAAGTGGATACTTTCGCGTGTTGAAAAGTTGGCAAATTTAAAATTGTAGACATTTTGCTGCATGAGGAAATATTAGCAAATCATGCAAGGGTAGAATTTAATGAGGGATTGGTTGATATTGACGTTGGAGGAAATTTTAGCGTTTTCCATCAATTTGCAAAATTTACAAATATTCCCATGTCGTTGACTTTACCACTTATACAGTATACAAAGCTTGAACCAAAATCATATGTTTAACATGTCTTAGACAAGGTGTTATAAATTTTCATATTGCACTTTCAAATTTCTGTATCACACTAAAAAAATCCATAACATTTTAAATTTGTTTTTTATAGTGGCTGCACATACTGAGCAGTTATCTAAATGGTGCAATCAAGATCCGGACACTGTTGATCCTCGCCTTCTGTTATCAAGGAAACGGAAGAAGAGGAAGCAGGTTTTACCCGGCGTATGTGCCGACATTGACCTCGATTCATCTAGTAGTGACTCAGAGAGGGAACCGGATGATCGTGGTGACCTTACACAGTAATGTAGTTTATGAAGATTATGATACGATTTAATGTTGACGCAGTATTTGAAGCGTTTCGCAGTTGTTAAGATTGTATACTGCTTATTTTTTTCTGTTGACAAAAAAGAAGTCTGTGTTGTTTCGAACTAGGTATTTCAGTAATTTTTTTATCTTGGTATAGTATGTTATATCACTGTTAAGCATTCTTGAAAACCGCGTTCTGAGAGCTATTTATAATGTGTTTTTTTTTTTGTTTTTTTTTTTAAATAGAAGATCAAGAAATGAATTGTCTGCTATACTTATTTAAATATAGATTGGTCATATCAAGGGGTTTAGCTATTGTTGTAAAAACACTTTGCATTATATACAAACTTAGCACCAATGTTAAATCGCACTTTTAAATATATACCGTTCTTATTTTGCATGTATGTGATAAATAGAATATTAAATTCGTGCAGATTCAATACTAAATTTATTGAACTCATTTAATAAATTTAGTATCGTTTATACACTCATTAAATGTCTGCTATTTATGTATTCAGACAGTTATCCAGTCTTGGTCTGAGCAAGGAGAAGGAGAAAGACGAGCTGGAGCCATGGTTGATACAGGAGATGGACCAGTGTCTGTCAGAGATATGGTTGTCGGGATCCGAGGAAAAATTCCCACAGGTTTTCTACCTCATAGCTTCAGAAAATGTCAGTGGTATGTGTATTGTTTATACTTGGCAGATAGTGAGGAAGTCTCTGATATATTGAAGCATATACAGTTAAGACACACTTTTTAAAGAAAGCTTGATTTTAAGGTCATCGGTTGCAATAAAAAGAGTCGAGCTACATGTATTACGATAACTGTGGCATCACCATCGTTGTTGTAATCGGCATTGTTGTTATCATGCAAAAACTTCAATGTAGGTCATAACTCAAACAATTCTAAATATGAAACTTTGCATACTTGCTTATCATGGCAAGGTGCAGTTGTTAGACATTGAGCATAAATCTGAAAGCAAATATTTTTGGAAAATTCCCTTTCAAAATCAGTTAATTAAAAGGTAAATTAAAATAGTCATAGATGCTTCCATATTGATAAGTGATATGCGATAAAAACAAAGTATAACCACATGAGCGATATTCGTACTTTTAGCGCTTCGCACCTAAGTATAAATCTTATGTACTCAATCTCAGATTTTCATTAAAGTTATGTGTCTAATTGTTCATAAAACATGGTTTTTACTTTATATTATGTATTATTCCATTGTCTCCCTGAAGAAAAAAAATCCCCATTAATATTTTGATGTATTATGCAAAATTTCAAATTTGACTCAAAACGATACATTTTTTCCCCAATTTGTTTGGTACCGACACCAAACGCTGTAATATAAGTATGTTTTTATCAGTTGATTACCAGCACAGTGAGACAACAGTGACCCCATTGATGATAGCTGCAGGTCGAGGGTTCATAGACATAGTGGACCAGCTCCTTACCCTCGGAGCCGATCCTACTGTCAAGTCATCAAATGACTGGACCGCACTCGACTGGGCAAAAAAATTTGAGTGGACTGAAATCGCCTCCCTGTTAGAGACACATATGTAAGTCGTTGATTATTTTGTTAATATGCAGGCCTTTCCCCAGATGTTTTAAGCACTGTGCTCCCCCTGTGCCTTAATCTCCAAATCAATCTGACCGCTTTGCCATAAATGTCACCGAGGCAATTGATTTTCCGATCCTTATTTACAAATTTGTATAGCACTTGCAGAATCGGCCTCCATGATTAATCAATAAACACAGCGGTCGTCAATTAGAGTGTGTGATAACAGATTAACAGGTTGTTGTGCAATTAATAATCAGTCTGTGCGAAAATCTGTCAGTCCTCGGTCATGGATGAATAAAATTCAAGTTCAGTCCAAGATATATTTCGTTACTGTCAGTCCTCATATTCAAATCAAATTTCAAGAAGCTAAAATATCAATGAGCTGTTTGATAATAAGTTCCCGGTGACGCAAAGAAATTTGTTAAAGAACCAGTCTCTTCAAAAAGTTACATCAGCAACGGTAAATTTTGCCGTAAATTACAAATTGTAGCTTTTTGTTTAACGATGCATCTTGAAATAGCCAATGAATAACAATCTTAAAATACTAAATAAATATTTAATCTGATGTAATCAAAATTAACAACAACTAGAAATGTCAATCTTTTTGCAGGAAACAGACAAAATTTCATTTGTCACATATTTTCGCGATGCTGCTTTTTATAATTAAAAAAGGTAGGCCAAAATGAAGCTATGCTTGGTTAGAATGTGTGTAATAACACTTAAAAATGTAGTTTATGAATTAAAATTACTTAAAGTATTGCTTAAATTAGTTGAGATGGACATATTTGCCAGTATCACATACTTGGGGGGGGGGGGGGGTGGAGTGAATCAGGATGGTCTGAAGATGTTGGGTATTAGAAATTATATATCAGAATTTTTCAATCACTTTTTTATGATACAGGGTTTCCCATTTGGGAGTATTACTATTTCCCTAAATAATCTTTTTTATCTGTTCAAATTCTGACTCCCTCACCCCTTATTCTGTTTATCTATCACATACATCAATTGCATAAATGTAACAACATGGCTTAGTATAGTGAACATTATTTGGGACTCCTACTTTTTCTGGCTCGGGAGTCTCAGAACTCCTATTTTGATAATCCTAGTGAGACACCTGTAAGGCTGTTTTTTTTCAATGGGTCAGAATCTTGTTTTGTTGCTACATTGATGTTCCCACTAATTTTAAGAAAGACAGTCAGTTTTAAACAGTGAAGAGTGACTGTGAAGATAGATTTTTTTCAATGTGTTGTTTTCTTAATTTTATGATTATAGTGTAATAAATTGTTAAAATGTTACATTTATCTGGTATCTTTTATCTTTGTGAAGACTCTTTAATGCAGTAGATTTTGATGTAGCAAACATAAAAATAGCAAAAATTTTCGAACGAGGGACAAGGGCCCTAACTCATCCCACACCCACCCATGTTTTCGCGAAAACTTGCCCCTGTGCCTTGCAAAATTCCTTGGGAAAGGCCTGATATGTATAAGTATAGAAAAAAGGGCTTCTACAAAGAGTATCGTTCCTGTCGGCCCTTTCTGTCAAACTTCGGATAAAGACCTCAATCGCAATAGTATGAATTCCAGAATGGATATGGAATTACGGTCTGACCTAGGCTAAACATGTAAACAAATAGTAGTTAGATACCGTTAAAGCTTCTTCTGAGTGGTTATAATTTGTTAACAATGGGCATTGTTTAATTTATTCTAATTGTCAGACATATTTTTCAATCATAACTTTACTGAAATTGACTACATCTTCTATTGGATATAAAATAAACACCTTCATTACTCATTTTACAAAGATTGCACATTCTGTTGTTGTTTACATCTAAAGTTTAGAAGAACTACTTTCAATCTGTATTATCTCCGATGTATTAATAGTCGAGGTTTTCCAATTGTTGTAATACACAATTCATAGAATAGTATGCAACAGAAAAAGATTTTTTTTGTTTGCTTTGAGTGTATAGGTAATATATATAATTTTTTACCAGGTTAGCATGTGAGATTGGACCTGAACACAAGGATCTTGATATAGAGGACGATGAAGATATCTCGGAGGAAGATAAGAAGATGTTAACAGTATACCAGCATTGTTGGGATGATGATAAAGTTGATATAGAACTCATTGCACGTCTACTGTATCTAGTAGTTTCCACACAATCTGATGGTGAGTTTAAAGTTTGAGATGAAATCTACATAGAGATAATATCATGACCTGTTTTTCAGTGTCTGCAGTGGTTTAATTTTATTTTTGTTCTTGTTCATTTCTTTACTGTAGATATTTACTTAAAACTAGGAGTACTTGTTCGTTCTAAGAATTTTACAGTTTTTACCAAGGGCCAGTACCTCTGTTATATATTTTTATTCTGATATAAAATTTACAGGATATGCATTTATGCAGCGATTTTTTTTATGAATTATCAAGGTGCAGTACTGATATTCTTGCCTGGATATGATGAAATTATCTCCCTTAGGAACAGAATAGAAGATGATGATAAGTTTAAAAGAATCAGGTATTTTATTGCCCTATAATATATTTTATTATGCCATGTATAATAAAGGTCTTATTAGATATACTACCTTTATAAGTGAATATGTTTGGCAAATGTCATACCCTGTCTTATTAGTGGCCGGACTTATGGCTGAGTAAATATGATCTATGATTGCTAAACATAAGAAATGATTTAGAAAACTTAGATTTGTGAACTAATGTTTTAAATGACAAACAAAATTTAAGTAAAAGATGAGATAAGATGACCTGTCAACATCTGGTGAATTTTAGAATTTATTAATTTGATCAAATTTTCATTTTTTTGGACTCCAGTGCTAGTTATTTCCAGGAATCAGACTCAAGAGTTGTAAAAGTTTATATCACAAATACATATATTGTATGGTAGATGTTTTAAGGGGTCTTTGTGCCTGAGTGGTTAAGGTGACCAAGTTCAAATCACTTGACCCTCATTGCTGTTGGTTCAAACTCCATCAGGGAATTATGAATCTGTTATGTGGGGAAGCTATCCAGCTAACTGACGGAAGGCTGGTGGTTCTACTCAGGTTGTTGCTCTTGCCTGAAGTAATGCATGGAGTGGCTTCTAATGCTTTCCTCATAAAATAAACCTGGATAGTCACCCTATGACCTTTACTGTGCCAGTGTGACTTAAAAACCTAACGCAAACAGATAAATACATGTGTTTAAGCTATATGTTTATAACCAGTTTCAGTGACATTTATGTGCCGTTTTATAAGTTATATTTTTCCTTGGTAATTATTTTATCATTTAATCTTTGTAAATTATTTATTTACAGATATTCAATGTTCCTTCTACATTCATCAATGCAGTCAGCAGATCAGAAAAAAGTGTTCAAACCAGCAGCTGCTGGGTTCAGAAAAATAGTAAATAATAACATGATTATATTTATTCTCACTCTAAATGTAAATATGCTGGTAGGGTTAATGTAGTGGTGGTGTTTGTAGTTTACACTCGGAATCATGGAAGTAAGTGACATTGAATTTACCAGAGCACAGTTCAACCACCACATTGTTCCTGGACAGGCTGTGAAGCAGTTACCCTTTACTAGTTGTCTTCACTTTCGCATGGAACTGATAACTTCTGTACATGGCAGGAACAGAGGTACACTGCAAATGACAGTAGAAACAATTTCATGATCACTCACAAGAAAGTCTCTGAGATATATCTTCACTATAGAAATATTTATGCTTGCTAAATGTACCAGTAATCATAACATTGGTGTAGAGATGTGAATATTTTATGGCATAACTGGGTACTCCATTCGAAAAGTGACTAAGTAGTCAAGAACTGAAATCCGTACTTGTTGCCATCCCTCTTTAAAAGCCACCTTTTTTCTTTATAAAACTAGTTTTTAATGGGACAAAATTAACAGTATCAGGATTTTATAAATATCATACTTTCACTTTTGATAAATCAGCATGGTAAAGGATAAAAGAGTGTTAATGGACCTTTTTCATACATTAACACTATTCTTGCTAAAAAAGCATATGTCTAAATCATTAATTCCTCAGTTTTTTTTATGCAAGAATGATTATTATTCTTTTCTTTCTTTGTTTGTGTTACAGATTTTAGCAACAAATATAGCTGAAACCAGTATTACAATCAATGATGTTGTCTATGTTATCAACTGTGGTAAAGTCAAAGAGGTAAAAAAATATAAATAAAAAGCACATTTTCTTACAATACAGTACGGTAATTCTCTGTCTAGCAAACGCTCACTTCATTAAATTTAATTTTCATGCAAGAAAAAAGAAAAAAAATCAAATCTTAAAAAGTGATTATAAAATCATAATAATGCCATGAAAACGAAACTTTCCTTGGATATGAAGGGCGGCATGTTAATATTGCATTGCCCCTATGTCAGTTTGTCTGTGTGCATCCCCTCTTACACAATAATTGTGTCCTGACTCCCGACTGTATTTTTGTCATTCAATTAATGGACTTTTTTTTACTTTCAGAAAACATTTGATGCACTGTTAAAGATAACTATGTTGAAAAGTAATTGGATATCTAAAGCTAGTTCTACTCAAAGAAAAGGAAGGTAAGTTTGCTTGAGGATTTTTTGAGTATTGCATAATTATTATTATACATGGGGCTATAATTTTTGTTTTTCATGGATAAGTCTATCTTCAAATTTAAAATCCAACAATATATTTTTTTAAGGGCCGGTCGTGTACGTCCAGGTGTCTGCTATCACATGTACAGTAAGGTACGGTACCATCATTTGTGCGACTTTGCAACACCGGAACTCCTACGATGTCCATTACAGGTAAAATTTTGTTCTGTTTTCTGTAATAACACCTCACTTTTATATGCAATGTCAAGGTCCCAGAGGTCATGACCTTTTTTGTGATAATAACTGGTGTAAATTGGATATATGCAGACATTTGTTATTGTTGATACTTTTAGGTATGATTCAGTATTCCCTTTGATTAGTAATTTGTATCTGTTGTTTAATAACTACCATTAACTGCAGTCTATTACTCTGAAAGTGCTAGCTGAATATATTTACCACTTATGAGCCCTGCAATATGTGTATAGATTGCCTAAAACTTTACTTGTTATTCCGGGTTTATTAGAAAAACCTTGGATAACAAATTTATTATTATTCAGCCAATCCTCAAACCTGTATGTCTGCTTATGAAATGTAGATAAAAAGCCTTTTGATGATAACTTATCCTTCTGAAATAAGACTGGTTGAGATTCTTTGTCATGAAAGCTTTTGAACCTTTGTTTTCTCTACCCAACTGTTTTTTGAGAGAGAAATATAAGGTAATACCATCTCAACAGATACATTCGTACGCCAACCTGGTTTATTTGCTTGTTAGACAGTCCTTTTATATAGGACCATTTCTAGATTTTGAAACTTGACAGATGGTTTTTTATTACATTAAATCTTAGAAAAAAAATAATTTCCACAATTATCTTCTTCATACAATTAAACTTTTAAGATCAACTCTTAATAAATACCACCTTGTAAATAAAGGCCACAATTTAAAACACTCCATGGACTAAATTGAAGTAAGAGAGTGTGATAGAGTAACCTAACAGTAACCTACAAAGACCACTTGTCTTAAAAGGCAATCTTTTGATCGGCAGGCTTCGTTATCCCATTTGGGCAGTCTTTGTTTTCAGGTTTGACTGTAATTTGATGAATTGTTTTACAGGAGTTATGTCTACAGACCAAGTTGTTATCTCCCTTGAATGAGAGTATAGTGGAGTTTTTATCTAAGGCACCAGAACCACCACCATCCCTTGTAACAAGATCTGCCATCTCTGTCCTGAAGGTAAGTTTTTTGTGTTTGTTCTTTATTATTTATTACAGTAGCTTTTGAATCACTTCAACTTATCTGTGCTAGTTTCTATGAAACTTTTTCACATTGAGTAAATATATGTAAAAAAGTTCAAAATAAAGTCCTTTTAGCATATCATTTGGCATTTTTGGCACTTTTTAGCATATTTTAGCATGTCAGTACATATATATGCAAAATAAACCCATATTCTGGTAGGTTATTGATATTATTCAGATACTTAACATATATTTATATATTTCTTAAACTTTCAGTACAGTTAAAAAAACTATTTTTTATTAGCTCGACTATTCAAAGAATAGGGAGAGTTATTGTACTCACCTTTGCCATGGTGTCGAGGGGAGCATTGCCTTCACACTTTGGTTAAGTTTGCATGCAAGTTGTTAATTGTCTCCAAAACTTCACACACTTATTTTTAAACATTATATGAGGTCACTGCCCAAGGCCCATAACTCTAACTTGGAATTTGACAGAATAAATACCACTTTTTGAAATTGTACATTATCTGTCTCTTGTTTTTCTGTCAAGCACTGAGAATAGTCGCACAAACTGTCCCCAGAAACTGTCCCTCTGACTGCTCTTGTTTTTTTTTGTAAGTCATTTGGAGATAGGCAGAATTAAATCTGTAATCTGTAAAATATTAATATTAATTGCACAGTAATATTTGGAATATGTTTTTATTTGTGACTGTATTATTTTACAGCAAATGGATGCATTAGATAATAATGAAGAACTTACAGAACTTGGCCGTCATTTAGCAGATCTTCCTGTAGAACCTCACCTTGGAAAGATGGTTCTCAACTCTATTGTACTAAAATGTATTGATCCTGTCCTCACTATTGTCTGTTCTCTGGCTTATAAAGATCCATGTAAGTAGGTCTTAAAGATGTTCTTATGACCTAATATTAATTCTATTTAATAACATTATATCGCAATTTTTGCCTATAGTGTGTATTTTTTATGGCTCAAATGGAGAAATTTAGCTGTGTTTTGGCCCTCAGACCTGATGTAATGCTGTCCATCCTAAAATTGACTAAATAGTAAACTAGTCCAAGAGATTGCGTTTTTTTTATGGTATTCTGTAATTTGGTGGCCATATTGGCGATCATCTTGAATTTTTGTACCTTGGCCGTGCTGCGTAACTTAAGAAATTGGTTTCAAGAAACTACAAACAATATGTTTTATAATGGAAATGTTTCTTTTTGTGATACAGTAAATTGCAATAAAACCCCACCCTCTCTTGGACTAAACATTTGTAGTAGTTTGTGTTATTGTTTTTATGAGAGGACGTATAATCTTTTGTCACCAATGATTAATTGATACCTGTTCTTAATAGATATATCAAGAGACATAAATGTGCTGAAAGGGGTATATTTGTTAATTACAGTCTTGTTGCCACAACAACCATCAGAGAAACGTCAAGTTGGAATGATTAGAAATGACTTTTCTGCATCAACCTTTAGTGATCACATGACAGTACTTAGACTGTTTCAGGTATGTTTTATCTAGGGTCCACTTTATAATCAGGCCATCTTGTCCATTGAATATGAATTATTAGTCTGTTTCAATAAAACGCAGCTCTGCCATTGGTTAATTTGAAATATGGTCTAATAAAGCTATTTGCAGGTTGACAACTCTTTGAGTATGTCATATATAGAGGATATTGAATTAGTGTAAGTTCAATACTGAATTTATTGAATAAATTGAATAAAATTATATTATGTGAGCCTCTGGCAAGCATAATATTATGTTATTCAAGGAGTTCAATAAATTCAGTAATGAACTTACACGAATTTAATATTCTTTTAATCACATACCCAAAATAAAGAGTGTTTCAATTCAAAAAGAATAATTTTTTTCAACAACGCGCCTATAATGTAATGCTAACATTTAGCACGTCTTAACGCTATGCTAATATAACGCAAATGACGTCACATAAAAATATATATCTACACAGCCTACAATACCAGTTATACAGAGTTGTAAAAGCAGCAAGAGTATGTGATAAAAGTGCAAGTGAGATAAATGATAAGCTTTTTTTTTTCAATTTTTTACCAATATCTCACTGTTTCTATCCATTAAAGTAATGAATTTTTAAATGAAATTTATATATTTTCTTAAATGTTTACATCACTTGTTAGGAGAGTAATAAAATTGTTTTGTTTTGTTCACTATTTAGGCATGGCAGAAAGCTAGGACAGATGGCTGGGAGAGAACATTCTGTCACAAGAACTATGTTTCACCAGCTGTGATGGAGATGATAGTTGGAATGAGGTGAAATACATAGAAACATATATTTTATATTTAAAGCAACATAGCCTCCAGATTCATGCTAATTTTCAAGTTTTTTTCTATAGATAAAATATTTATTTTTATCGAGTGGTATGAAAATAAATACTTCATGAGTGAAATATGATAATTTTCATAACACAAGATGAAAATAGATATTTTCATAAAACAAGATGAAAATAAATCCTACATTTCTAGAAAAAACGAATTTTCTGTCTAGTATGTACATTTTTTTCCTTTTTGTCATTGAAATTTCGAAGACTTCCCCTTTAATATTTTTTATTGGCTGAATATAAAAAATAAAAAAAGTATTGTGACAAGACACCAGTGAAAATACAAAAAAATATATATCACTAGTGAAAAATATTTTTTTACTGTGAAAATACGGAAAATGAAAATGTGCATTTTATTTCATCAATATTTCATTTTCTCATCGATATTACCTGGATATTCAAATTTTGTAATATCATTACTTTAGATATTAACTGACATTATTATGCTTTAATTTTATGTAAAAGATTCAATATTTTTAAAAGAAAATAATCTTATTTAATGTTTTAATTCCATTTCTATGTAAATAAATATAATACGTAGACATCTGACAGATATTAATCTTCAGTTATGTTCTACTTTTCAGAGCACAGTTGCTCGGTCAATTGCGGGCGTCGGGATTTGTCCGTGCTAGAGGTGGTGGTGATATTAGGGATTTGAACACAAACTCTGAGAACTGGGCAGTTGTGAAAGCATCATTGTGTGCGGGGGCATACCCAAACATTATAAGATGGGATAAATCTACTGGCAGTTTTGTTGGACAGTAAGAAAAAATAAAATTTTCAAAATAAAACAAGTTTTTACAGTTTATACATAAAATGATGTTTTTTTGTAAATTTCAAGTAATACCGGTATATCACTTAATTACTGGACAGTACCAAAATGCACTTAATATATAATAATTGTGTTGTTTAGGTAGATCTAAGAAAGATTTTGAAATCTTTTGAGGAAGGAATGGTTTTCATATGGTAATCATATGTTAATCAACTAGAAATGTTACATGTAGATTTAATCTTGTTTGACTCTTTTTAGTGTATTAAGGGTAACTTCCCCTGAAATGGTAGAAAGAACAGTATAAATCCCTTACATACATTCGTACGATGGCATAATTTAGCCAATAAATACCAATAATAGATTATAATTGAAATGAAACACATTTTTTTTCTTACCAAGAGTGATCTGAGAGACACATAAATAATATTCAAAGGGAAAAAAAAGGACAGACAAAAAAAGCCTTTTCTTGGGCTTGAACCTGTGCATCTCAGTTTCAATGCAGTTGACAGTAGTTCTAGCCTATTTGAATACTCTTCAAAGTGGAGAAAATGCATTAGATGGGTCATACCTTAAGTACGACATTCATGCAAATATGTTTCACTATACAGCAATGATAACTGAAATTTAATTAGGATTTTAATTTGTGTGGGATATGATTATTTACCCTGTATTAAATTGTATTAAATGCTGGATGTAGTTAGTAAGTCATTTTGTTATATATGCTGTACTTAAGAATATTTTCGCTGTTTTCATCAGTTTCACCACCCTTTCCAAGTGATGAATATATGACAACCGAAAATATAATATTTCCAAAATTAAATGCTGTATTAACGTTAATCAATACTCCAGTAGCTTCTTGTAGGTCCAAACTTGATTTGCATATATAAAGGCTTTCTAGTGTAAAGTATACCTATTTATATTTCGGATATCTTTTATTAATGGGTAAATGCTTCTGTGTTTTCCTTTTAGATGTGTGAGATTTAGTCCCCTTATTTAAATTAATCGATATATTATTAAAACAAAAATGGTATGATCAATTAATGGTATATGTGTATCAGTTTTCAGTTCTTTGTATTCACAGGAGTTTTAGCATTCATATGAGAAATGGAAATGATTGTTTAAGATACTACTTATCAACTATTTATTTGTGACTTACCCTAAGTATTGGATCTCAAAACTTAAATGACAATACTGTGGAGAACATACTTGTGTCATCACTTACATCTTTGAACCACTTGCCCCTCACTGCTGTGGGTTCGAATCCTGACAGGGACTTTGAATTCTTTCATGTGAGGAAGCTATCCAGCTAGCTTATGGAACGTCGGTGGTTCTACTCAGGTGCCCATTTGTGCCTGAACTAATGCATGGAGGGGCACCTGAGGTCTTCCTCCACCAGTAAAGGTTGAACGTCGCCAAATGACCTATACTGTATCGGTGTGATGTAAAACCCAAACAAACAAACTTTGAGTCCAGCACTTTTAAGTGTTGAGAATTGAATACCGCTCAAGCCCGTGCTGGGGGGCGTGAGAGATGTCACACTTTTTCATTATCCCTCGTGTACAGACTTGATCAAACCAAGTTTGCAATTGTAATGTTATTTTGCTGTTTTTAATGCTGCTGAGGGATCACTTTTTTTTCCCCAGATATTTGTAAATGTTATGTATGATATAAGTTAATTTTGCAATTGAATTATAATTTTTTTTTTAACTATTATATAATACAGGACAGCTGATAAAATCAAGATACACATATCATCTGTGTTACCTCAACAAGTTGGAGTATTGCCCACCGATTGGCTGTTTTACGAGGAGATGACGCGTGCAGGGAAAGGGTCGTACGGGGGCCTGGCTTGTGTACGTTGCTGCACGGTTGTCTCCCCTGCAACAGTCGCTATATTTGCCGGACCCTCAAAATTACCAAGTGATGCTTTGAAAGACACAGCAGACGAGGTTGCAGGTATAACAAAGAATGTTTTTTTGAAAATCCTTGATTTACTTATATAATGTTCCTTTATGTAGTGACTATTCCATACCTGACATATGATGTTAACATGTATATACAGTCAAAACTGTGGACATAGGCCATCCAAAGGAGCGTTTGAAAGTCACCTTTGAAATATAAGTGGTCCTTATATAGAGGTTATTGTGTATTCTATCTTATCAATGGATAGTTGCGCTAAAAAGGTCTTTATTTACAATCTTTATCTTAAGGTGGTCTTTTACACAGGTATGACTATGTAATAATTTTATGATGTCTTAATCTTTACAAATTTTGCATAAGGGTCATGTTGATGTTTCAATGTACTATTTTGTGATGAAATAATGGAAGATTGGTTAGCTTTTAGGAGGTCATTTCACTCATTTGATAAATCCATACACTATTTTCTGTCTGAGATACATTTTAAGGGCCTTCACTGATACACAAATTTTCTGTCTGAGATACATTTTAAGGGCCTTCACTGATACACAAATTTTCTGTCTGAGATACATTTTAAGGGCCTTCACTGGTGCACTTTTTTCTGACTGAATTACATTAAAAGGGACTTCACTCATACACTATTTTCCGACTGAGATACATTTAAAGGGACTTCACTTGTACACTTTTTTCTGATTTTCTGACTGAGATACATTTAAAAGGACTTCACTCGTACACTATTTTCTGACATAATTACATTTAAAGGGACTTAACTCTTACACTATTTTCTGACAGATACATTTAAGGGGTCTCAACTCTTACACTATTTTCTGACTGAGATACATTTAAGGGGAATCAACTCTTACACTATTTTCTGACTGAAATACATTTAAGGGGACTCAACTCTTACACTATTTTCTGATTGAGAAACATTTAAAGGGACTTAACTCTTACACTATTTTTTGACTGCGATACATTTAAGGGGACTTAATTTTTACACTATTTTCTGACTGAGATACATTTTAAGGGACTCCACTGAAGTTTTGAATTGGCGGGATTTAAAATATTTTTCCGAGATCTGAGTACCATTTTATGTAGGTCTGGACCTATAACTTGTGTGCAATTTTTTAGATAATTCCCTAACCCCATTTCTACAGAATCATAATTTTTGTGTCGCCTGCTACAGAGTAGTCTGTCTATCATCCACTTTTCTTTCAGCCTTTCATTCAAGTCAGGCTAAGCACAAATAGCACAAAAAAAAAATCAATTTTCAATATAATTTTGATAAGATAAGATAGCATGCAATTGGAAATACATAGGTTTTAAAACAAAATGTCATATCTTTATATAAAGAAACAAATGTAATGCTTAAAATCAATCTAAAATTTCTAAGGTTTTCAGCTAACCTCTGTTACCGATTATTGAGATTTCTAACTGGTTTTAGGCTGAAGATCGACCAAACCATTTAAACGAATAATGTGTCACTCCTAGTATTTAACTACCTTACAATTTTGTAATTTTTAATAATCTATAATCATCACAGACAGTTTAAACTCGGAGCATGGACCAACAAGCGACAGTGAAAATGAGGATCCCGAGGACAACAAGAACTGTACTCTGCAGTTTGGTGACTGGCTAACATTCAAAGCTGATGCTGAAGTAAGTGTGTGAGATATTTTTCTATATTTCATCATCATTAGTGACCTGAATCATCTAAAACTTGATATTTTGAAACCTTTAGATTCCACTTTTGCCTATTTAATTATTAAATTGTTATTTATTTATTTGCGGAATTAGCATCATCGACTTTTCCTCCATTGATATAACTGTTGGGGTTTTGACACCAAAATATTTTACTTTACCTGTCAACAGTATGTCTTGTCAGATTGCACATATTTTGAAACAAGTGATATACTTTTGCGAAGCATCACTCCCTAAATTTCAAAATTTTCTCCTTATTATTTGTGAAGGGAGAAGCCACTTCTCCCTAAATTTTCAGTCCAAGGTAGTCCCTGGAACTATACAAGTGATTTTTGAACAGTTCTTTTTCAATATTTTGTATTCAAAAAAATTGTATATATATATATACATTTGTAAAATGAAAGGAGCAATGGAGGAAGAACTAAATTATTGCATGGCATGTACAAGTTACAACTTACATTATTTGTATATATTTCAGTCTGCCAGTTTGACTCTACAGCTAAGACAGAAATGGAACAGTTTGTTCTTAAGAAGAATGAGAGCTCCATCTAAACCCTGCTCTCAGATGGATGAGGTGATCTTACACTTATTTTCATTCATTCTATGATTTGAAATCTTGACTCAGTTTTATTTTCATCTCATCTGTTTTGAAGAAAAAGTTGAGTTTTTATGGCCGCTGCAGCATTGTTGTCATCTTGGTCATTGTCATCACACAAAAACTTAAATTTGGTCCATTACTCAAACAATTTAAAAGGTATCAATGTAAGATAAGGGGCAGAAGTCTGAAAGCAATATTTTTTGGAGTTATGCCCCTATTTGACTCAAAATTTTTGTCAAAAGTGGTTATTTTAGCAGACAAGCATTAACATTGCATGCTATGCTCTTGTAATTTATCTTGTGATATGTTTTATGCTATAATTATTAACTTTTAACCATTCTTCATTTGAAAAATGATGCTGTTTTACTCATACATTGCTATTGTTAGTCAAAATTTTAAAAAATCTGTCATCATATTTATTTTTACTTGATAGTTAATTAGGTATTGCAAATTTGATATTATGAATTATTGTAGGCTGTGATCAGTGCTGTAGTGAATGTATTGACCAATGAGGAACAAGCTCTTGGCATGCAACAACCAGCTGGTATAGGGCAAAGACCAAGACCCATGTGTAAGTTGGAATGTGTTGACTGTTACATTAGTTAATTATAAAAACGCATATAATAGTTAATTATAATTTAAGGATGTTGCTGTAAATAAGCTTTATTTTGCCCCACCCACTACATTTAGAATTCAGAACAAAACAAAACTTTTACTGTAATCAAAATAGTTTCCACATTTTCTGTCATTATTCCACAACAGAAATATAAGATTAAAGATTGTCTTAATTGCGTATTTTGATAATATGTATATATTTAGATTAAACATCTTGTTATAACTGTGAAAATGTTTGTTGTTTGTTTAACTCAGAAAATAAGGAACAGTATTGTCATCCATACATAAGGTTGGAGAAATTAAGTTATAAGATTAATTTTGCCATTTGATGAAGTCATTACATAAGAAGTAACGATTGAACTTGCATGCTTAATATCTAAAATTACTTTCCTTTAATATTAGAACTCAAAAAGGGAGTTTGAGCCGCATGGGTTCAAACCCTTTCAGGGGAAAGTCGTTGTTTCCTTTAGCAAGAAACTTTACACTCATTGCTCAGTACTGGTTGGTTCAAGGAACGGATTCGAAAGTATGTCTATAAGCTTATAGCTTCCTACACAATCTAACTAAAATAAATTCTGTATAAATAAATGATACCTTTATTAATTAGCTGCAGAGAGCATTATGTCAGGTAGTTATGGAGGTCATGGTCAGAGTTCACAGTACGATTCCTCAGAGAATACACGGCACAGGTTTTCTACATCCGCCAAGAAAGCCTCTGGTACACCTACTAAAAGGAGGGACTTTCTCTCACCAAGTTAGTATTATTTTTATATTTGATACTCATAACAGAACTTTTGAAGTAACATTATGCTTATTTTTCCGCTGCAAGTTGAGTTTAATGATAAGTAATATGTTTCAGGATTGACTATGGCGATTGAGCAATATTTGATAATGAAAACTATTTAGAATATAATATAAAAACTACCTCAATTATAAAAAGACCCCCACTCTTTTTAGAATTTGAACATTACAGATATATTTCGATTGATATTTATATACATGTCCTCCGCTCATATGGATTATTGATTAATTTTGCATAGTAAAATAGAAGTTGAACAAATTTATGGCAAAATGTAATGTTATTTTCACTTTTAACTATGTACTCAGTATTTACACTTGAATGGTCACAGTGTCACTTTAATAAAAACATTTATAAAGATCTTTATCATGTGAAAAATAATTTTTTTTTTATTTACACTAATCGTCACCTAAGTGCAGTAATGCGTTAATACCTTATAAATTTAATAGGTGTTAACCAGTAATTGCACTGTGGTGACTACTTGGAGGTTTGTCTTGTCAATGTGAAGAAATTCAGCAAGATAAGAGTAAAAAAAATTAGTAGTTCTCAATTTTTTTTTTCAGAAATAAACAAGTCGGGAGATAATTCTCAACACAACAGTCCAAATCTGAGTCAGAACAGTAGTGAAAAAAGTTCACCGTACCATAGTCCATACATTAGAAGTTCAGCTGCCAGCAGGTATTTTATCATGAAATGTAGTAGTCAGAGAAATATTGATGTGTCAGTCAGCAAAGGCGAGTGGGCCACTTCCAAGGCAAATGAACAAAAGCTTAACAAAGCATTTCAGGTGGGTTGAATAATAATGAATTTCTTTCATGTGTTTCAGTGTGAAAATATTTTGGTAGAAATTAAAATGTGAAAATATTTGATAAGAAGGTGAAAATGTTTAGTAAAAATGTGAAAATATATGAATCTTCAATAGGGAATTAAAAGAAAAAAGTTAGATCCGATTTAGGCTGTAACTTTTATAATTCTTAACTATAGTTCACACTTATTTAAAGCTTGCTTACAGGGTGAGCTGTAGGAGTAGATAAATGCTTGGATATTTTCTTGTTTGTTTACTTCAACAGAACTTAAAATTGAAAAAAAAAGCCTTCAATCATAAAATGTAGATTTTCATGTTACTATTTTACATTTTTGTACTGTCTTCTCTCAAGTTTGTTTACAGTAAACATACAGTGTACAAAGCAGATGAGTTGAACTCAAAATTGATTCAGAGTAATGTAAAAATGTCCCCAAGAATAATGGCATAGTTTCTTTTTTCACCCAACACTTATGATTGAGGATATAGGATTATGGCACGTTTTTATACCCTCATAAAGAATCAATCAAGTATCAATGGTTGTTTTATTTTCAGGATGGAAGCACTGTTTACCTAATATTTTCAATACAAGGCAGTGGTCATTTCCAAGGTTACGCAATCATGTCGTCTTGTGTCAGTGCAGAAAGGTCATCTGATTATAATGGCCAGGGTGGGGTATTCTCAGTTGACTGGGTTAAAAGGTCAGTACTGGCTGGTTGATTGACTTAATTTATGCATTATCCATTGAAATAAAGACATTTCATTTTCAAGGTTGTTAAACTGTATCTAATGTACATGTACTTTGCAAAGAGTTGCATAGAAATGTTTTTTAAATATGAATGATTTTTAAAAAAAAAAAATAGAGATATTGTTACAAATATGTTGGCGTTGCCGCCGCATTGTGGTCCGCAAACTTTAAACTTGATCATTACTTTTTAAGTTCTAAGTGTATTGTCTACTTGGCCAGAACAACCCTTAGGACAAGACGTTCAAGTAGACCTTTTAAACATGACCTTCATTCACAAATGGCTTTGATCTTTCATTATGCAAGTCAAATTCATTGCTAGTATTTTAACATCTCACTTTTTAAACTTTTTGAAAGTACATATTATTTCTCTTTTATCATCAAAAGCATTGATTATGATTTTTGCAGGGGTAACCTTCAGTTTCAAGCCACTCATCATTTACTCAACCCTTGGAATGAGAATAAGAGGGTCCAGGTCAGCAGAGATGGTCAGGTAAATAGTTTTCTCTGTTAGTGATCTATTTGGTAATATGATTATTTCAATACATTGTACTAGTTAATTTTGAAGCAAGATTAGCTCAAGAAAAGGTTACTCATTGGCTAATTACTTTCGATTTTTTTTCTGTTTCTTTTTGGCAATCAGTACAGTTACAGTTAAGTATTTTGAAAAGAAGTCAAAATACTTCTTTGTTTACTTTTTGTTAAATGGGTACTTTTATGACAAATTATCTCACATTTAGCACTACTTTCTTCAGGTAAAAAGCATCAGTTATGCTCTGAAACAATTATTTAAACATTATGAAATTCTTGTGAGCCATTTCTAAAGAAGTAAAAGTGTATTGATTTCTGAGACATAATGTGCCTTTCAAGATTATTTATTGGCATTCTATAAGCTGATGGTCCTCAAAAGCTAAAAACAAAAATTTTTGTTTTTAGCTAGACTATTTGCAAGATAGAGTGAGTTGTTTAACTTACACAGGTGTTGGCATAACACTTTGGTTAAGTTTTTGCATGCTTGTTGGTATCTCCAAAACAAGTAAAGGGAATTGATGGAATCTTCACACACTTATTTGTGAGCGTAATAGAGAGTCACTGCCCAAGGCCAATAATTCTAACATACATTTTCACAGAATTATTACCACTTTTTTACATAGAAAATTCCACATTATCCAGGCTCTTGTTTTACTATTAAGCATGGAGAATAGTAAAGCACACTGTCTCACTGACAATTTTCGTTTAACTTGTACTTATTCAGGAAGTAGAGCCATCTGTTGGTGAAGCTTTAATCTGTATATGGGATGGTTTCCAAGAAAACGGCGGTAGTCAGAATGAGGCTGTAGAACCAAAATGGACTGGTTCCCATCAACATTCAAACAATAGCATGTCTCCAAGAGGTAAGTTATATAACCAGTCTGGGTCCAGAAATTTTTGGGTACTTTTCTTTTAAATCATTTTTTCCAATAGAAAATATTTGTAGGCCAGAATATAAGCAGAATATACTTTAGATTTACATGTCTTTGGACTTTGTGATGTTGCTTATCTTTAGCAATTATTTGTATGAATTCTTTTGAAAAAAATTATATAAGCTGATTAAGGTATTAATTTTCAAAAGTTCACTTAACTGTCATAAAAAAGTCTGTAATTTTTATATGCATCTAGGATTTTGTGATTTTTTTATCAATAAGTAAATAAGCTGTTGGTTAATTCTAGTTTCTATATCTTTTATCGTCATTATTTAAATTAATTGAATACTAATGATCCACATAAAGCAAAGCACAGTCTGATTGGACCTACAAACCGTTAAGATTCTTTACAGTGTCATAAATTAGCAGTAATATACTGATTTATACAGAAGAATGAGTGTTACCATATTGTTGATTCTTCTGCCATCAGATAGCCTTTAGCTTGTCAAAAGCATTTTGTAACTCCCAAATTTATACACTTCTATGTTACCAAAGTTTGCTATTTACATCATCTTTTGACTTGATTTTATTCTAGGAGCTTATGATGATAGTGAAATGTATTCGGACTTTGGAACTGATGGTAGTTATGGCAACAGTAATTCTCAGTATGGTTACCAAGGGCAACAGTTTGGTTACCAAGGGCAACAGTATGGTTACCAAGGGCAACAGTATGGTTATCAGTTTGCCCAGCAGAGAGGACCAGGCGTATGGACAGCAAGTCTATGATCAGTACCAGAGCTGGGGAAGTCAAGGTGGTAACCAACCAAGATATAACTACAACCAGAGACATTACAGAGGTCAAGGTCAAACTGGCTTCGGTAGCTATGGTTACCACAATCAGAATGTAGAATATCAGATGAGAGGATACGATGCAAGTTCACCGCACAACAGAAGTTCGCCAGTAATGATTCTTCAGAGGGGTCATCACTCAGGATACAGCAAGAGTAAAAAGTAGTTAGTGGTGAATTCATATGTGGTGATATAAATATTTACAAGTTAATACTATGACTTCATTGAATATTTATTGTTAACCTACATTGTATATTTATTGTTAGCAATGTATTTTTTTTTCATGAACATTTTTTTTTCCTGTTTTCAAGATATAACTTACTCATGTTAGTGTTGTTGAAATTATGTTTAACTTCCATTTTCAGTTAAAAAAAATAATGTTTATTGTTCATTTAAAAAAACAAAACAATGTTTAACCTCCATTTTAAAGAAAAAAAGTTTAATCTCATTTTCAAAGAAAAAAAGTTTAATCTCAGGTTTCAAAGAAACTAAATGTTTTAATCTCAATTTCAAAGGAACAATGTTTAATCTCAATTTCAAAGGAACAATGTTTAATCTCCATTTCAAAGAAACAATGTTTAATCTCTATTTCAAAGAAATAGTGTTTAAACTCCATTTTAAGGAATATTGCTTAATCACCATTTCAAGAAGCATTACGCTTTTACCAGTTTGATTGACTTTTGTTAGTTTATTTTTGTTACACTAAGAAAATATTAACAATGAATTATTACTTTGCTTAGCTAATATGTTGTGTTCTTTTCTTGTTTTAATTCTTATTTTGGGGTAAACTTTTAGAATGTTATAGGTAGATGTTTTGTATTTGTTTAAATGATTTTAAAAATCAAATATTAAGTGTTATTTTTTTTAAAAATTGATATAAATTGAAAAATCAACTTGGACAAAATCGTCAGTAAGCATTGCATTTTTTTTTTCAGGATTTAAAAAAAATAAATTTTTATAAAATTATGAAAATAAATATATTAAACTCAAGATCATCTACTAGTATTATCAAAATTATGGCCATTTCATAGGCGTTTTAGGACTATGAGATTTATTATAGTTATATAAGTATACATAGGCATTTTAGGATTTTTTTTATAAAAACGACTTACATAAGCATGCAAATTGTAATCATTATAATCATGTAATGCATCCTATATTTTTTTTTCCGCTCCAACAATATTTTGTTGGAGAATTATACTTGCCATCTGTCCTCCCATCTAATTTACTCACCATTTGTATATTATATTATATCATATTATATTATATATTATCACCATTTGTCATAGCATCGTGATTTACTTACTGAAATCATAAACACATAAAGTACGATGGTCCCTCCCCCACAGTATGTCAACCTTTAAAGCTTCTAACTCAACAAGTGTTTCAAAGGTTTAAAGTTATATTAAGATGAAAGTGCCAAATCTTTATTATTATTGATAGCAAGAAACATTAAGAAAATAAAACATATATTTAGTCGCAATTAGTGAATTACTGGATTCAAAATTCATAGGTCTCCATTTGTAATTTTAACATGATTGATGAAATGTTCGGGGTCTGTAATCACAGTGCCTAAAAGGGCTGATGGACCCTTATCAAGTCTAGAGCACACACAGAGAGAAACATATTAATTACCTAGCACCATGTAGACATTTAAACCTGTAGTGTATTTTTAATCTATTGATGACATTTTGATGTTGTTTTTTTTTAAAAAAAGGATCAAACCTTTGCTGTATGGGATAGTAGCTTTAAGGATTTCAGGTTGATTTGATCAACGTCAGGGGTCAATAAGATTTTCCTTCTTTTATGACCCAACTTAGGGATGGGGCTAGGGGGAGGGATATAGATTTGCCATTGTCCATTCATCTGTTATGCTGTCAAAAAAAAACAACAGTGGAATTTCGGGGACATCAGTGTCCTAAGGACAAATTTATAGTTTATATAGTATGGCCACTTTTTACCTTTATTGAAGCATTGATAGGGTGGATTGAGTGTTGTGAGTGATGTTCTTGTTCTGATTGCATTTTTATACATTTAGTATATGCTTTAATGTGTTCTTTATAAGTTTATGATGAAATCCGTCCAAATATATTTCATACATTTCTTTACTGTCATGCGTAATTAGAGCCTGGCAAGACAGGGGTAAAGTTGTTTACTTGTGACAAGTGCTTACTGCAGGTTAATTTAGGTTTTATTTTGTTTATAATAATAAACACATATAAGTTGTTGCTGATGGTTTAGGCAGTATTGTATTTAATCAGAGCTTCCATTAAGTTTCAAAATTTAGAAATCAGAGACTGCGAATTGTCTGACACTGGAAGTCACATTATATGAGCCGCGTCATGACAAAACCAACGTAATGGGTTTGCGACCAGCATGGATCCAGACCAGCCTGCGCATCCGCGCAGTCTGATCAGGATCCATGCTGTTCGCTTACAAACCCTATTACAAGTAGAGAAACTGATAGCGAACAGCATGGATCCTGATCAGACTGCGCAGTGAGCAGGCTGGTCTGGATTCATGCTGGTCGCAAACCCATTATGTTGGTTTTGTCATGACGCGGCTCATATAGGTAAAGAAGGAGGAAGTAACAAGCCAAAATCAAGCCCAAATTCCACTAATGGAAGCCCTTTTCAATATTTCTGTAAATTTATAAGAATCAAAATGACTTACTTTCGTTGACTATAATGGCTGGAAGATTGGATGAAGACAAAATTGAATTCATGAGCTATTAAATTGTTTTTACCCGAGCAATAAAGTCATATTTGAAACACTTGTTAATCATAAGTAAATATTTCCTATGTTGACATATGAATGAAATCTTAGTTGTTAAAAAAGGGCAAAATGAGGAATAATGTATTAGATATAATGATTTTAGCCGCAATATGATACTATTTAACCCTTAGTCTAATGGCAGCAACCGAATTCACCCATGGGACCAGTGCAGAACAAAAAGAAAAAGCCAGCACATGGTTCTATTCCCTCTGTCATGATATGCTATGTTGGCTATACAATTTGTACTTATTTGAAAATTTCCCTGAAAAGAATAAATGGTTTTTGTTCAGATTGAAAGATTGTCAAGCCCATTTAAGATATTTAGCTTGGTAAATGTAAGATTACTGAACATTGAATAAATTATTATTGCTATGATGTGTTGTTTATAATAAGTTTGTTGACTATATTGTTTATTGATGATTGTGTAAAAGTTTTTATATTGAAATGCTTTGAAATTATTTCATTAAATATTTTATTTGTTTAATATCAAACTTAAATTAGGACAAGTCCATTATTCAGCTTAACCTCCTGAATTTATAAAATGGACTCTTCCAGCATTCATTTTTGGAACTGACCTTTATCAACTTTGGCAATAACAAGATGAAAATTCAAAATTAGTTACCTATCAGTATAAAGCATTGTCAGCCTGTAAGGAAGTACGGGCTGGCCTGGCTCTATACTGGTGGCAAAGGTAAATAACTTTTGGTTACAGCAGGTTTTAGATTAATTATGCTTAAATAGACATTCATTAAGACCTTTCAAAATAGACTCTATGTCTCTAAACCATAATTTTATCTTTCTTTGCTTCATAGAGCTTGATTTTTGTTTAAGTAAATTCTCTTTTTCTTTGTTTTTTTATGTCTTTTTCTTTGTTTTTTATTAGAATGATATTTGTTTGTGTCTAGTCCGAATTTATAGATGTTTGTAAAATGAGTGTTTAGAAATGTTGCAATGTTTGCTTATTTACATATTTTTAACAAATGAACATTTCATAATTCAAATAGTTATAGTTGTGCATTTAAAAGATGCAACATGATACAAAGGCAATTCCATACAACAGTGCATTAAACATACTCTATTTTCTTGCCATGTCATTTTTGTCAAACATAGACTAAAAACATCATTATGTATAGAAAATAACTAAATACTAGTAAGACATAAATAAGGCTAAGTTAGAATACATTTTTGGTTTAAACGTATTTTTATTCAAGATATATACACATGTTAATAATAATTTACAATTTAAAGCAAAAAGGAATTGAACCGAGAGCTACAATAGCTCATGCTAGTCGTCTCCTTTAAAATAAAGGAAATGCCTTAATCTGGTCAGTCTCAAAAATATTGACCAGAGCAGAGAGTTTTTAAAAATTAACAAGATTGTCAAATCACAAAGTAACTTCGGGTTTTAGGACAGTGTTACAGTATTATTTGTTGACCATAAACTTTGAAACATTATATGTTGCTTTTTGCAATTTACTAGATATGTGTTTATAGAAAGTTTGCTTTTTTATGCATTTATTATTAACAAATGGTGTTTGAAAGTTAAAGGTACCTACACCAGTCAGTCAATTGTCAGCATAATTATCTCTTTCACAGGAAGACTTTTTAGTATTACCAGCTCTTTCTAAGACGTCGGTAGTTGTGAATATCGCATTACTTAAGCTGTACTTTGCTTCAAATTGTTCTGTTTATCTAAAGATATACATATATCTTGGCATTTAAATTCTTGTTATAATATCTTGTTATATTAGCCAGGACATCAGTGGCTGAGTTGTTCAGGTGTCTGACGTCAAATCACTTGTCCCTCCTTGTTTTAAAGTCCTATCTTGGCAGAATTCTTTGAACTAAGGGAATTATCTAGCACGTAGGTGATTTTACGCAGCTTCCCGCTTGAGCTAAACTAAAGTAGATTTTACCATATGACCTTTACAACGTATGTATGACTTAATATACAGTAAACTCCGCTTATAACGTTATTCAGGGGAACGTCGAGTTTACGTTATATCCGGATATCGATATATCCGAGAGGCAACCAATTTGAGACCGCGGCAACAGCATGGTTATAAGCGGTATATCTTATAAGCGGTACATTGTATATCGTTTTTAGCGATACCGCTATAAGTGGGGTTACTGTATGTATGTGAAAAAAAATATCTTATAAGTGCTAAATGAATGTTTTTGGAGAAGATTAAATTATTTTAGAAGTCTTGATGTTTATGTGTTAAATTATAAGTGTTTTAATTAAATTCTGTAACAGAACTGTTGTTTGTATTATTATGATATCCCATAAATTCTCTTTATATTTTTAAACTGATAGTGTAGTAGGCTGAGTAAGGTTTGGTAATTTTGTGACCCTAGATACATAAGATAAGGTTCTTGTGTCTTAACCAAAATGTACAGAATGACTGGAATTTTATACTTTCATCCCAAATTTAGGGAAGTAAAAAAGTGACTTAAATTCATACTTTTATATAAAAAAAAATAATAAAAAAAAATCGCAGAAATTTATGGCATGAATGGCTATTCATTTATGCATAAAAGATGACTAATTTAATACGAGGGGCATATTTTAATTAGAAGCAACGGCTACGCGCTTTTATAAGTCATACCTGTAAAAAATGATTAGTAGAGTCCTTTAAAACCTTCACTATGGACCTCTTCACACTTTTAAGCTTCAGAGTCCATTCCGAAAAAGCATACTGTTTATACACTGGCAGAGAGCGCTTCCGACGGCACTAAGGCTTGCGAAGGCAAGATTTGATATATGGACATTGGGTTCTTTGTAATGTAATCATTAACTACAGCAGTGAGAACATGGTCACGACAAAATGTTCTAGTGACACTACCCGACACGGGCCACTATTATATTCCATCACTATCCAGAAAAGAAAATAGAGCGTACATAACTCTAAAAACTCCTGCTACAACTGAGCAATTGCTGCTCTCACCTACCCACATTTTGTGACTGAGTTTATTGGGCCATTTAATATATAACATTTGATATTCTTGGTTTGAAGACATTATATTTAGCTTAATGTCTTCTTGGCAGTTAGCAGTGGGTCAAGATTCAACGCCCTATAGCTATGTTCCTATAAACACTTACTTATTGTATTTTAGTAAGCTGCTTGGATTTTTTGAAATACATTGATTAATTTTATAAACTGGGAATATATGAATGTGTTTATCTAATAATTTCTTTTTGTAGGTCAAGTTTTCACCAAAGTTGTAAGACACATAAGCGCCAGTAGTGTGATTTTCCCCACGGTATTTAAGTAGTCCAATATATGGAACATAAGTACTGCATTTATTCCATGATGTTGCATTATACTTGATTCCATCCTGATTTATGGAACTGAAAACCTATATTTTTGCTGAACATCAAGGTTAATTGTTACCAGGGTCTTTAATGAAAAGTTACCATTAACTATGATGTTGTTAGTAAAATATAAGGATCCAATGCAATTTAGCAAGATAGAATAAACGTAACAATCATCACATAACAAGATAAAATAAATGAGCCGTGTCACGACAAAACCAACGTAATGGGTTTGCGACCAGCATGGATCCAGACCAGCCTGCGCATCCGCGCAGTCTGATCAGAATCCATGCTGTTCGCTTACCAACTCTATTACAAGTAGAGAAACTGATAGCGAACAGCATGGATCCTGATCAGTCTGCGCGGATGCGCAGGCTGGTCTGGATCCATGCTGGTCGCAAATCCACTATGTTGGTTTTGTCGTGACGCGGCTCAAATGTGGTTATTCTGTTTCATACCAATCGTTACGAGATGCTTTTATTACATTTAGATACGGAGTTCGCAAAAAGTAAAGAGCATTTCCATAGACAGAATAACGTCACAAAGTTTCAATATGGACTTAATTATTAAGAAAAAGTGACAAGAATAATTTTTCATAAAAGGACTAGACAAAAAAAAAATTAGATATATTTAGTTCGTTAAGTAGGAAAGATGTCGTCTTGTATTTAATATTCAAAAAACAAATTCAAACTGACAAGCTACCCCTGGAGACTTTGTGCACCAACTTTTTATTATATTACTTCGATACGAAAGAACGCCAGCATATACATATATTCTTGGCAATAAAACATATCATAAATTATATCATGTGCTCGAAAAGCACCAAATTACTCATGCAGGCAACAAATGGCGATATACCAGGGGTGATAAAAAATTAACCGGACTTGATAGATAATTCATTCCCTGTTAAATGTTTTCACATAAAATACACAGAACATAAATTGGAATCTATCCACTAATTGATACAAAAAATAGCAACAAAAGAATTAACAAATAAAAAGGTTATGCTATCAACGGCGCGATTCGGCACAAGGTATAACTTTAGAAGTTCACTACGTCACACGCGTATTGTCTTTAACCCGAGTCTCCAAGTTTCCCAATGCGTATTCCACAGCGGATCCACTGACTATATACATCTCTGTACAAATCGGTATCGTATACTAGTAAATGGTAAGTTCAGCGTAACAATTTATGTTATACTGGGAAGTGGCCGGATCATACTAATATGTCCAACGTTTGTCTGAAGTTATGAACGAACGGACGAACACACGCAATGTCAACTGAGGTCTTTCTTTCACAGTGAACTAACTACATTCATACTTTGCGGAACAATAATATATTTGGCAGACATGTTTTAAATTTAATTTATTTACGATGATTATTAATAATTTTTAGAATTTTATATGTTTATAAAAAGTGTACTGGATATGACGGCCGTTCGATACAGTCATAATTATCAAAAAGGTCAGATTGTCCACTCATTTTTTCATTCGAACAAGTGCGAAACGTTTAAATATGTAAATTTTATGGCATAGGATTTCCTAGATAGAATAAGTCAAGGACACGGTCCACATGTGGTGGCTATAGATTGGGGAGGAGGTAGTGAGCAATCAAAGCACCGAACACCTGTTACTGTACATTAATGATTTTGCACGAAAATCACGAAATTTACGTTTATAATGTCTAGTACCCAAATGTATGAAGACTATTGGATTGTAAATGTTATGATTAACTGATAGATGGATAATTTTCTAATTAAAACTAATTTTTGTTAATTTCTCTTAATTGACTTGACAGCTTTAAATTTTTGAAACTGTCTATTATCAACTTTTGGGATGTTACATGTAAGGTCTAATAAAGCCACAATTTTAAAGTCTCATCTGAAAGACTCTGGATAGCAGGGGATCAAACTTGCGACCCCTTGGTTTGTAGAATTCAGTGCTACTCATATATTTATTTAACCCTTCTGGCAGCTGCTAAATTTCTTAAATTGACTCAGCTATTATTTTGATAACTATATCAAGATGAAAATTAAAATTTAATCAAATAATTAAAAATATTGACTCGGGTCAGACATGTGCAGACTTTCTTGGCTCTATACTTTATGGTCGTGTTTTTGCAACAGCCATTATCCCTTAATCCCAATTGTACCTGTCTATTACACGGGGGAGAAAGTGTTACACAAAGGATGGAGTTCTTATGATAACTGTCACGGAGTTCCTGGAAAACGTTACGGATTTCTGTGGAAAACTTTTCTATATACTTTGAGAACTCGGGTACGTACAAAATGGTAATTTCTACCTTTAAATGGGGGAGTTTGAGGTGCTTAATTAAACTTTGATAATTAAGCTTGCCCTACGCATTATATTATGTTTCAGAAAAACCTTTTAATCCATTTTTCATCGCCTTTTTTTTTAAAAAAAAATCTGGTAGTTTTTAATAAAATTTCCAAATTGCTAGCTCATTCGTACATATTGACCTTTTCATTTGTGATCTCCTTCGTTGCTATACTTAATTACCTAATGATAATGGAGAGTTGCAAACATAAAGCCCAGGCTAATAAATTTATACCCGATTTTTCAAATGTCACAGAGTTCTTGTGAAAACTCAAAATATGTCCTGGAGTTCTTATGATAACTTTTGTTACTGCCAGTGTGTTTCTTGTGCTTAATTACGGTATTTTTACGCGTATTTTATTATTTAATAAGTGTTTAAATCATCATGAAACTTTATACTCTCAGCCTTAACACAAAAATAGGTAATATAATGTTGGTTTTGAGCGTGTTTAGTTCAAAAGATATTTTTCTAATCAAATTTGTGCGAATTCATATTTACTTTATAAAACCGAACAAATGCACTAAATGTTTTTGTGTATATTGTTCGTCAACTATAGTTTGAAATGTTAACGCTGAATTTACAGCAACTACGGAGAAATATATAAGTCACATAATAGACATGCATATCGTTATTATGATGACAAAGTAAAGTTAATATGCGGTATATAGCTTGGTGTGTAAATAATTTTATCACGTAAATTTTAGGTAACTGTCATTTTTTTTAGGATTCGGCTGTCAGAAAACCCCAAATCTTTTAAGAATAGATTGAACATGAAACTGCTTTGGTGCGCAGTCTACAAAGGATAAACAGGTGAATTATAGGCTATCTTCAGGAAAACCTGAACCAGTGGTCACCTGTATTCAGCAGTAACATGGCTTAAACCTCCGAGCAAAAATTGTTAAAAACTTACCCTTTTTTCTCAGTTACATGTGTTAAGCAAGCAGACAATATATAGTTGGGCTTTTCTCAAGAAGCGGCCAAGTAATTTGTATCATTTTATACCATAAACAACAAGTATATATCTCGGATACCCTTCACACCCATGCACCCGAAATGTATGATCTTTTTATACATAAAAAATCAACCGATCACTATCGATCTCTTCAACAGATTTGCATGTGCCCTACGGGTTCGAGCGAAAGAAGTTCGACAATATATTTTTGTTATCAATTACAGCAAAAAATTCCACAACTAGGATTATATAGGGGGAATGCCCGAAGGACTCCCAACTTTGATAAGAAAAATGTATGCAATGATTTTCCGCAATATGGAGATTTCTGTACGTCACGTGATGCTGCATTGGATGTAAATGAGAAAGAAACGGCATGAACCTTATGGTGACTTACATATATTATTAAAGACTTACTTTCTATTGTCATATCATTTTC